CTCCTGCAAGTACTGAATCGTTGTACATAGAGAATCACAGTTGACACCTATTCGTCCTGAGGCTCCTCTCACACTATCCCGAGTGACTCTTACAAAGAGCCGCAGGTCTAAGCACCAGATCTTCAGTATCGCGCAGGTCTGACTTGCATACAAGCCATTTGTCAAACAAAATTCAGCTCTCATGTCTCGATGGTTCAGTCTTCGAGGCTCCATGTTGTTCTGCGCAAGAAAACCACTCACTCGTCCGTAGGGCATCGCTGATAGACCATCACGGACCACATTGCTGCGTACCTCGACGACATGATCTCCGCCAGCGTTCGGCATATTATACGGCTGCGGAGCTTGTCTCCAGACGATTGATATGAATCTCGGGGCTACTCACTCAGTCTGAACAATCTCCTCCTTGTTTCCGTGCAAGACAAGGTCTCGGGCTTCGACTAGTGGATGAGGTGATGCATTCCACACAAGGCCAGATACACTGTAAGAAAAGGTGAAAGCACCTTCGTGAGAAGTACAACAGCATACTGACCACACTCTCTGCTCAATGATCTATCTACTGGTATGAGTGGGAAACGGCTGAGATGATAGAAGTGAGGTCATGCGAGAGCATACCGATCTCGATGTGCTGGCTCTGTGCATCTCTCTCGGACTGAAGATAGCATTCCTATGTGAATACTGGCTTCCAGGATCCATTAACAACAAAATTGCATTCGCTGCAGACCAGGGCATGTAAACAAGCTCGTGCCGTGAGAATTCTGGAGACATCTGCAACAGCTGGAGAAAGTATATCAATTCAGGTTTCGGCTCTCGTACGTCTCTGATTTCAGCGACATACTAGCCATCAAGGTTCTCTTTACCCCATTTCCTTCGGTGACCGACGTCAGGCTAGCTGCCTTCCAGCTACCACGAAGACGGATACAAGATATGGCCAAGTTGGAAAAGCTGAGGTGCGCGGCTCGTGAACCCCGAAACCTTTAACGACACCCGGCAGTGGACTTCCAAACTGTACCCAATTCTCCGACTTACAAGCTCATTACCAGCAGAACGAACAGCAGCAGCAGTTGAAACACCTCAGAATCAAAGGCCTCGTCTTCTCCCCAACAAGTAGTAGTTGGCAGCAGTCCGATCGAACGATCAATAACACGCACCGTTGGCATCGACTCTACACCATAGCAAGCAAACCACCAAAAATGGCACCGCCGCTCGAGAACGTGCGGCCAATGTTCGAGCTCCGCGGCCGCAACTACATCGTCACGGGCGGCGCGCAGGGCATCGGCTTCGCCTCGACGCGCGCCATCTGCGAGTTAGGTGGCAACGCCGCCGTGCTCGACGTGCAGAACCAGCCTGCCGAGGCCGAATTCCACTCCCTGGCCAACCTATTCGGCGTGCGCACTTTCTACATCCACACGGACGTCGCAAAGCAGGATAGCCTGGAGAAGGGGTTCGCGGCGGCGGTCGAGAGCCTCGGCGGCAGGCTGGATGGGTTGGTGCCCGCGGCAGGGGTGGCGATCGATTAGCCGTTCGTCGACCAGACGTGGGAGGAGTTCACGCGCATCCAGGAGATTAATGTGAGTTTCCGCTCTGCCCTTTCTCATCGAATTTTCTGTGGCGTGTCGAGGGGGATATAACGCTCACCGTGTCGAACGTCCCTCAGGGCCGCGGCCTCTTCTTCACATGCCAGCTCGCGGCGCGCCAGATGATCGCGCAGGCCACCGGCGGCAGCATGGTGCTGCTCGCCTCGCAGACCTCCCACATCGCCATCCCAGGCCACCGCATGGCGGCCTACAACTACAGCAAGGGCGGGGTGCTGATGCTGACGAAAGCACTGGCCGTGGAGCTGGCGCCGCACGCCATCCACGTCAGTAGCATCTCGCCGGGCTTCGTCGACTCGGACATGCTGCAGCGCGTGCGCGCGGCCAAGGAGCCCGAGGAGGCGGCGCAGATGGAGAAGTCGCCGCCGCTGAGCGGTTGAGTAACGCCAACGACCTCACGGGCGCGATCGTGTATCTGTTGAGTTACGCTGCGAGGTTCACGACCGCGGCGAAAATTCCCACCACAGGTGGGCTGCACGCAGGGACGATTGAGGGCTTGATATATTATCCTGGTGCGAAGTAGACGGAGTTGATGTAAGTGTATCTTTTGCGGCCATAGGAGACCAACAGCGCGTCTGTACGGCGGTACTCATCGAAGGTGTGCCACGCAGTACCACTGCGCATCGAAGCCTGGTTAGACGTCCGCAATGATGCCATCGGCAAATGTTGATACATTCATTCCAGGCCCAACTCAAGGGACCGCCAATTCGTGCAACGAATGGCGATACTTTACCCTTTAGCTATTATGACTTCTAGCAAGCGGCAGCACTGACATAGATCCCAGAAACATCATCAATACAAGCACACTTTTGCATAACCATTCAAAACTCCCTTCATGTATCTCTCTCCCTTCATCTCTCATAGGGACTCAACCACAATCCACTTCAACTTTCCCACGCCCTTCAACTCTTTCTCAGCCTCCTTCCTTTCGTGCTTCTCCTCCTTCCTTTCACGCTTCGCCCCTTTCCTCTCGCGCTTCGCCCGCTTCCTCTCGCACTCTTCGTCCTCCTCGTCCTTCTTTGCCCCCTTGTCACGCTTTTCCTCCTTGGCCTGGGCCTTCACACTGGCTTCCTCGGCTCTCTTCCGATTCTTCCTCAACCTCATCTGCACCTGCTTCCCGCTCAACCTATCAATCACATTCTTCGATGCCACTGGCGGCGGCACGTCCAGCGTCAGCGGACTCAGATACTGCCGCAGCGCCGCCAAGCGGCGGTCCGCGAGCGTGAGGCAGTCGGTGTCGGTATCGATTGGGGCGAGTAGCGGCGCGCGCGTCGGCAGATGCAGCAGCTGCTGTAGCTCCTCCTCACCCACGATGCGCACTTTGAGGCCGCGGGGCTGGAATAAGCGCGCATTGGTCTCCTCGAGATATAGTTTCGTGCGGGTGGCTGAGACGGCGGCGGTGCCGGCATCGGCGGCCAGGCCGACGCCCGCGCTGGCGAGCTGGGCCCAATGGTATGGCACGAAGCCTAGGCCGATGCCGACGAGTTGGACGGCTTGCATGGGGGGAGCCGGGGCTTGTGCGACAGCGAGGCCGTCTATGAAGGCGGTGAAGGTCTCGGGAGTAATGTCGTAGGGGGCGAGGGCTGGTGCGTACGCGCGAAGGAAGGGCATGGGGCCAGAGATGAGGCTGTTGGGCTGGATCTGAGGGACGGCTACCAGTCGTGGTAGAGGAGATCGGAAAGGTTGATAGGGCGTCGAGGGGATCCATTGCAGGCTTTCCAATACTTCTTGGGCATCTTCACCTCCCTCTACAGGAGGTATGCATGGTTGGTCGTGGTCGTTCTTGCACTCGTAGGGTGGTGGCGGTAGTTGTGTTGTAGGAGAAGGATGCATTCTGGACATCTTGTGTAGGTGAAGGGCGCTCCTCCACATCTGGGACCTGTGAAGGCGCTGGGCTTAAGTACTCATCTGCTCACCTTTGACCATGGTAATGCTTCGCAGTTCGGCTGTCCCAAAACGGAATGCAAAGTTCAGCCTCGGTGACGAGAAGTGGACCCTTGCTTGAACTTCTGCCCAATGAGAGGGGCAACGACGCAGATAGCACCCAATGCGGAAGCCATCGCCTTGCAGCGTTGGGCCAAAGTGTGATGCTATTCTCGCCCGGAGGCGGAGTGAAAAAAGGATATGTATCGGTAATACCACTCTGCAACCTGTTCCAGTCAGGCTGAGTCTGCCTCATCAACTCTGGCGGCATTGGCTGTTCGCTTGTAATCCAGAGCGTATTGCCTCGCGAGAGATGATGCAGTGATGCTGTGAATGGCCCCACCATGTAACCGGCTGCGTGTCATTTGCTGCCATAGTAATGGAGCTTCTTTGCAACGCCCCAGCCCTGCTGAGAGGTCGTGAACATCGTCAGCTTCCTCTCCACCCAGGTCCTCAGGGGCGACGGTGAGTGCTCCACAGCCAGAAACGCCATACGGAGCGGGAAGAGCACCAGGAATTGTGCCGTCATCCAGGGTGCGCTGTGCTGGAGATAGTCGATGGTTTGGCAGATCTCCAGGGCAGCTCGCTCGTTGAGTGCAAAGTATGCAGCGTCGTTTGCGCCTCCAGCCCACTTCAGGACCCGGAATGCTTGGACGAAGCAGGCATCATAGAGGCACATGTCATTGGCTATGTGGATCGAATTGAACTGCAGCACCGTGGGAAGGACGGCTTGGTCATCAATGGTGGGATTCGGGACCTCCAGTACTTCTCGAGAATTTATGATGTCCCACGCCGCTCTCCACTCCAGAAGATCTGCCATCACTCGCGAGATCTGACTACGGACACCGAGCTGTGTCGTAGTCGAGCTTTTCAACGTCTCCGCTTTCAAAGTGGCAAGGTCCGCGAAGAGATCGAGAAGGTAGTGCAGCAGACCCTTGCTTTCGGGTGCGCTCGCCCACGGCTCGGTTTTCCATTCATTCAGAGAGAGGAAGGTCGCCTTGTTGCCGGCAAGTGAAGCAAGAATGATGATGAATCTGTTGCACTCAAAGAGTATCCTTTGCTCGGGACCATCAAAAGACTTGGCGCCTCGCGTCTCGATGACTTTGCCTAGCCCGAGGGCATGCGCAATCCACCCATCAGTGCTAGAGAGCTCGAGCATCTCGTAGAGACCGAGAATCATGACGGCGAACAGCGTATCATCGGCAGTACGAACCTTCACATCGCCGAGAGCGGAATGTAGTGTCTTCAGAGACTTCACATACAGCGCTGTGCCTTGGTTGATAAGTTCCGGACTGCCATGATGACGAGCAAAGTAAACGCGACTGAGAGACAGCAAGCACTGGCTTGCTAGTCGATGTTGAATAGGGTCTGCAAAGAAGGCTGGCCAGGTACCGAAACCGGCACGAATGACATTCTCCTGCGTGATCGGGACAGCGAGTAGACTGGAACGAAGGTGAGTAAGGAAAGTGTCGTCGGTCAGGAGAGTCAAAGGTTGATGCAACAAGTAGGCAGTCTCCGTGGGTGCTTCTGTCGTCGCCAGTGCTGATATCTCGGGCGGCGAGGCACGGCGACCATGGATGATTCCGAATGCCGTATATTCACAGCTAAAGCCAGCATTCTTGCAGCGCAGACATCGGGGTTTTTGTTCGTCTAATATGACTGGGTCAGGCAGAAGATAGAGGAGCCCAGCGCACACTTACCACATTTTATGTGTCGTTTGCGACAGCTTAGACATCCTTTCGACCTCCCTCCTCGGCCAACCATTGACTCTGCTCATATCCACGTGCTTAATACGTTAGGTAGAATTATAAGCGAAGGAAGTACCAGCAGTGTTTGACACTCAAGACATCATGAAGATAAGGCTCTGAGTCAGCCTCGCGAACGTATCCGAACTGCCCTGGCCATTTGCTTACAGCACATAGGTACATACGTGGACAAAGCCTGGGGACCAGACCTAACAATCTCTATCAACTCCAATCCTTCGGCCAAACACCGGGCTTAATGATGCGTTGCTCCAGCCTCAAATTGACAAGCCCCTCATGTCACCTTCCATGCCCATTCTCGGAGACTATGGACCCTCGTGTCCTTTGTTCATGGTCACTTCTGATATACCGCACCAATTCTCCGCAATCAACGCCGCCAAGCGATGAACACATCAACTGTTGAAACCCATCAATGGATTTACGCTTGGCTTCAGACGCCGTTGTGACCAAAGATCTACTGAGCCTTCTTTGCCGCCCCACCAGGCTGTCCACCCATGTACTTTCCAGGATTGGTGGCATCAACAGCAGTCTTGCTCACACCCTTGACACTCTCCCAGCCCGAGCGAACCGCGGGTGGGATGTTGGGGTTTTGGACCTGCTGATCGATGTGGGCGGCACCTTGCTGGAAGGCATTCTGCACAAAATGGCTCTGCGTGAAGCGAGCACGCAAGAAGACGGTGTAGACGCCCAAAAGAACCCAAGAGCCACGGCTAAAGGTGATAGCGGACATCAACAAGCGGATCCACAATAGGATCTCGAGACCGGCCACCAACATCATGGAGGCATCGTAGTAATCCTTGACAAACTTGCCGATCGAATTGGCCAAAGCGCTCTGCGACTTGGGAGTGCCGGGAGATGTAGGAGTAGCGCCGGCGGTGGCCTTCGGGGGAGAAATAGTAGGAATTAAGTTAGTGCGAGTGTAGGTTGCGACATGGAAGACGGAGTAGACGGTGAATGGCAGGAGAGCCAGAGGAGTCTGGCGGGAGTAGAGCCAGACCAAGCTGATGACTGTGCTTGTTAGTTCCGCATTTTCGGTATGTCTCTTTGGTGCTTACGCAGATATTGCACATTCTCATCGGCCAGAAGCTGGAATGCGACTGCCTGAGGCTTGGTGCCGGCCTTGAAGCGGGAGCGGTAAGCCTTATAGACCACTATGCCGTAGGTAGCGACCGCGGAGAGGAAGGCGAGACGATAGCTGATCTGAGCCCATCGGGAGTAGTAATTGAAGGTGATGTACGACATGCCGTAGCGAAAGACGGCGAAGAGAAGGGTGGCATGGCCAATGAACCATCCCTAGAGAACGTCAGCAAGCTGCAGCCAGCCTGTTGCGACCGACTTACGAATTGCAGGGTGGTCGCGAGACGCTGAAGTCTCTCTGTGAGGGGTAGACTGGTCGGCGGTGGGGGGGCCATAGCTGCGGTGAGTAAAGAGTCGTCGGGATATGAGGATACGGTTCGACAGAGACTTGATGCTCAAGAATAAGTGCCTGCTTGCGAATGTAAGGACAAGAAGGACAAGCTGGCCAGAAAGAACCGAGTGGTCGAGTGTGCACAAGAGAGGCTGGGGGGAAAAGGGAGAGGTTGCAGGAAGTTGCAGCGAAAGTGCGGCCTTGACATCACCGACAAGCGACGTCACCCGGGACAAGCCACTTGACATTTTCAGCTGTCAGGACACAGTCTCGCATGCCCCAATGTGTTAATGCCTGCAGCTATCCACCGCAGCCCGTGCCGATTGACGGTCGCCTATCTCGAAGGCCCATGACACGCGAGCAGATCACCGTATTGGCGCTCGTGCTTAGAAGGAGCTTTTCTTGATTCAATTGTCTTCATAGTAACCCTAAGAACGCAAGCACGTCGGCGTCGACTATGAGAGAATCATCGTCAGAGACCAACTTCCTCACTGTCCACACTCGCCACTTGTTCCCATACTACAAATAAAAGGAGATATACATGGCTTGGAATCGGATCACACCTTCCCTAACGGCCCATCAACGAAACGCGCTCACCCCAATCGCTTTCTCCGCTCATTATGCACAACTAACTCGCGTTTCTTGGGGATCAATGAAGGTGATTAGATAGCAACAGCACCGGTCTGTCACCGAGGCAGAAGCAGGCTCGAAGTCAGAAAAGGTTCCAAACGATGGTAAGAGGATTCGCCGTCGTCGTCGCGTCGCATAGTGTCGTCGCACACTTTTATCGGAGAGAAAAGCCCTTTCTCTTGCCCTTCTCCTCGATTGGCCGGCCTTGCTCGATGCGAGACTTCTTCTCCTCCAGCTCTTGACGCTGTCGCTCCAGCTGATCCTTCATCTCGCGATGACGGGCAAACAGCTCCTCTTCGCTCTGTTGCAGCTTGCTCTCCTTCTCGTTGACCTTCTGTTGGAAGACCATCTTCATCTCGGCTTCCATCTTGGCCAGCTTCTGCTCATGCAATGTGCGCTCTTCTTCCTGCTTGACCGCGGGATTGACCTCCTTGAAGACCGATGGATCTTGTGACACTCCCATCTGGATGAGCTTGTCGGATCTGTAATTCTCGTACAAGAAGTTGTTGGTATGCTCCTTGAGCTCTTCCATGTGAGTGCGGATGAGCATCTGGCGCAGCTTGACAAAGTCGCAATGCTCCTCATTGTCCACCTCGATGATGCCCCAAGGGTAGCGACGGCCCCTGACCTTGCGGCCCTCAGCATTGGTGACTTCGTAGTTGGCACCAACCACCGCGAAGGGAACCTTGGACATAATCTCCTGGTTCTCGGCAATGGTCTCCTCGTCGTCGAGTTCGTAGCGCGGACCCTCAAAGATCTGGATCGAGTGGTGCTGAATGTCAGTCAAAATCTGTAGATGTTAGTTTTGTGTTTCAACAGTCAGCCCAGATATAGCTCACTCTCTGCTTGAAGGAAGCGACTTCCTCATCAGTCAGGGTGTCGGCCTTGGCGATCACAGGGATCAGGTTGACCTTGGTATGCAGGCGGCGCATGACTTCAATGTCAAGAGGCTTGAGGGAGTGGCCCGTGGGCTGGATGAAGTAGACACAGGCGTGCACCCGGTTGTCTACGATGTTCATGCGGTTGACCTTGTTCTCGGCCTCGAGATAAGCATCGAATCTCTGCTCAATATTCTCAACGATTGGTCGCCAGGAGTCGTCGTTGTTCACAAAGTCGCCAAAGCCGGGAGTATCGACAACTGTCAACCTCAGTCTGACACCGTTCTCTTCAATGTCGGCACTGATCGACTGGATGGCCACCGTCTTTGGGATGATGTCGAGGCTGGGTCCTTTGCGCTCGCGAGGAGGATAGAGCGAGGTGTTGAAAAGGGTGTTGACGAGGGTAGACTTTCCAAGTCCAGATTCACCTGGCAAGATCAGTTACTGGGATGGTGGATGCTTTGTTGAGTTACTACTCACCAACAACCATGACGTTGAAGTTGAAGCCCTTGCGGACGCTCTTGCGATGCCACTGATTAGGCAGGTTGGCGAAGCCAACGTATCCCGTCAGCTTCCTTCGCACAACGTTGCGCATGTCGCTGGCAGCTTGAGCTGCTGCCTTGGGGTCTTTGGACGACACGGTCTGGGCGGCACCTGAACCCATGGGGTTGCTTTCTCTCACATATGGAGAGGTGGGCTTGCCATTTGGTACGCTAGGAGAAGGCGATTTAGCAGTCGGGGTGCCATTTGCTACGGCAGCTGGGGATTCTGGGTTGTCAGTCAAAGTGGTCTCATTGTCAGGGATGGCGACGGATTGCGGTTGGGCATCAGTCGACTGCGCAAATTCATTGGAAGAAAAGCCCATCTTGAACACCCGAAGCAGTCTATGATCTTGCAGTTGCAGACCAACAGTGGCAACTTGCGAGCGGATCGAAAGTGATAGTAGTGATGATGTGGCAGAGCGCAGTTGGAGTAAGGTGACGCGGGAGGGGAAAGCTCACCCATTGTGACTGCTGCTTCGGAGGTTCGAAGACGTGAAGAGAAGGTGCGCAGTCAATGAGAAGTAGTTGCAACGCCTGCTCAATGTCAGTCTCTTGTATTCGATGGTGCGTCGCGCAGGAGGCAGTTCGGAGTATGGACATTGTGGTCGGATATGCTGAAACATCGTGGGGACAGGGTGTGAACATACCGTCAACTGAAAATTATTCCGTGAAGCGAGCGAGGTACCAACAGCGACAGCCGGCTGGAAAAGTGACAGAATTGAAGGTACCAAGGGGAGCGATAATACAGAAAGTCGGAAGTGCTCAGGAATGGCACGAGAGGACCTGACACGGGGTACGGTTTGCAAAGGAAAGGGGCTTTTTCTCTGCGCCGGCTCGAGAGAGGCCCCATCGCGCTGTTTTGATTGGCTCGAATCTGTCCATCAACCCCTGAGGGCGATCCCTGTGCTGCCAAGGCTGCGGAGCAGGAGTTCCAACAGTCCAAGCAAGCGTTGAATGCGCATTTTGATGGGGCCATGAGATTGACATGAGTTGACAGTTCTTTCTATTATACCTTTTGTACATCCAGAACACCAGTCAAGTAGCTGGGGTATCGTCTATCTGCTCACTTGCGCCTTCCGATCTCCACCATATCATCAATCATGCCACAAGTCTAGTTGTTCTTACACTGCCGACCCTTCGCTTGGTCGCAATGTGTCGAAGTATTTCACAAAGTATTGGTACAACACCAGCATTGTGGTTGTTTGAACGCCCGTCCATACGAATCGCGGCCCGACCCCCCGAAACCAGCCAGCCACACCCTCGGTCTGGTATATAAGCCTCAGGCCATGGATGACAGAAGAAGTGTCCAACGTTGGAGCGGTAGTAGGCACCGTCCTTGGAGACGAGTGTAGGGCTCTTGTCTGAGGCTTAGCTGTTTTCTTTGCCCTCTTTTCCATGTGTGATGCCTGGCTGCTCTTAGCATGGTCGTCGTGCGTGATCTGGGTTTGTGTCCGTGTCTTGACAACGTCCAGCGGGCATGTCAAAACACCCGCAGCGCCACCAGCCGATAGTGCGGTCGCTATTTCCAGGCCTAGGCCAAGGTCTTTCGTGCCCGTCCATTGCATAGCGTATGCTCTCTCTTGTTCATAGAATGCAAACTGCAGCGCTGAGAAGGGGAGGTCCCGAACGATAGTCGCTTTGTAACCGGAATAGAGGGCTCCGAAACCTTCTGTTCTCGCTATTGTCTTTGCAGCATCCCAAGTCGAGCGGTAATTATATCCGGAGTAGAAAAACGGGTTGTTGTATTGTCCTTGGAGCTGCAGGCGGGTCTTGAGCACTTCAGAAGGGACATAAACCACCGAGGCGACTAAGTCGGCAAGGAAACCTGCGCTGGATCAGTCTTCGGTCCTTGAATAGATGGGGCAGTGACATACCGCTGGTCAGGAACGTCGCAGTAGGGCTGACGCCTCGATCCAGCATCTCCCGCTTCGTCCATTCGTACGTGCCAAAGAAGATGACGGTACCTGGGAAAGATCCCAGCATGGCTGCGGTAAATCCTCCATACAAGCCGCGTCTGAAACCCTCTTGTCGGAATATTTTCGCATAGGAGTCGGACAGACTAGTGTACTTAGGAGGAAAATGCGGATCGCCTTGTTGTCTCGTTTTGACGGTATCGAGCGAGTGCATCAGGATGTCGCCGGTGGTGCCCCCGATTCCGCCCGCCAACATGGACTTTGCAGGTCAGTAAGGCCTGGCTCCTGGTGGATTGGCACTTACGTGGAGGTATGGCGGCCTCTGCAATTCCAACTCGACCTCATCATTAATTTTCATGGTCGCCGGCACGCTATTCTGTCGTGTGCCGTTGATCTGATCGGAGTACTTGACAATCTCATCTTGCGCCGGATCTAGGTACTGCTGATGCTGAGTACTCGGAAGCTCGTTTGTGAAGAATCGAGAGATAAAGCTCATGGCAGGGCAATGTGCCCAGAGACAGAAAAAGAAGAATGCTATGCAAAGAAGTGATGTAGTAGGATGATGAATGTGCGAGATCCCAACAGCTGCGGTCGGGGATGCGCAAATAATTTGTCGCTACCTGATGCGCAAAAGCCGAAGGTCCGCCACAGCCTCGCTCGCCCGAGCTAAACATCTCCGAGTCGTGCTCGAATATATTTACATCATTCTGCGGTCCAGAAATTTAATGATCATGGCATGCCTAGGTAGAGAACATGGCAAATTAGACGGAGTGAATTGCTGAAACTTTTGCCTATGTGGCTATTGAATGTTTGTACAATTCGCTCCGCCTGAACGTACCGTACCGTACCCGAATGCTAATCAACATACAATTAAAGCATCAACTCCAAAGGATTCTCTATCACCTTTTTCAGCTCCCGAATCCATTCACCACCAACAGCACCATCAATAACCTTGTGGTCGAAACTGGCGGTGACAATGATTTGGTCATCCCACTCGGTCAGTGTTCCATCTTCTGTCTCCACAGGTATGGCGACCTTTCGAGTGGTGCCCACAGCTAGAATGGCCGCTTGGGGTGGGTTGATGACGGCAGTGAACCTCTCGACCGCAGCGTTCATGCCCATGTTGCTGATAGTGAACGTTCCTCCTTGGTACTCCTCCGGCTTGAGCTTGCCGTCACGTGCCCGCTTACCCAAATCCTTGACCTGATTCGAGATGGAGGTGAGGCCGATGCTGTGGGCGTTCTTGACGATAGGAGTCATAAGGCCCACAGGAGTAGCCACAGCAACAGACACATCGACAACATTGCTCTGGCGGATGACTGTTTGACCGTTGACTTCTCTCCAACTTGAGTTGACAGCCGGAACCTTTAGACAAGCGATGGCGCAAGCCTTGATCAGGAAGTCATTGACCGAAAGCTTATAAGCACCGTTTGCAGAAGCATTGAGCGACTCCCGCAGTTTCAGCAGCTTCGTAACAGAGAGCGTAGTGGAGACGAAGTAGTGGGGGTTCTGGTTCATCGAATCCTTCAACCGTGTGGCGATCGTCTTGCGCATGGAGCTGGCAGGAATGTCCTCGTATGTAGGCACACCTGCAGCGACGGCTGCCGGTGCCGCAGCTCCACCACCTGACTGGGCTTTCTCAACATCCTGTTTGGTGACAGCACCTCCGCGACCAGTGCCCTTGAGTGAACTGATGGACACGCCCTTCTCGAGCGCAAGCCTCCTTGCGGCTGGGCTGATGGACGGCTCGCGGTCTAGGACGGATTCCAAACGACCGCTGCTGCTGCTCGTTTCTTCCGGTGGAGGAGTGGAGGGCTCGCTCTTGGAGGGAGCACTGCCCGATTCTGACGAAGGGGCTTCGCTGGCTTCGGACGCCTCTTGCTTAGGTGCTTCTTTGGCCGGAGCTTTCTCACCGCCAGCATCTTCAAGTGTGAAGTTTTCGAAAGCGGAGACATCTTCGCCTTCTTCGACCATGACCGCAATAGGCTGTAAATGATTAGCTATAGTCCTCAGCCAAATGATGGTCACATACGTTGCCAACTGCGACATCCTTCTCACCAGTCTCCTTTAGGATCTTGGCCAGTACACCATCTTCTTGGAACTCAAAGTCCATCTGAGCCTTGTCTGTTTCAATCTCAACGAGCACGTCGCCGGGGGCCAAAGTTTCGCCGGGGGCCTTCTGCCACGCGCCGATATTTCCTGCAGTCATTGTCGGTGAGAGCGCAGGCATGCTGATGACAGTATGGGGAGGGAAGGCTGTTACATGATTAGACACTTCTACAACACACTTGTGGAACAGCTCACATTTCGAGGCATAGTAACGGCTGAGGGCGGAGAGCATTGGTAGGGGTCGGAGGCTGCTCAAGTTAGACAAAGTGATTATGTGCGTTGAACAAGCTTACGAGGCATGTTGTATCCTATGCGCGACTCCGCTCGTCAAGCCAGAGCTCGGAGCAGCCTGCAAAAGTATCCTGGGAGAGCATCGGAGGGTGAGTGTTGATGCAGCCATTGTGAAAGGAGGTGGTGGTTTTGGGTCCCTCCCACCAGGCCTCGATCACAGACTTGACGGGGCAGCTGAAAGAGCGACGGAGTAAAGACAAGAGCTCGAAGAAACACAAGATTGAAAGGTGGGAGGATGCAGATGGACGAGGTGATGGGGAGCAAGAGCTCACAAAAACGGACAGCGCTGGCGTCGCAGGTGGAGCTTCATCCCGAGCCCAAGTTCTGTTGAACTCGAATCCTCAAGCAACGGGCGCATTAGGGATCCCCGTGAGGGTTAGGGCTCTTTGACGGTAGGGCGGTAGGCTTCACCCGCTGCGGCCTCACTTGCACCTATGGCTGACTCCGCTACCCTACGATTACAGGCGCCGGATGCTGTCACTGAAACTACATGTGCAAAGTGCACAACTGTCCCGTAGTACCCCAACTTGCTCATTCGCATTGTCGGTTCCAGGGAGCGTGCTTGTCTTCTATCCACAAATGATTTGATTTCAGGTCTTTCCATCCGTCTCTCCTTGTAATACATGCCAGCCAAATGTCTGGTGATGCGACCGAACCTCCTATTGATCACCCACCCGAGGACGCTCAAGATGCAACCACGGGAAACCCGGAGGCGGTCGATCTGAATGATGAGCAGGTGCCGGTTAATGCTGCACACCCGGACGGGCTTCGATCACATCCACGCATAGTAGTGGAAGGGGAGGAGGTGAACTCGTCTGACGACGAAGAGGCCCCCCAAGATGAGCCTCCGCAGATGCCAGAAACAGCCGACGCTGCGGCAGGTGAAACGAAAGTGAACGGATCAGATGGCTATGGGAATGATGGTGCGCAAGAGGAACGACCAACCGGAGCTGCGGAGGGCTCGCCGCGCTCAGACGAAGATGCCATCTCGAACGCTGGTACTGAAATACCCACGCGAACGAGAACAGACTCGAGGTCGACCACGGCAACCCGTTCACTGCCGGTATCGTCTACAGTATTTGTTGTCAACGCCCTCGAATCAATCGGTGCATCCAAGGAGGCGCGGAGAAACAAAGAGTTCGCAGACGCTGTTCAGGCAGCGTTGGAAAATATTAAGAGCCATGAGCAGCCTGTCAACCCGGAGCTTATATTCAAGCCACTCCAACTGGCCACCAGGTCCTTCTCTGTTCCACTGCAGGTCACAGCTCTTGACTGCGTTGGCAAATTGATCAGCTATTCGTACTTCGCCTTCCCTGCTGTTACCATCACCCAACCCGACGCTCAACCCGAAACTTCTGAGACACCACCCCTCATCGAGCGGGCAATTGAAGCGATATGCGACTGCTTCGAGGGCGAAGCTACGGCCGTAGAGATTCAGCAGCAGATCATCAAGTCACTGCTAGCTGCTGTGCTAGACGACAAGATCGTGGTTCACGGCGCTGGACTACTCAAAGCCGTGCGGCAAATCTATAATATCTTCATCTACTCCAAGTCAAGCCAGAACCAGCAAGTCGCCCAGGGATCTTTGACGCAAATGATTGCGACCGTATTTGATCGTGTAAGGTCGCGACTGGAGGCACGGGAGGCACGATCGCAGCACAAATCCGAGGATAACCTTTCAGGCGAGCAGTCGGTGGTCGACAACAATGGTGTCAACGGCCTCAACGGGGCTGACAGTACGGTGCAGACCCCCGAAACAGAGACTCCGCCTGCTCTGAATCAAGGAAAGGGCATGACCCTTCAAGACTTCGAGAACAACAAGAATCTGGACGACGCTGTTGCTGCCGACTCGGCGCCTACAACCGTGACCAGAGCAAGAGACAGGAAAGCAACGCGCAGCGGGTCTGGTCAGGTCTCGAGGTCGAGCATGCAAGAAGACCGCGATGATGCTGAACTTTCCTTAGAGGATGAGGATGAGATTTACATCAAGGACGCTTTCCTGGTTTTTCGCTCTCTGTGCAAACTCAGCCAAAAGGTACTCACGTATGATCAACAGCAGGACCTCAGGTCACAGAACATGCGTTCTAAGCTACTGTCTCTCCATCTCATTCACCACGTTCTCAACAACTTTACTATCGTCTTTATCTCTCCTCAGTCGACTCTCAGAGGCGGACCGTCGGGTGAACAGAACCCCTTCATTGAGGTTGCGAAGCCTCATCTCTGCTTGAGCTTGTCTAGAAACGCCTCGAGCTCAGTACCTCGCGTGTTCGAGGTCTGCGCTGAGATTTTCTGGCTATGTCTGAAGCATCTTCGGGTCGCACTGAAGAAGGAACTCGAAGTGTTCCTCAAAGAAGTCTACCTTGCTGTTCTCGAGAAACGCACCGCACCCCAATTCCAGAAGCAGATGTTCATGGAAATCCTTGAAAAGCTCTCTAGTGACCCAAGGGCGCTAGTCGAGATATATCTCAACTATGATTGCGATCGAACTGCGCTCGATAACATGTACCAGCTAATCATTGAGCATTTGTCACGGATCTGCAGCACACCTATCGCTGTGACTCCCCAGCAACAGATGCTATATCAGGAGAACGGGAAACCAAAGTCACAATATAGTGACTGGCATTCAAGAGGTTCTCTCTTACCCGGTCTTTCAACTGCTACCCTCAGCCACCCGCCACCCGCTCCAGGACCATTGCCAGTCGAGTATCTGCTAAAGCAGCAGTCACTGAAGTGCCTGATGGAGATTCTGAGCTCACTGGATAATTGGTCAAGCCAGTCTGTCGAAAGCGGATCGAACAGCCAGTATCCGGCTTCGCGATCGTCTTTCCAGGAGTCGCGCGAGTCCCTGGACACACCTGACAAACCTCCTGCATCGCCGAGGTTTCCCAGTGTGCACACTGGTTTGGACTCCGGCGTCGGCACACCAGTCGCGGAAGACGACCCGAACGAAATTGAGAGGGTGAAGAAGAGGAAGACTGCCCTCAACGAAGCAATTCGACAGTTTAACTTCAAAGCAAAACGAGGTCTCAAAGCTTTGTTGTCTGACGGATTTATCAAAAACGATACTCCCGAAGATATTGCGAGGTTCTTGATATCCAGTGATAGGTTGAACAAAGCCGCGCTCGGTGAATTTCTGGGCGAAGGTGATGACTACAATGTGGCTATCATGCACGCCTTCGTCGACCAGATGGAGTTTCACAAGAGGCGGTTTGTTGATGCTCTTCGCCAGTTTCTCCAAAGCTTCCGCCTACCAGGTGAAGCTCAAAAGATCGATCGTTTCATGCTCAAGTTTGCAGAGCGATATCTTACCGGCAATCCGAATGCGTTTGCAAATGCGGACACCGCTTACGTACTAGCGTACTCCGTGATCTTGTTGAATACGGATGCACACAGCAGCAAAATGAAGGGCAGACGTATGAACCTGGAGGAGTTCATCAAGAACAATCGGGGCATCAACGATGGACAAGACCTCCCCCCAGAGTACTTGACTGCTATCTTTGACGAGATTCAGAGTAACGAGATAGTGCTCGCTTCGGAGCGAGACCACGCAGCGGATCTGGGTATCCAAGCCTCTGTTCCAGCTACTGGTCTCGCTACCAGAGCCGTGCAAGGACTGGCAAACGTCGGCAGAGATCTGCAGCGCGAGAAATACAACCAAGCATCCGAAGATATGGCGAATCGAACTGAGCAGCTCTATCGCAGCCTCATTAGAGCACAGCGGAAGTCTGCCGTACGAGACATGCTCTCGCGATACATCTCTGCATCTTCGGTAAAGCATGTGGGTTCAATGTTCAACGTGACCTGGATGTCGTTCCTCTCTGCCTTGTCAAGTCAGATGCAAGACGCTCAAAACTTTGAGCTGATTAAGGAGTGTCTGAACGCTCTGCGGTTGGCCATTCGCATTTCTTGCCGGTTCGATCTTGAAACACCGAGGACAGCATTTGTTACATCCCTGGCCAAGTTTACCAATTTGAGCAATCTAAAAGAAATGATGGCCAAGAATCTGGAAGCGCTCAAAGTTCTTATAGACATTGCTCTGACGGAAGGCGATGTCTTGAAGAACTCTTGGCGTGACATCTTGACCTGCATCAGCCAGCTCGACCGCTTGCAGCTGCTATCTACCGGCATCGACGAGAGCGCAGTGCCTGATGTGAACCGACAGTCTATTCCTACACCATCAAACATTGGCGAAGGTCGGTCTCGGAAATCGACGCAAGGCAAACGACCGAGGCCAAAGTCTGCCCAAAGCTTCCGGCCTGAGGTTGCTGATGAGACCAAATCATCAGACATGATTCGCAATATCGACCAGATCTTTTCAAACACCGCCAAGCTATCGTCAGATGGAATAGTGGACTTTGTGAAAGCCCTTACGGATGTCAGCTGGCAAGAAATCCAATCCTCGGGCAACAGCGAGTCTCCTCGGACCTTCAGTCTGCAGAAGCTGGTAGAGATCAGCTACTATAACATGACCCGAGTCAGAATCGAATGGACCAGGCTCTGGGAGGTTTTGGGCGAGCACTTCAACCAGGTCGGCTGCCACAACAACACAACCGTCGTCTTCTTTGCTCTTGACTCGTTGAGGCAACTGTCGATGCGCTTCATGGAAATTGCAGAATTGCCAGGCTTCAAATTTCAAAAGGATTTCCTTAAGCCATTCGAGTATGTCATGGGCAATACAACCGTGGTGACCGTCAAAGACATGGTCTTGCGGTGTTTGATACAAATGATTCAAACTAGAGGCGACAATATTCGCTCGGGATGGAAGACCATGTTTGGAGTGTTCACCGTTGCTGCTGCGGAGCAGTATGAGGCCATTGTCAACATTGCTTTTGATTACACGACTCAGATCTACAACACCAGGCTCGGGGTGGTGATCACCCAAGGATCCTTTCCTGATCTGATACAGTGCTTGACGCAGTTTTCTAAGAATTTGAGATTCCAAAAGAAGTCTCTCCAAGCAATTGAGTTGCTCAAATCGACAGTCCCGAAGATGTTGCAGACACCTGAATGTCCCCTGTCAAGAAGACACAGCAAACAGGCAGAGAACGGAGTTGTTGCAGGCGTCAGACAGCCTAGTGCTCAAACAGAAGAGGAGCAATTCTGGTATCCGGTGCTCATGGCGTACCAAGACATACTGATGACAGGTGATGACCTCGAAGTACGGTCAAGGGCGCTCAACTACCTGTTCGAAACTCTGATACGATATGGTGGCGACTTCCCGCCTGAGTTCTGGGACACGCTGTGGAGACAACTTCTGTATCCGATCTTCGTCGTGCTTCAGTCCAAGTCCGAGATGTCAAAGGTTCCGAACCATGAGGAGCTTTCGGTGTGGCTGTCGACAACCATGATCCAGGCACTTCGCAGCATGATCACCCTATTCACCCACTACTTTGACTCGTTACAGTATATGTTGGATCGATTTTTGGACCTCTTGGCGCTTTGTATCTGCCAGGAAAATGACACGATCGCGCGAATTGGCAGCAATTGTCTTCAGCAGTTGATTCTCCAGAATGTCACAAAATTCAGTCCGGATCACTGGTCCAAGATCGTGGGAGCTTTTGTTGACTTGTTCAACCGGACCACAGCGTACGATCTTTTCTCGGCTGCCGCAACAATGTCTGATGCGCGCACGCCGGCGCTTAGCGAAGGAGGCGACGGCCTGAGCATTTCGGGCACGACCGAGGTACAGACTCCTGTTGCGGAGGAGACATCATCGCTGGACACAGGGCTAGATGCAACTACCGAGGCAACTGGGTCACCTGACCAAGCACTCGAGGACTATAAGCCTCACGCTGACATGCAAACGCCGGTTCCGGTGGTGACGGCAGCTCGACGGCGGTTCTTCAACAAGATCATCACCAATTGTGTGCTGCAACTGCTCATGATCGAAACTGTGGCCGAGCTTTTCTCCAACGACAGTGTGTATGCACAGATCCCGTCGCCGGAGCTCCTGAGACTTATGGGACTGTTGAAGAAATCATACCAATTCGCCAAAAAGTTCAACGGCGACAAAGAACTTCGCATGTCGTTGTGGCGGCAAGGCTTCATGCGCCAACCGCCCAACCTACTCAAGCAAGAATCCGGGTCCGCCAACACCTATGTCAGCATTCTGCTGCGCATGTATCACGACGAGGGTGAAGAAAGGCGAAACAGCAGAGAGGAGACGGAGGGCGCACTGATACCGTAAGTTGACTGTTGCCACGGATGTGGTGTATTGACACTGACATGAACAGGCTGTGTGCTGACATTATCCGCTCCTTCACTCAACTCGACGAAGAAACACAGCAGCGCAATATTGTTGCATGGCGGCCGGTGGTGATAGATGTGCTCGAGGGATACACCAACTTCCCCCGAGACACGTTCGACAAGCACATTGAGACATTCTTCCCTCTCGGAGTTGCTCTTCTGGAGAAAGAAGTCGGGACTGAACTCCGAGGGGCGCTCTGGGGACTATTTAGACGCGTTGGGGAGACGAAATTCGGAATGGCGGAGTTCAGGCCACGGGAGAACAGTATTGGAGGCATGAGCAGTGTTGGAGCGACACCTACGAGCCCAGCAATGGGCAGAGATGAGCGGGAGTGGCGACGCAGAGGAAGCCGAATCAGTCGGACAGGCCCATCGTGATGGTCAGCCCAAAATCAGATACATAGCAGAGGAAGCATGACCTGGAGTTGGGCAGAAGCCCAGCCGGAAGTGTGCCGAGTTGACGATGCACCGTGTGTAAACAAGCTTCCTGAGCGATGAGACAAGCTCGTCCATCCTGATCGTCTCAGGTCCGAAAGCGCGCGATTCCAACCATGACATCAGCCTACTCCCGCGCCAGGAACCAAGGTCCCCCGCCCGCAGCCCGTAGCCCGCAGCCCCAGTATCTGTCCAAAGTCGAGCGTGTACCACATTACAGCCTCGCAACCCCTCTTTACCCTCTGGCTCGTGTCGGTGTTCTGTTGAGGAAGTGCTTCTGTTCGATTGTACTGAAAGAGAGAGCGCCTCCATTGTGCCACGCGACATCTGTTCCGCCACGCGGCCTGGTCTTGGTATTCTATCGGCTCACTTCACCAGCGTCAAGACTGGCTCCGCTGTTCTTGTCGTCCTTTTCGGCGCCTTGATCACTAGATATCCTGGGCCTGCCGTTCTTCCCGTGGTGCAAACACACAATATAACAAGTCAAAATGCAAGGCCTTCGCGACAAGTTGAAGGGTGCGTGCCTATCTTACCCCGCCTCCGCTTCCTTCTGACCCACGTGCTACAGATACCAAGCTGTATGATGCCAAGGTAGAGGCAATTCATCTCAAGAATAAGATCGGGAAGATCGGAAACCTTTTCAACGCGAATCATCGACATGATGAAGCCCATGAGCAGGCCACTGACAAAAAGCGCACCGCCATCTGCGAGCAGAACCGCTTCCACTCATTCTTTCCGGAGCGACCAAACAACAAGGTGAAATGGTACGTTGACGGTCGCGACTACTTCTGGGCCGTCTCTGTTGCTCTAGAAAGCGCCAAAGAAAGCATCTACATAGCCGACTGGTGGCTGTCTCCCGAGCTCTTCCTTCGCCGACCACCGTACTTCAATCAAGAATGGCGCCTCGACATGATCCTCAAGCGTGCCGCCGAGCGTGGCGTTCAGATCTATGTCACTGTTTACAAAGAAGTCCAACAAGCCCTCACTTGCAACTCGGCCCACACCAAGCATGCCCTTCGAGCGCTGTGTCCCGAAGGCACCCCCGGTCATGGCAATATCCATATCCAACGCCATCCCGACCACAATCTCTTCGAGAACCTTGGCGATATGACCTTTTACTGGGCTCATCATGAGAAGTTCATCGTCATTGATTACGAATTGGCTTTCATCGGTGGCCTCGACATGTGCTACGGTAGATGGGATGTGCGCCATCACGTCCTGGCTGACGTCCATCCTTCCGGTGTCCAGAACGAAATCTTCCCCGGTCAAGACTTCAACAACAATCGCATTATGGATTTCCACACGGTCACGGATTGGATGAACAACGAGTTGAACAAGACCGATTACGGTCGCATGCCCTGGCATGACGTCGCAATGGCCGTAGTGGGAGAATGTGTTGTCGACATAGCAGAGCACTTCGTCCTGCGCTGGAACCACGTCAAGCGCGATAAGTACAAGCGAGACGAGAAGACACCATGGCTCTGCTTGGAAACACGCGCCAATAAGGAGGGCACTAAGGAAGACGAGGAGCTCATTGGTGTACAGCGGCCTAAGCACCCCATGGGCGAGTACATCCAGCACCCGCTGAGCCCACTACAGTCCAAGATCCTGGCAAACCAAGGCACTGTGCACGCACAAATTGTTCGCAGCAGTGACGACTGGTCTAGCGGCATCCTCAACGACCACTCAATTCAGAATGCTTACAAAGAAGTCATTGCAAATGCGCAGCATTTCGTATATATTGAGAACCAATTCTTCATAACCGCCACGGGAGAGAATCAGGCACCCATCCTCAACACCATTGGCCGGTCCATCGTCGAAGCCTGTGTGCGTGCCGGCAGGGAGAATCGCAAGTTCCGTGTCATCATTATCATTCCCGCCATCCCAGGATTCGCGGGCGATCTTCGCGACGATGCCGCCATTGGCACTCGCGCGATTATGGACTACCAATACAAATCCATCTCCCGAGGCGAGCACAGTATCATGGGCCAGATCAAAGCCGCTGGCTTCGACCCCACACAGTACATCTTTGTCTTCAACCTTCGCGCTTTTGACCGCATCAACAAGACGCCAGGCCTGATCCAGCAAGAGAAGGACTCCGGCGTTACGTATCAAGAACTTCAACGTGCTGAAGCCGAGGAAATTATGGGTAGCGGCATCCACGGCTTTGAGGGCGAGGACGAAGAAGACGGCCGAGACAAGAAGAACCACAATCGTGACACTCGTATCAACGATGAGGAGCGTCAGAAGATCATCGATCGCAAGCGCCGCTTCGAGGCTGCACGCAAGAACGTCGATGCCGAGGACCCCATTCACAGCGCCGACTCAGTTGCCGAGGATCTGATGGCTCGTGGTGGCTTGGTGTCGGAAGAGCCGTGGGAAGGCGAACCCGAGGACGAGAAGCAGCATTTTGTGCAGGAGGAACTGTACATTCACGCCAAGCTGCTGATCGTAGACGACCGCACCGTCATCTGCGGCTCGAGCAACCTCAACGACCGCTCGCAGCTGGGCTCGCACGACTCGGAGCTCTCGATCGTCATGCAGGATACCCGCGTGCTCGAGTCGACCATGGACGGCCAGCCATTCCAAGCAGGCTACCACGCGGCAACGCTACGGCGCCATCTCTGGCGCGAGCACCTCGGCATGATCGAAGCACAAACCCTGGATGCCAAAGATGACCCCAATGCCCAGCCGCCCACCGTGGCCATGAACGACGAGTACAGCGGCGAAGAATGGGAGTTCGTGGCGGACCCGCTCGGCGACGCCGTGTGGAACAAGTGGTGCGAGCAGGCCACCACCAACACCAACCAGTACCGCTACATGTTCCGCGCGGACCCGGACGAGAACATCCGCACGTGGAACGACTACGACACGTTTGCGCCGCGCAAGTCGGTCAAGCAGGGCCATCTGCATGACCCGTACATGCCGGCCGCCAAGGTGCGCGAGGAGCTGGACAAGATCCGCGGCCATCTCGTGTGGATGCCCATGGGCTTCCTGGAGGAGGAGAAGATGGCCGAGTGGGGAATGCAGGTCAATTCGGTTACTGAGGTGAGTTTTTGTCTTCTTTCTCTTCGCGTGAATTCGGAAGAGTGTGCTAATCGTGCGGCAGAGTGTGTATACTTGAGAGTGCAGCTGGACCTGAGTTGGCGTTGGACGTGGCGGTGGGACATGTGATGGATGATGAAGACAGACAGGAACGTAGGCGTCTTGGTCACAGCAGCAGCTAGGGTCAAAGCTGAACCGCCTGGCGCGGACTGCAGACGCCAAAGGCAAGGAGGGCGGGTATAAGGCGTTATCTGTACCTTTGCATGATCTGGGTATCCCTATCGAAATATCGTTGACGTAAAAAAGCCCTTTTAACAGCAGCAGCAGCTGATCGTATCAGAGTAGGTAGCCCTGACGGTCTTTCAAATGGCGAATCCGTAGCTGCCATCCCAATCCCAGACAACGCCGTCCTGCTTGCCGCCGCCCAGGCGCAGCTGTTCGAAGCTCGGCACCTCGTCCGTGTCATAGAATCTCACAAGCGCATCCATCTCGTCGTCGCCCAACACACCCAGCTCTTCGCCCTCCCATTCATCGCACACGCGCGTCATCCACGCCATGCGCCGCTGGATATCCTCCGTGCCGATCCCCGGCGCTCGTTTGCGCAATTTCCTCCTCAGCTGGCCCACGCGCGCGATACTGTCGCCCGTCCCCTGCGGCAGAAACCCTGCAATGTCCCGCCGGATCCTCGCCGCCAGCCGCGGCCCATTCCCGTTCGTGCTCACCATGATCTGCAGCGGGCCGTCACGGTGCACGCTCCCAAAGTAGAAGTCACACTCGGGCGGCACGTCGGCGATGTTGGCGGGGACGCGCTGCGCCTTGCAGTATTTCCAGATGCGGGTCGAGGCGGCTGGGTCGTCGATGGCGGTGAGGACCATGGCGACGTTTTTTGAGGGCTCGAGGTCGAGGGGTAGGAAGACGCGGTCGACGTGCGTCACTTGGCCGTGGGCGATGCGGTGGCGGACTTCCGGGTTGAGGCCCGAAGAAGGGCAGACGACGGTGACGCGTGCGTCGGCGTTGAGGAGGTTGAGGATGCGGCCGGCTGCGACCTGGATGGGGGAGGAGGAGTGGTTAGTATGGGGAGAATTGGTGGTGATTCAGAGAGGAGAGACGGTGGAGGTGGTGATCAGGCAGTAGATTGCTTACCTCGCCGCCGCCTACGACTAGGACATTCTTGTTCCGGATTTGCCAGGCGAGGATCAGGGAGCCTCCGCCCTGCACCTGAGGGAACTGTTCGGGCATGGTGTGCGCGGGCGCGCAGAAGAATCCATTGGGAGAAGAGAGAGTCACGGCGCCGTGGAAATACTCGCAGTCGAATTGAAGGGAGGGCCCGCTCGATGATGAAATTGCAGGCCACGCCCGATAAGATTGTCGGCGTTCGGCGCTACTTTGCTCCGGCATCGACAACTTTTCTTGTGGGCGGGCAGGCGTGAATGAATGGTTGCTATCACTTGACTCCTCGTGATCTGAAGTGGAAAGCAATGTCTTTGGAGCCTCCAGACTCATGAATCGTCATATCTACACAGCCATATTGATACAGACCCGACTCACGGCACAATGAGAGGCGTCAAAGTCTTCTCCGGCACCTCCCACCCCGCCCTCACCGAAGCTATCTGCCAGCGTCTGGGCACCACACCTACACCATGCGACCTCGGCCACTTCGCCAACGGCGAGATTCGTGTGCAAGTTGGCGTCTCAGTGCGAAATGATGACGTCTTCATCGTTCAAAGCGGCAGCTCTCGCATCAACGACAGTGTGATGGAGATGCTCATTATGATCAATGCTTGCAAGGGCGGCTCTGCCAAGTCCATCACCGCCGTGCTACCCTACTTCCCATACTCGCGCCAGTCCAAGAAAAAGGCTCACAGAGGCGCTATCACTGCGAAGATGGTGGCCAACCTCATGTCTGTGGCGGGAGTCAGCCACGTCATCACTGTCGACCTGCACAGCTCGCAGATGCAAGGCTTTTTTGGAAAACCAGTCGACAACCTCCACGCTGAGCCCCTAATAGCAAGGTGGATCAAGACCAACGTCAAGCACTGGAGCCATGCTGTGGTGGTCAGCAAGAATGTGGGCGGCACCAAACGTGTCACTTCTTTGGCAGACCGCCTGAATGTCCAATTTGCCATCGTTTCCACCGAACGAGAGAGGAGACGACCGCCTGGCCAACCGGTCAACATGGCTGACTCCACTGTCTTCTTCGATGCGGTCGAGCCTGCATCCCTGCGCACTTTTGAGCGATCCAACAGTACCGACAGCGATCGAAGCAATGATGCAGACACAGAGGCTGACTCGGCACCGTCGCCGAGACTCAAGCTCCAGGCCAATGGCGGCGCTTCTCGCCCTAAAGCGGTCACCATTTCCTCCGATCCACAGATCTCCAGCACTCCTCCATCCGCAGAGGGCCCCAACGATTCAGACGAGGACCTGCTGGGCGCGGGCGTGAACCGGGCCGAAACCTTCCCCAGCGCACGGAGACCGTCTGAATACGAGGCCGCCGACTCTCTGAATGATCAAAAGGCAAGGGATGTCATCATTGGCCGCTTGATTCAGGGTCATGTCGTCGACGATGACCACCCGTCTCCCGCGTTATCGGCGCAGTACGGTGCAGACCGCAACTCGGATGGAAACGATCACGATCCAATGACCTCTTCGTTCATCTCCACTACATCCTCGTTGCAAGCTGATCATGCCCTCGGTGGAACGCTGGATGCTGCAGCATCGTCGGATGAAGAAGAGGATGGGATCAAGAACCCCGACCTACAGCACACGGTGACTCTAGTCGGTAATGTCAAGGATCGCACCGTGATCATCATGGACGACATTATTGACAAGACCGGATCGTGGATAGCTGCCGCCGAGACTTGTGTTAAGAGGGGTCAGGCTAAGATGGTGTATTGCATTGCGATCCATGCCTTGTTCGACGATGAGTCCCTGGCAGAGCTCGAAGCCTGCGAGTGCATTGATTACGTGGTGGTGACAAATACCTTCCCTATGGCCAGTGAGCGGGCTAAGTCCTCCCGCAAACTGATTGTGATTGACCTGTCCAACCTTCTTTCGGAAGCCATCAGGCGCAATCATCACGGAGGTACGCAGCCTTCTCTGGAGCCATACTTGGACAAATTCTAACCGCTTCATAGAGAGCGTGTCGACCCTTTTCCTCACCGATTGATGAGGCTCAACGGGGCGCTGGTTGGGCTACCAAGGTAGCGGTGATTGGTGATTACTTGGCGGATGTCCCTCTTATGCATCACGCGCGGCGTTACGGTGTTACAGAGCAGGCGAGAAAGCATCTTCACATGTGCTCATAGTAGGCATAGGCGGCGTCGAGAATCTGCCACGATGCTTTGTACACAATGAACCGGAACCATACATGTTAGTCGGACTTTCAAAATCCGGTCGAACGAGTAAAGGGCCACAGATGCCGAATGACGTCGGATAATCACGGCCTCAGGCAATGCATGCGCGCGCCCTGCAGCCACGGTTGTCTGAATCTCGGTGCACTATTTCGATGTGCTGCTGTCAAGGCACAATCTACACGACGTGCCTCTTTACACCGCCCTGAAGCACATCAGCTCGATTACGGCTCAGCCACATATGGCTGCTGGGCAACGTAGTTAGTTCTTTGCTTGACAGCCTTCAGATGAATGGATGTTTTTGCAAGGACCTCTGAATCGCGAGGCTACCAACCTAGTGGCCGGGCGGATCGTCATGCAATGCGATGCAGTGTCGCTTGTGAAGCGAGAACGAACAACCGGTCCACGAGGCTAAGTAGAGATCTACAACCTGCAGGGCCCCACGAGCATGCATGTCTCCTTTTACCTTATCGGATCCAAAAGACAACGCTGCAGCACAACTCATTGGGTCAGGCCACCACCGTTGAAAATCCTCGAGATGCACGAGCACTGTTTGGTCGCTGCAATCACGACCCGACTACTATGACGAGCAAGCGGAGTCAGATGGGGATTCCTAGGCGTGGAGGGTGTAGGGATACGTTGGGGGTTGTATTCGATTGCGCTAATGCACGACTCTCCTTTGGGCATTCTGCAGCATGATGGATATCCCTCGCTACCATTCTCGGACCTGGCAGGCAACTTGGCATTCACGCCTTTGTTCTGCACCGCGCGAAAACGGCTAGAGGACTCTGACTCGAACACTCTTAGAGTTGTGACAAGTTCTGTTGGTCGTGTGAACCACACGCAAGGGTTAGCGCACTGTGGGGGCTGTCAGTCACTGCAAGCCTCGCCCAACACCTCGGAAATGCAGTCCCTCTCTGCTCCAAACCCTGTGCCAGATCCCAGTGCCTCATTTGCGGTACCGATGTTTCGCGAACACCTGATGGCACATAGTCCTGCTTAGTGCTTCCGCTTGCGCACTACTCCGTACGAGCAAAATCACCTTGAATCCTTGAACCCTTGAACCCTGGCGGCGGAAGCTGTCTTCCGGATCCGTGTCTGCTGCATTTCAAGCTATCCATATCAAGCACTTCCTTGCGCTACTGCCATGGTGCGTTATGTCACATCCAACTGATATCCCGGTTTCACGGTCTTGGGCCTGTGCTAGAAAACCTTTGTTCCCGCCCCCATGTGTGCTATCTACCGTGAGTGGCCGCTTGGCTTGTCAGAAGGGTGGTGACTTCGACGATGAAACGGCTAGCTGTCTTGGATCACTTGTCAATGGCTCAGCCCTGCTAAATGTGGCTTGCAGAATCGCCCAAGACTCCCGACTGCAAGGTGCGAGAGCACGATCCTGCCGAGACTTCCGTTGAGCGCCCCAACGCCGGCCATCCTTCACCATCTCGGAATTCTTTGCAGCGGTATCCCGGATTTCGGTCCGGACGCAGCTCGAGTCGTATTCGCACCTTGGATTGTCCTGTACTCAAGTTTCCGCTACAGCCTCATCTTCGCTTGCCAATCCCCTAGTGTGCTAAGACCAGGTTCGAGCTAAAGCAACCGTTCCTTCGTTTCGGGACCCTGCCTTCGTTTCGACACCGTCACTACCACTCCACTGTAGCCTTTGTGCCAGATCTGGACATCCCTGTTCGGACCAGATCTGGCTTCACAGATCTCGGCAATACGGGCCATCGATGCTCAAGTAAATGCTTGCCCGCATGCAAGTATCTTGACAAGCTAGCAGCTACCGCCAGTCCGTGCTTCCTTCGATATGAGCACTGTGGATCTTAGGAGCCTACCATGCTTCCCCGACACGGCGTACCAGGATCCTGGACATGAAGCCTCTCCGTGGACTTTCATCGGTAGGCCCGAGCACTCGGAAAGCATTTGGACCTGATACGTTGTTTGAGGCTGATGGGGAGCGTAGGGATAAACAATATGTATATAAGGTTGGTGTCAACTTGAACTCTATCTCGACAAGACGGTGAACTCAAACTCATCCTCAACCCTTTGATCGGTGAGTGACTCTGGCCTCACGTTTTCTTATTTCACCCCCAGAGTTGCTCATCTTGCGTTGACCAACTCTCGACATTCATCCTCAGCAAGTTTGAGCAGGAGCAAACGAACCAGGACTCTTGTCATCAGTCAGCAGAGGCCGCCCCAGTCCATCCATCCGACCAATCCACAGCGTGCTGCAGCTCAGTCGAGCACCATCTTCAAGGCCACCACCAACACTGTACAGGCAGCATCCCTGGCGGCATCGTTCTCCATCCAACCAGCACCGTTCACGGTATCCGCCAACCCACCAGCGTCTATCCCTGAGCACACAACCGAAGATGACCAGCACCCGGCGATTCCCCCTGGTAAGCAAGTCTGCGTTTAGTACGCGAGCACTCGACCCACCGCTGCCCAACGTCCGGGATCAACATCCTTTGTATAGCCGAGCCTCATTCGTGCCTCACATTGGCTTTGCGCTTCATGAAGCCCCCACTTCCTATCCTCCCCCCTTCAGCCTGCGCCACTGCAACCTTCTTTCACGCAGTCTAGGCTCCTTCATTTCTTTTCTCCTCCACAGCTGCCCAACCGCTATCCCACTAACGCAAATTGAAACCTCAGGAAGGGCAGAAATGCACCGGTCACGAATGGGGCCGACTCAAGCACCCAGGCAACGATCTCGTGCACTGGTTCTGCGACGTGTGCCACGACAAGGTCAACGTGGTGTACCAATGCCAGAAATGCCGCTTCTACCTCTGTGCCAAATGCCGCAATCATGGGAACCTCGGTGGCCGTGATGTCGCTATGCCGGCGTATCCTGGGAGTGGCGGGTGAGTGCTTGATGTGGTGAATACCTGACTAATGGGTCATGTATGCTAATTCTGGGGCAGGGGGCGTCGGCAGAGGTAGCGCTACTGCGTGTGGCAAGAGTGGATGGTGAACACTCTACACGCGATGTTGCGGATCTCGATGACAGCGGCAGTAATCGTGGAACACCACCCACAGGGCGTCCTCACTCTGTTCATGACACTTTACTTTCTGGCATCACCACGCATACGTCCGGTATGAACAGCAAACAAAAGTCGCCGCTCAAACCGCACGCTTCGCAGTCTTCGGTCGCTGGCCATCGAAACACGATCATCACCTGCCCTCTAGTCAAACAACGCTCATCGCTGCGCCACGTGCCTCTTCTACCCAAAAACAAACATAGCCACATCTGCCACCGTACCAGTTCGGCTCTTCACGCCGCAGCGCAAACCGGATATATCCATCAAAAAGAAAAAGAGCCCCTTTGAACACCACTAGCCAGACTTGTATACTTGGGTGCGCCGGGACAACACTCACATACAATTCGCACCACACATTCCACTACATCTCACAGCACATTCCCACTGAATCTCATACACCACACCCACATCCTCACCCCTCAATCCCCACCCTACGAAGACACGGCCGACTCAAAAAAGCTTTTCGTTACCAGACACACAGAGAGTTCCCCCAACGATATCCAAAACACCAGGACAATCTATGACTTACATACGGCCTTCAGCAGCAATAAATAACGAAACGAACGAGACGGCGGAGACACAGCCACAGAGAAAGGATAGATAGGGCAGCCTACCTACGATGTGAACGTTATGTGAACGCGCACGTGGGGTGAGAAGTAGTTTTTTCTCTGGTTATCCAGGCGCAGAAGCGATAGACCAGAAAACGAGCGTTGGCGAAGGTTTCAAATCTGTATGTTGGATCTTGTCGGGCTGGAGAGGTTCCATTACGCGGATGGTTTAGGAGTCCACGAGCTTACTTACGCTGCTGATGGCATCTGCCTTTTTTTCTTTCTTTTTTTGGGCCTCTGGGCTGGTGGGCGAATTGCTTTGGGGGGAAGGGTCGGCTGTGTACTTTTGGGAGGAGAATATGGTAGGTGAAGCTCGAGGTTAAGGCAGCGATTTGAGAGATACATCGATATCAGAGCTGGGCCAGCAAAGCACTTCATGGAAAGAAACCAGTGCAGTGCAGTGCAGTGCAGTGCCTCAGCCCAAACTTCGATGCAAGACTTGTTCCTGATGCCGTTGTTCATGAGACTGCTGTTGTCATGGTCATGGTCATGGTCGTCGTCGTCGTCGTCTTGGTGGTCCTCGCCGTGATTGAACAGACTCCGGCTATGCCATGATATCGTCGAACACTTCACTTGGCTCCCTTCCCCTTTGATACTCGCATTCGTGTTCTCACGCGCAACCTCACCTGACCTGACCTGACCTCGCCTCGCCTCACCCCACCCAGCATGAATCATCACAGTCGCACAGTCGTTCGAGTTCCGAATGCTCACAAGCACCCCCCAACGAAACAGCGAGGTTAGGAGCAACATGGATCATATGAGGCAGAGAGAGGTCATGTCACATGTGGCGAAGGGAGGCGGCGGAAGGGGGTAGGCGGAAGGGGGGAGGAATGGGATTTGCCAAGAAGAAAAGATCTGCCAGTGAGGCAAGCGAGGCGGAGCGAGGCGAGACTGGCGAGACTGGCGAGACGGACGGCGCACGGTCCGGTATGAATACGGAGTAGACAAAAATATACCGAGTATGGTGGTGGGGCCAGGGGTGTTGATGCGATGTGATGTGAAGTGAAGTGAAGCGACAGTAAGATACAAAAAATGATGGGATTTGGTTTCATTGTGCAACAACGCAACGCCTGCTAATCTTCAATTTGACACTTCCTGCTCCTGTTCCCCGATCCAAGTAGCTGGGAGTGCAATTTCGTTATCCTCGCTGTCCCTCGCCCCGTCCACATAAAACATCACATTTAGTTAAATTCCCGCCCCGTCAGCACAGCCGGCGCGACCAAACTCCACGCGTAGATCCCATAGCAGCACCACGCGCTGACAATCTTGATCCAGCTGGCCCAGTAGGTACGGCCCACAGGCTGGAAGTCGCCCGCCGCTGTCTCGGGGTCGAATTGCTGGGTCAGTAGTGTTGCGACCCAGCAGGTGGCCATGAAGAAGATGACGTGGAACAGACTGTAGTTGTACTGGGTGCCGAGGCGCTCGTCATCGGTAGCCTTCTTGCGTGATGCTGGGGTATCTTCGTCGTCTGAGTCGGAATCGTCATCGAGAGCGCTGGCTGGTAGTGCGCCGGATTCGATGGCTGCGCGCATGATCTCGCGACGCGAGGCTGGCTGCGTGGTGACGAGTCCATGTTCGGAGTGGCTGTCCGCTGCGTCGGCCTGTGATAGTTGCGCGTAGCTGCCGTTAGCAGCATTGCCGGATGACAGTGCGAAACCATAGGTTGCAGCACGTGTAGTGGTATATGCGATGGTTAGCATGGTGACAAGTGCGCCGAGAACGATGGTGGTAGTTCGGGCACCACGGGCGCGGATCAGTGGATTGCAGTGCTGGTCATCAGGCTCCATGCAAACGGCGGAGAAGGTGAGGTAGGTGCAGTAGACGGCCACCATCGCGGACTGTCCAATGCCGGCTTTAGGGTTGGCATCCTGGACGGAAGGCAAGACGGAGATGAAGGTGACGACAAGGGTGAGCAGGAGATTAATGGTGATGGCGCTGATGTTCATGCTGCAGTGTGACTTGGCGAAGTAAATGTACATAATGATAGTCATGGCGAAGGCGGCCAAATACATGCTGAGGGACGAGCCGACCAGCAAGACTTGCCAGATGCGCAAAGACGCGCTATCGTTGTTGTCTTCGGCGGTATCGATACGTTCCTGACACATGTCGGCCCATTGGTATGCAAGATCGACGAGGAGGATCAGGCCGAGTAGAACGAATAGCATGGCGCCCACGAAAGCGATGTATTTCCCCCAGAACATGAAGAACCCTTCAGGAATCAGGAAGGAAATAACGATAAGAGCCAGCCAGGCAATGATCTTAGGGCCCCAGTAACCGTTTTGCAGGCCCGCGCGTGGGTTCTTGGTGGAGGTGACGCCCATAAGGAAGACGGAGAGGGCGATGTGGAAGAGGCCAAGGGCGAAGTTGATGCGCTGGACAGCGAAGTAGCCATAGCAGGTGCTGTCACCGCATTTGAAGGTCATATAATCGAGTGTGAGATGTTCGAGCTTGCGGATGGCCCAGGGTGTGAGCATGATCCAGGCAAGGATGCTGTTGATGAGGAGCAGGACGGCGTAGGCGATACGGGTTGCGATGCTACTGCGGAACTTGCCACAGGCCGAGCAAAGCGCTGAGCAGGTAGCAGCACCACAGCATGATGCACCGACGGACCAGAGAGTAGCTGCACTGGGCAGCGCCAGCAGTGGTAAAGAGAGGAGAGCGCCCATGATGGCGGGTGCGGTCGGTTGGGATGATCAGGCGACAGCGACAGTTGGTAAAGATATCGCTCAGCGATCGTGGGGGAGGCTTTCGACGTGAGAGTTGGATCGCGTTTTAGCTACACGACCGTCGGCGGTCACGGTGAGATGAATAGCGGCAGCCTGCGGACAACAAGCTGATGATGGCAGCGTCGCAGTTGGGGTCGAATCCATCCGCGGCGGCGAGCCGCGTTCGCCGAGCCCCGTGCCAAGTCAAATGCTTGGCATTAGAGAACTGACGTCATGTGAGCTCCCGGCTTGCCTCTCATCTGTTTCTTGTTGAATTGTACTATTTTCCCCCTTGATGCAGTAATCAAAGCAAAACAAGCTGGTATTTGAAAAGCCCCAGATAAGAGAAACTCTCGTGGGGTTGCCAGGATGTTGATTACTGCATATACGCTGCGATCTGTTCTAGTTGTGCTTCGAGCTAGCATCCCACAATACAGGTAACTAAACCAACAACAAACAATGCGCCTCGAGCGACAGCCACCACCGCGGTGACAGGCTGCAGGGCTGTCTCCCAGTTCACAACTATGGCTTCTAGGCCACCAAACATTTCAGATGCAGAGGCTCCTCTCAGCACTGAAGGGTTGCGCAGACCACTGGTCAGGTTCGCATTGCGCTTGCAGTCTGCCCAGGCCTTCTCCATGCCGAGCGACTTGGTCTCGATTTCTTGGCTCTGCCACTGTTAGGACGGTACACAGCCGGGGAATCGGTTCCTACCGGGATCCGTGGTAGAGCCGACACTACCGGCTTCCGAGATTTTGGAACATTCATTAACATTGAGCGCTTGTTGGATCGACTGCTGCTCTTGATGGCGCGAATGACACTTTCTGCACTCTGGGAGTCGTGGTAGGTGACGTTGCGGACTGCTAAAAGCATGTTCTTCTGGCACACAAACACAGCAAGGGTGTGGACATGGTATTGACCGCCATGAACTGGTAAAACCTTTGGTTGATGGCTCGGCTGCGACATGGCTGTTGTGCAAGCGGAATGTTTATCTTCGCCTCTGTCTGATGAGGTGGGTTCGGCAGGATTTGGACATCTTTCTGAGCCACCAGATGCGCCCTTTAAGTATTCTACAGCTCGCTCTCCTTCCCCATGAGCTCGCAAGTAGCTGCTGTAGGCTCGGAGCCATCGTCGCGATTTGACGCGACGTCTATCACAGGACCAGTATAGTCTATGGCGGCGTTAATAGCAGCAACGCGATCCATTCTCACCGTTTGGAGCACCGCCAACATTTGCGATCGCAATTCGCAACTTCTGTGCTTGGCTCGCAGATGCTTCTTGGCAAAATCGCAACTTCCTTGGGGGCTGCGATCGTCTGCGATCGCAGGTGACCCTTTACGCAGTACATCACTTTTTCCAACTCTTAGACATTCTAAACACTTCAACTCCATGAGCATACAGATAAGCAATAGAGCTCAAGGTTCTGCCATATCTTCGGGACTGGAGAGGAGGATAAAGGTACATTCTTAGCAACCGCGCCAAAGCCCGCATAGAACGTGCTGGTACCCCACATATCGAACTCCACACTCCAGGTCGACAACTTGGTTACCCTCTTCGACATGGCCTCTCACAATTCCCATGACAAGCCCATCCCATATCGTCCCACTCCGACTGCTTTTACGGCGGTGACGGGACAGACACAGTCCACCCAACAACGGGCGGCTGTGCCGACTAAGACGTACCAAACGCAACGTTACCTCTCAGAGGCATCCGCAGATTCTTCCTGGAGTCCGGCCAATCGATGGCATGCGAGTAAGACCGAAGACCTCTTGAGAACAGCACGAACAGCAGAGGCTCGGCAGTTGAACGCGCTAGTTGATCAACGCCATGTTGACCCGCCAGGTGCCTCGTACCAAATTCCGCCAACGAAGAAGACGGTCTGCTCAGATCCAGGCAGCGCGGCTCATCGTGCCGACCATGACAGAACTCCGACACTCGCCCCCATGAGACATGAGGAACAGGATGGAGCAGGACTTGGATCAACCTCACAACGGAGAGCGGAATCTCCTCGTGCCAGTCCCGTACTCGCCCCGTCGTACGCTGCGATCGGAAAAAGCAGCCGCCCTCCAGCTGCAACATCGGCCACTGATTACGAAGTGAGTGCATTACAGTCCAGTGCAACGAGCTTCGTGGCGTTGCTCGAAACCTTTGGCATCACATACAATGCACACGGCGCACGCGAGCACGCGTATGTGTCGCGAACCTCCGGCACGCCACCATCCAGCGGCAACCAGAGTGCACGATCTTCCGAGGTCCCGGGCAGGCGGCGACCTGTAACTTCTAGGGTCCAGCGAGACTCCGAGTCCGAAGGAGACGAACCAGGCCCGGTTGATCCACAGACGGAGAACATCTCAGAGTCCATCGATAAGCGTTTCGCTTGTCCTTTCTTCAAACTCGATAGCGGCCTGTATAAGGCCTGTAAAGTCTTCGGACCTAAGGTGAACAGAATTGAGACAATCAAACGTCACGTAACGGGTCCGAAGCACGAGCAGTCTCCACACATGAACCATACTAAGCGCCAACAGATACTGGGACTCGGGCGCATCCCAGATCCGGCGCAGCGGTGGAAAGTCATGTATGCGATAATAGCTGAGAAGGCAGTGAACGACCCTGGCATACCGTCACCCTACGTTGGCACATGTGCTACAAGATCACGTCCGGCTCGTCAACTACAACTTTCCATGACCTCCACTCCTTCGAATCCGGACGCGCAAGCGTATTTCCAGGCGGCGGAGCAAGTCAGACGGCAGTTGTTGGATCATCTCGCCGCAATTGAAAACCAAGTGAACTCACGTATACAAGCGGCACGGCATGATGGGAATATGCGGGGGGCGGCTGCTCGAGCCGAAGCAGAGACCAGGCTGCGCAGGCTGGGCGACCGCTTTTTCAGTGGTTTGCCGTTGGATGGCGACGAAGCTGGCGAATCGTCGCTCTCTGGCCAGCTCAACCGCGAGCATGCCCACGACACAACCGCCAACTTCGAGCCTACAGCGCGAGGCCCGCTTGGTATTGGGCTTAGCTCGCCACCTCTGCCATGGCCTATGACCGCCAATGCCGAGGCTGGCAACACTGAAACCGTTGCTGCTGCTGCTGCTGCCGCCGCCGACCCTGATCTATATGCCCGCCAGCGGTCGAGAAGTGACAGCACTGCGTCGCCACCGAAAGCCCCGACCTCGCCGCCTGGTGACTCGGGGTACAGCAGCCTGCCTGAAGACGGCCTCTACTGCATCTGCGGACTTGGCCTCGAGTCATGGTGCTTGGCGTGCGGAAAGCCCTGCAATTAGACCTAGATCACCAAAGGTGGTGGTGGCAAAGGCCTTGTTGTTTCCAGTCGAGCGAACGCCACCCTAACGCCAATCGGGGAAAGCCAGCCAGGGAAGTACATTACAAACTCTGTGCATTTACTGCAAGATTATCACAGGAGAGGTGCAGGGAATTTGTGGATACGATGTTATGATTCAAAAGATGATGATTGATGACGATGACCACAGAGATGATTCAGACGATGATAATAATGATGACAACGACCACAGATATGACGCTGGCCATTGGCGATACGAAAAACAGGACTTGTCCATGAGGACGTAAACTGGCAACGTCGTTAACACGTGTGTTATACATCTGTGTCTATATATGTATAGAGATATACCAGGCTCATGCAAGCAGCATTCCTACGGGAAGGAAACCACCTACCTCCCCCAAGCATGGTATTGTATATGCTTGCACCACAACCAACGTGTGGCGTGTCGCGTATGGTCCATGGACGTCTGCAGCCAGATGAATCAAGTGCTGCTGCGAGGTTGTGAAACAAGTGGCTTTACTGACGGTCCATCTCTGGGAAGGTAGTCATGGCTCGTTACGAACACACCGGGAAGACCGTCAACAACGACGATGTCAGAGGTGGCCGAGCGACTTTCAAAGGCTTTACGTAAAGTGGGGGATATAGAATCGTCTGTCTAGGGCATATGCAAGAAATCCTTCCTTCTCAGAAATCCAAGCCGTCATCAGGCATTATGGTCTCGAGCGCGCACTACAACGTGCCGCCTTCCGTCCCGCTTCTTCTCCCGCCAGTCCCGCCACACGGCCCAGCTGCTCAAGACGAGGGCGCCCACCGCGGCGAACAACGTGACGACATAGGCGCTCTCGTAGCACTCACGGCCCAGCACGCAGTTGCGGTCACCGTTGTCTTCGACGATGCTGTGGCTGTCGTAAATACGGCCGTACAAGATGTTGAAGATATTGCCGGAGATGACGGGCGCCAGGGTCATGGTGCCCCAGTTCTGGGAGAGGCCGTGTATGCCAAAGGCGTCGGCGACGATGGAGGGGTAGACGCCGAACAGCATACCATAGCCGACACCAGTGATGCTTGAAATCAGGATAAGGAGATGGGGATTTTCGAGGATGATGGAGACGTATTGGGCGGCGCAGAAAAGAGCGCTGGATGCGATGAGGCACCAGAAGCGGCTGGCGTGGTACTTGCGGCCGATGTAGTCGGAGCCGATGCCGGAGAGGAGGCGGCCGCAGAAGCTGCAGAAGGAGAGGATGGAGACGTGCATGCTCTGCGTGCGGGTGATGAAGCTGGGCGCGACGTCACGGTCCGAATGTTTCCACAGCGCGACTGTTACGTTGCCGATATTGTTGATGGTCATCAGGCCGATGCCTGTCAGGAGCCCGAGGAGGCAGAAAATGAGCCAGAAGCGCGGGAGGTAGACGAGGGACCAGCCTCGGACGTCCAGATGCCTGTAGTCGGGCGACTCGCGTTGGAATTGCTCGGAGGTCTTAGATCGCTCCAGATCCTCCGGCGAAGCTTCATCGTCATCTGAAAGGAAGGGTGTGTCGGCCGTATCATCGTCCGCAGCGCAGGGTGGGGGCGAAGTAGATCTCGAGAGAGGTGCTGAGGGCGAATCAATCACAGGCCCCTCATCCGCGGATGATTTGCGCCGGCGAGCTCGTCGTGAGATGGCTGAGTAGCTGTGAGGAGGGCTAGTGTTGAGGAAAGGGAAGGACAAGATTGGCAAAGCCACTGTGCCAGTAGCGAGTAGGACCAGGAAGCTATAGGTGTCGTGAGGTATAGCCAGTGCGATGACAGCGAAGAAGAGCGCCGACAGGCCGAAAGCAGCAAGAGGGAACGCGGTCGCCGTACCGCGAGATTCAGGGTAGTTGACAGCAGCAACTTTGATCGAGGCAGTGAATGCCGAACAACTGCCAGCTCCGGTGAAGAAGGAGAAGAGGCATAGCACGGGCATACTATAGGCTCCTGGCCCCGCATCATACGCTTCTCATGTCAGCCGTCTGGGAGTCTCAGACCTAGGACAATCTCTCACCCTGTGCGATGGGGAAGTATCCTGCACAAAATAATACTATTCCCAATGCTACGCCCCAGCGTGGTGACTTGGCGTCGACCATTATCCCGAGCGGTATGCCGCTAGCATACATACCCAGATTGCCAAATGTTCCCTATACATGTCAACATGGTATGTTGGACGCGGATCGGTGGGCACGAACAATGAGGTTGCTCTGGGTCGCGGACAATTGTAGCCGCTGAGCGAACTGCGGAGCCCATGCTGAGTAGACATACTGTCGCTGTCAGCCGCATCCATCTCGTGGTCTCCCTATCTTACGTTTGTCCCACAAGCCAGCGATATAACGGTCGCCGCGATCACGGAGATCAAGCGAGTACGCTTCGGATCGGACGAGAAGGTGAAGACGGCGGGCGGTGGCATGGTTTCGGTCTACGAAGGCTCGAGGAAGGGCCGTGGACTGTGTGCAAAGCAGACCATCTTCCCGCCTCCGGATTCGAGGTGCGACAGGGCGTGAGACTGCAAGACTGTTTGCGACACCAAACGGCCAGACGGGGTCAAGGCGTACAACCTGGGGTCAACGATATCGGAATACGGAATTCGGCGCTGTTCCGACGGCTGGACGTTTAGCCGGCTCCGGGGGGGGGCCTGGAGAACACCATCGACTTCAATGCTGCGACACTTACATGGATCTTGGTCTGGTCAATGAAGTTTTGCACGGCCTGCTCCGGTATAATTCTCAGTAGCCCTCTTCTGCAGCTCTCAAGTAGAGATTTGGTGAAACCCGCTGGAGTAAAGTAAGGCAACCCGAATATGTCTCAAGCGCTTCATTTACAAAGCTTTCGATCAAAGAAACGTCCCGAGGAGGACTAGAGAGTCCGATAGTATGGTCACGTACCATTTTTGCGACTACTAGATATCGACCAGACTTTTAGCGTCACTGATGGCGCTCCCGGGATTGACACTTTTCCCACAAAGGTTCCCTTGATGTTCCAGCCTTGCTAATAATACATTTCCATACTTGAATTCGTAGAATAATGGTTACAGTTTGGACGTATCCTCGTCAGCAGCAGCGGCAGTCTGACCTTCAACAGGAGGAGAAGTGACCAAGTTGCTTGGGGTTGCGGGAGTGTTGGCCGGCAAATCATTTGTTTCAGTCAGCTGTTTTTCAAGCTCTCGAATCCGTGCGCGGAGCATCTGGTTCTCCCGTGTTAAGGCCGCCGTTTCGGCTTGGTAGAAGGCAGACTCGTCTCGAACGCTATTGCGGCGAGCATGCTCTATCGGTGACGGGGGCCAGTCCGAGTAGCTGCCCGATGAAGGCTCATGGGAAATGTGAGCGGTTAGGGCTGGAGAGCGAGCGGCTGATGAGTTGTGTCGGGATGGTCGACGAGGTGGTTGCCCAGTCGGAATAGCAGGATGCGCGCTTGGAAATGAGATCGAGTTGGAGTGAGAGGCTCTCTGCGAGCCCTCGTACTCTGAGTCATCGGCGAGAGCTGAGGTTGGGCCCGACGGTCTTCCGTCACCGGCTGATTGCTGGGTGCCTCGAAGCGCATCGAGCTGCAGCTGCTGCTCGCGGATCATCTGTAGCATGCGGTTGACTTGGGCTTCCTGCTCTTGCTCGAGTTCGTTGTGAATCTCGCCCAGCGACGGCGTTCGAGAGTGATGGTGGGGATCACCCGTAGCCACAGTTGGCCGACCTGCTAGTGTCGCGGGGGACATGGAGGTGTAGGAATTGGAGATACTAGAACGACGGTCGGTAGAAGGCAACTCTCCAGGCGAGGGGATCGCCGGATCATTGAGGGAAAGCGACATGGCAACCTGTGAGCGGCGGCGTTCCGAAGGCATGCGGCCTAGGCGGGGCGAGCCACCACGGGCAAGGCTGCCGGAGGATCGTCTCGACCGGTCGGCGAGGTTGAGCGATGCCGCTGCGGCCAGGGAGGTTGTGGATAGACGAGGAGACGGAGAGTCCTGTCGGTCAGGTGAGGACATGGCTGTCGAGATGGCTCTCGTCTGTGTGGGTGAGGAGGCCATAGTGCGAGAAGGTGACAGAGAATTAAGGTCGGGAGGAGCCATAGGGGAACTGAGGGCAAAGATGAGCTGTTTATAATGGCAATGGATACATCGAACGAGTCTGAATTAAGGTGCTTAGATACGAGTCTCCCCCATTGAAGGTTGCGCAAGCTGGCAGCGCTGGCTGGTGATGTTCAGGCACGGACTCTGACAAACCACATGATCACGCCGCTGCGGGGCTTGGCGGTGACGCTGCTCTCCCGAGGGGCAAGCTGCTTTCTCTCAATGATCAACAAGGACAGGCGGCTGCAATGCTACAAGAGGGAATCGGTCGGGCAGAATTGGGTGCGAATGGGCACACCATTGAGATAGAACTGACGGAGGCAAGGCCGCGGGAATAATGATATTTTAGCTCAGCATATCGCGCATTACCTTCGCTCCCGCACTCCTCACCGCAGCTTATTAGGCATCCCCAATAAGAATGTCGACCCCCATGCGACCCCTGTTGTTGGCACCAGCGGCCGACGTCAGAGAATGCAAAGCAACGGATACCGTGTCCGCAGATGAGCTGGTCCAGCACTACTCCGTAGAGCTTCCACTCTCGCCCAAAGTACGGCAGCCAAGCTGTTACTGCTCGAGCTTTACTCCGTACAGCTTTATCGATAGCCATGTGCCTTTAAACAAGGATACTCCGTACTGCAGGAACCGACCACGGTAGGGTCCGGAGTACGGTATCGAGTAATCAATACATGGCCATTCCTCTACCGCCAGGCCCCCTCCCAGCCGCCCATAAACACGCAGACACACGACCAGCCGGGCCAGCTACCAGATCAGCTCGATCATTTTTGAGCCTCTCGACAGCGAATCAGACACTAAGATCAGCCCATCGCTAGGCGTGTGGTCCCCAATCGAGAGAGGGCACGGTGCTGCAAAACGACGCCTTACCCCAAGGGGATTTGTTTACAGCAGTACACGGCAGATCAGCCAGCGGCCAGCGGACCACCAGCTCCTCCTCCCCAGCCCCCTCGATTCCCGCCTCTCCCACTTTCCGCGCCCGCCTCGCCCTTACTACTTTGCCCTCATCTCTCTAGCACGCTGCCCTCTTACTCTCTACTCCACCGCTATACTCTATAGTCGCCCTTTACATCAGTGTCGCACCACACTCTAGTTGCCTACCATGGCCTCCGCGTACCTTAGAGGCTTCAACAAGGCCGAACTCCAAGAGCTGGGCAACGAAGTCAGCCTACCCGAGTACGTTGCATTCTCGTAACCCCCAACGCGTCGCTATGGTGTCGCGCAATGCATAGCATGAATGCTAACGTCAATGCGACCACAGGGCCACCAAATTGAAGGTTGTCGAGCTGCGCGAAAGCCTGGAAAACTACCTCAAAACCAACCAGACCACCCTCGCGACGCGCCCCGGCAACAGCACCAACCTCGCTGGCTATTTTGAAAAGCTTGGGAGCTCAGCGCGATCGCCTGCAAAGCGTCAGAGCGCAGCCGAGAAGGTCCAAGACGCTGTCACCAGCGGTGATGAGGCACCCAAGAAGGGCAGAAGAAAGACGGTAGCGCCCGTCGAACAGTCAGTGGAGCGCATTCGCGACAGCGCATTCCTCTCTAACACCAGCAACAGGAGCACCTCGTCCGTGACGGACCTAGTCAAGACTCCGGCCAAGGAGCTCTCTGACGCTGTTGCGCCACGCCGCTCATCCATCCTCGCCTCCCCTGGCAACCTCGACACATCGCCACGCGCCATTGTTGACTACGTCGATCGCAACTCGCGTAAGGTCTCTGGCTACATCTCGAACGGCATCTCGCGCTCTCACGTTCCCGAATACAGCGAATATGCACGCGACCTTCTCTCTTCGCCGCTCGCGGTCAACGGTCTCGCCCTCACTGTCGAAAGCTACGCCTTGTTTTGGTCGCTGGTCGAGTTACGACACGCGTTTGGCATTCCCGTCCCCTACTTTGGCAAGATCATCCCCGTCAAGGCACCCGATGTCTTTGCGTTCATCACTCCCGAGTTCTGGGCGCCTTTCAGCTTGTTCTTCCTGACCACCGTGCTCCTCCCGACCGTCATCAGCTATTTCATCAACTATCCCTTGAAGTCGGCCACGAGCCATAGCCACAGCACGCGTCGCGCGACTGCTCAGCAGGAGGCTGCTCCTGCGATCGATCCCCTCGTGTTCAACATCGCCAAGGGCTTGATCTCGTATCTTGTCTACGCCGCCTCGGCACAGACTGGCCTTTGGCCCTATAGCCGGAACACCATTCAGAACGTCAATGCTGGCCTGTACTTTGGCTATGGAGGTCTGATCACGAGCTCCGTCATCGGTGGGACGGTCGCGCTGTACGAGGCAGTCCTAAGAAAGTAATGCATCCGTGTCGAGAACTGGTTTCTGGTGATAGTGAGGGCGAAGTTTGTCTATAGCGCGCACAGGTACATGTCTGCATGTCATTGCATATCAGAGGTAGGGTCCAGGTCGTACAGAACGCACATGCGCTCGCTAGGTCGACGCGGTAGCCGCGTCAGGGCCGACGGAGTGAAGAGGCGGAGATCTTGGGACGAGGTTACGAATATTAGTCTGCAGATGGACTTGGGCTGCGATTTGACGGGCGTTATCTGGTTTCAATATTGCTCTATTTGATTCACGCTGTCGGAATACCCATTGCGTTGGTGCTCGATAACGGGTATATTGGAGAGAATGGCTGTGAGTCACGGGGCCGAGGCGAGCTGGAAAACGTGTGATGGTTTCTGGTTTCGATAGATGACGAGCATTGCATGCTTCCAGAAACTCGGTACTTATTTTCTCTCGTGCGCGTCGCGTCTCGTGCAACTAAGTAGCTGGCCAGCACTGGCACCAAATATAAACGCTTATAGCAGCTGCCTCCCAATCCTCCCAGGCATCAAATATGCCACCTTCAGACAATGCTTCTTCTCGACCTCTCTGGTGCCTTCGAACATGTGTCTCGATTTCAGAACGGTGCAGGTAGCCGCCGCTGATCGCAAGATTCTTCCTCGGAAGGGCCCGAGGATGAGGTTACTCCTGGCAGCAGGCTGATGCCCACAGCTCTATGGTATTGTCATACGCATACCCAATGTAACTTGTACTAGACGGCTTTAGGCAATAGATTTGCTGGGTGGGATGACGCCACCGAATCGCCCGTTTCCTCGCACTTGTCCGTGGAGATCAACATCGAGAATTGAAATGCAATGCTGATTAGTGTGCAGGGCTCCCCCACCTCGTACCCGGATCAAAGTGGGTATGTTTCCCATGAGCAGTCCGCAGCAGTTCAGACGGCCCATGTATTTGGACCAGCCCGTGCTGCCCATCGCGCATACCCCTCCTCATTTTCACTCGCCAGTTTCGACTCAACTCCATATCTACATCGTCTCTATCGATGCCATTGTTCGGTAGCTGCTGTTGAGAGGACTGAATTCCTGCTTAGATGAGCCTAACAGGAGGCCTTCACTCTCCCAAGAACAGATCTGAAATGCGCCAGTCGTGACCATCTTGGGCCAGGTCGTAGCTTCCACCTGATCACAATGACCGCCACGACAGAACCGCCTGCGTCTCCGGCTGGAAGCACCGACATTGAGGCGTTCCGTGACAACCTCATCTCAAAGCTGGACTCGATCATCGCAGACCTGGCCAGTCTCAATGGGCAAGAGACTCACTTGCAAATAGAGGCAACCCTCATCCCCAAGAACCGCAGCCGACGAAACAGCAACCGCACTTTCGTGTTGGGCACGGTTGATATTGGGCAGTGGAAGTCGCCATCCCCGGAAAGCATCCAGTCCGAAGCACGAGATCTTGCTGTCCATAGATCAAGCCGATCGCCGCAGCGCTCACTCGATATCCCTCCAACGAGTCCGGTGCAAGCACAAGATGCCACCCAGCCCTCGCTTCCAGATGATCACACTTTGGCTAATCAAGGCCGCATTCGGAGGAAAGTAGTTGGCGGACTACGTCTTGGTGGTAACTTAACACCACGGGAACGCACACCATCACCTCCTGGTACACGCCAGCTAGCGTCTGACCAAAGGAACTTTCCTAAAAGGAGACGGCTGGACAATGAAGGACCTGCCAAGCTACAACCCTCGACGGTCGACAAGCTAATCGAAGGTATCTGGGAGCAAATTCACACTCCCAATATCCTGGTTGTGCCGCCTGATATCAGTGATATTATTCGACCCTTACGACCAGCAGCGAATCTTTCGTTGGACTTCACCGATGTCAGCCGCCGATGTCGCATCTTGACCGGTATTAGTCGCACCGCAAGATCCATCGAAGTCATGATGCAGGCTCATTGGGTCGACTGCTACTATTCGCGCATTGACGCACTCACAGAGCAGCGCCCGGACCTACGGCCGCACGAGCACAAGAAGATTGTCATGACAGAAGCCTGCTCAACGTTTGAGTGGTCCGAGAAAGACCTGAGGAATCGCATGGGTATCTGGAAGGGTTACCGTGAGATCAAAGATGCAGCAGGATGGTCGGCGCTGACCTTTGCCGGGCCCGGCATCTATCGCTTCTGCAAATATCGCATGGGCTTTGACGAAGAAGCCATCGGCAAGCTGAGGTCGCTACGAACACGTTTCGAAGTCGCCGCCGACACCCTACAACCTCAGTGGCGGCAGACTTTGAGTCTGGTGGGGGTCTCGACTCAGCGCGTATACCGAGGTCATCCCCACGACTGGGTGGTTAGCAAGAAGAAGGATCCTGTCCCGCTACCCGTGACCTACCGACATTTGAGCCAGCCCTTCGTGTTTGAACATGTACGGATTTCGGTCATTGATGTGGGCGCCTGGGGGACCTATGATCCCCGAAGAGTGGAGAACGGCCCTCACTATCTTTGCGCTCTATGCTCGAAGCCACAGTCGGAGCTACCCGAGAAGAACGAATGCGAGTGCTTTGCGGACCTCTTCGGCCCCAATGCCAAACAGCTCTGTCCTGTTCAAGTCTTCAACACGGACGACGCTCGCAATAACGGCCTGATGGCTTGCTGCTCATTCGACCGTGGCGCGCCCATCGGTGAGTTCCTTGGGCTAGTCACCAAGGACTTGCAGGATGTGGACGTTATGCAGGGCCAAGGTGCGGCGGGCGTACAATATCAGATCTACCAAGGGGCCATGGGGAATTTCACCAAATTCATCAACCACAGCTGCAACCCCAACAGCCAGCTCGAGCAATTTGTGTGGCTGGGTATTCAGCGCACAATCGTCGTCTCCAAGGGAATTGCGGCGGGCAAGGAAGTGACGGTGGATTATTCCGGTCGGTACTGGCGGAGGCTGTCGAAGACGTGCCTTTGCGGTGAGGCGTGCTGCCGCTACAAGGAGCGATGACCGAAATTGCCCAGAGCCACTCACATAACCCGCCCAATGACAAGCAAACCTCAACCTAGGCACACTTGCATGCCTGGGGTCAACATGATTCAGTACGTACCTTGGCAAACTCTCCCACCAACTTCACAGCAAGTTTCAATGAGTATTCACTGCCAGACTGCCGCAAGAACAGTCAGCAGAGTTTTCTGCCCACAGCAGAAGAGTTCAAAGAGGAAAGTAGAGTTTGCCAAGTCATCGAAACCAAGCATCTGGTAGAATGTCACGATGTTGTAGTTGATGGACCGTGGCTGGCTGCGTCGGCCGGAGACCACTGCCTCGCGTCTTCCGCCATTGCATGGGCATGACTCGACGTATGCGCTCAACGTCTTTCAAAACTGTGACCCTGCAGCAAGGACCCTCGGTACATGACAGCTGTCTGCTGACTCGAGCCACACTTAGGCGTCCCATTGGTCGGAAGCGGATTTTGAGGAGCAGTATCACAGATATGCTGGTCTACAAGTGCTCTACTTGTAGTGTACCATCATGAAAGCAGAGATATGTTGCGCACACACCGAGGCTTGACTGACACGCCATGCACGACATCGACATCATTGTGATGCCCGAGCAGAATCGTCGGTACTCGGAAAGTCACTGCTGAACGCGGTGGAGCATGTCAGGCGCAGTTCGTCGGATGAAACCCACTTAAAACCCGTTTGTTACGGTATCGTAAAGCAACTCCGCAGTGACTTTCCTCATTCAGGAGGCTCAGCCTTGCCCAGCTCCCCAAGCCCACCGACACTCCTGAGCTAGGTCGTATATTGCGTTACAGTTGCGACCTCAACTATGCGCAATCGTTCAATAAAACTACACGATCGATTTCGAGTTCCTTGAGAAACAGAAGCCGTCAGAAAACCCTTGCCATTCGATGCCGTTGACCAGGCTCATCATGGATGACGCCACTCCAGTGGATGCCAAAGTCAGACTTCTGATGTTCTCACGATTCCATCTCACAGATCGGCCAATGACTTTCGTGGAACCAAATAGCTTCGGGCTGGCCTCTCCAGTCGCTGGCTCTCCACCGCTGTAGACCATCGTCTCAAATGACTTTGTCGCCCTGCATACGCTTCTCGAATCAACCCGACTGGGCAGGTACGCCACTCGATGAGAGCTTCTCGCATATATACAGTGACACGATTGCTGTCCCACACCCTCGATGCAGCGTCTCGTTCCATTTTACACGGAACTGATCATAGCTTGTGTGCTTCTGCCCTGCATGGGCTCTGCAGTTTTTTGTTTCTGCTTAGAAAGCGCCATAGACTGAAAACCATGGGCCTCAACGCCACCAACGACCCCTACCGATGGCGTAAAGACACTGGTGGGCTGCGCCAGAGGCTCTCACATCCCTTCAGGGGCATGTACCACGATGTTCGCCGCCGCCTCCCGTACTACTGGTCCGACATCATGGACGGCTTCAATTACCGTACGTTCGCCGGCACAGTTAGGATCTACTTCGTCAACCTGCTCCCAGCCCTGGCGTTTCAGCTCGACATGGGCCACAACACCGATGGATTCTTCGGTATCAATGAGGCTCTGCTGTCATCGGTCATGGCTGCTGTGGTCTTCAGCCTTTTCAGCGCCCAGCCCCTGACTGTGGTCGGCATTACCGGTCTCATCTCCCTCTTCAACTATACAATCTTCCACATCATCGAGATGTACGACGTGACCGTCTATCCTCGTTTCATGGTCTGGGTCTCCATCTGGGCCGGCATCTTCCACTGGGCCGCCGCCATCTTCAATCTCTGCGACTACATGCGCACCATCACCGACTTCTCCTCGCAGACTTTCGCCCTCTACGTCGGCACCATCTACATCATCAAGGGCGTCGAAGAGCTGTCCGTCAACTTTTACGACGAACGCTACCTCAACGGCTTTGCCTCCGCCCTAATTGCCGTCCTCTACACGCTGTCCATTTACTTCCTCGAAAAGGTGCGCGACACCACGTTCGCGCGTCCTTTGCTCCGCCAGCTCCTCTCCGACTACGCCTACCCCATCGCCACCATCTTCTGGACAGGCTTCGCTCACTTCCCAGGTAATCTCTCACGCGTCGACTTCCTCCATCTCCCTACCACCCGCGCCTTCTACCCAACCGTGGACCGTCCCTGGGTCGTCCCCTTCTGGACATTATCCCCACGGTGGATCTTCGCCGCCCTCCCCTTCGGGCTCCTCATGACCCTCCTCTTCTACTACGACCACAACGTCTCCTCCCTTACAGCACAAGCCCGCCGCTTCCCCCTCACCAAGCCCGCCGGCTTCCACTGGGACTTCTTTCTCCTGGGCTGCACCTGCTTCGGCGCCGGCGTGCTCAACATCCCTCTCCCCAACGGCCTCGTGCCCCAAGCGCCCGTGCACACCGACGCCCTAACCACCTATGCCGAGCACGTCAACGACATCCGCACGACCAAATCCATCGCCGACGCCGACGCCGCCCCGCCCGTCATCACCGAGCGCGTCACCACCGCCGAGCGCGTCGCCCAGCAGCGCATCAGCCACTTCCTCATGGCCCTCGCCCTGCTCGGCACCATGACCGGGCCCCTCCTCACCGTGCTGGGCCTCATGCCCCGCGCCATCTTCTCCGGCGTCTTCTTCATCGTCGGCTGGGGCAGCATTGCCGACAACGACATCGTCGCCCGTCTGCTCTATCTGTGCCAGGAACCCCGGTTTCGCCAGCCGTACCACCCGTTGCGGCGCGTCAAGAAGCGCGTCCTGGCGCAGTTCGTGGCCTGGCAGCTGGCTGGATGGGCGGCGAGCGTGGCGGTCAGTCAGACGGTTGGGGCCGTCGCGTTTCCCGTCATTATTACGGCGTTGGTGCCGTTGAGGTGGGTGCTGTTTCCCAGGTGGTTCCGTCGTGAGGACTTGGAGGTGTTGGATGGCTTGACGGCTACGGGGGAGGTGGTGCATGTGAGTCTTGGGGGTGTGCCGGAGATGCCGGAGGTGAGGATGGAGAGGGTCAGGGAGGGGAGGAGAAGGAGTGAGGATCCCGAGGGGGTAGCGGGGACGAGGAGTGGAAATGTGTTGGATGAGATTGAGAAGCGGCGGGGGAGAAGTGGGGAGCCGGAGCCGGAGGGGAATTGGGAGGGGCATGAAGTGGATGGGCAGTCGGGGGAGGGGGATGGTGGAGGTGTGAAGCAGAGAACGAACAGGAGGGCGACGGACGGGGGCGAAGGAGCTTCGGAGAGGGAGGAAGAGAGTGATGATACGCGCGTTGGCCAGCAGGAATATAACTCTCGGTGTTGAGTGTACGACTTCAATACTCGCGGTATCGATTCACAAGTACGGCGGTTTCATGGTCTTTGAGAACGAATAATAATACTTTGACCGCCATTATGCCCTACGTGTGAACGGTCTGTTTCTAAGATGAGTCGAAAGGCAGCATCAACACGACGGCTGAACGGCGACCTCCCTATTCAGCACTCTAGCTTCGGTACGCAAGGAGGCGTTCGTCAGCTGAGGCATAGTGACAAGGCCGCACGGTGGGACTCAATGATGCGCCAGCCTAGACTAGACAATCTGTGTACAATGTGGGATAAGAGGTAGCAGGCCAACAGTGAGGTAGACTCAGGGTCTAACAACGTTGCAGTATGAAAGCCGGTACCGCGGGCCCGGAAGACGGCTCGCGGGTGCGACCGAGCCGGAAGATCGGATTCTCGTCGCTAAATGGTGGAGAAGCAGGCGGAAATGGGACGAAAGTAAATATGTTTGGAGTTGGACGACGATGACATTTCGAGTAGGATAAGAGCTCGAATCTTTGGCGTATCCATGATGTTATCGCATATGTACACCAAAGAGACGTCCAAGTACTGGCAGACTTCCCAAAAGCGCAACGTGCGCCTTTCCAGTGTCATGGCCGAATCTTGTCTGGACAACGATGCAGGTGCGAATTGCGCCTCCGCCACTGCTCAGCGCATGGCTACCGTGAAGATTGGTCAGATTCCTGATGCTCGGTATTATCTTGGGGAACTGCAGAAGATTCTAACGTCGCTGATCAATTCAATGCTTTCTGGACAAAAGTGCGTCATTCGAGACAGGCTGGACCTATGACAGTATCGAGTACAGTCGAAGCATCATAATTCGGGCTTTGGATGTGCTGTTATCTTACCTCGCACAAGAGCAGCTCCACCCCAAGCTGAGACTTATTGCGAGACAGTCTGGGATATGGCTTTACGTTATGGCTCCCAGCCACCTTTCGATGGTCTTTACTGCTTGTACGCATTGGACACGTTAGGGCGCAGCGGCATCTTCTGTGGCGATCCCTCTTTTCGCCAACGTGGTGAGAACGATCGGAGACTTCGGGACATCATCAAAGCCCGCAGCTCACGGTGCTCGGGATTCTACACGGGTTTTGCTAGCTTGCGCCACTGGTCCAAGCCTGTTGGCTACAGGCAGACCGACAGGTTGATTCCAGTTTGATCTAGATGGTTAGTAACAGTCAAGGTCAACAGGTAACAAACTATTAGGTCACTCTAGTATTATCTGGCTACTGACTCGTCGCTTTTCAAGCCCATGGATCCATCACCAGCTTATGCCCACTCACAGCTCCATCCGCCATCAGATCCAGCGCCGTCTGCACATTCTTTAGTCCGCCCTCAACCCACTGTGGCCGCGTGGGCACGATGGCACCACTCTCCAGTCCCTTCGGCACCAGCGTGTCATAGAACCACTCCTTCAACTCCTTGTTGGCCGGCTCCTCTAGCGAGAAGCTGTAAGGCGCGAACTTGCGCTGCACGCTGTCGGGAATCGGCTTCTCACCACCCAAGGGTGGGATGAGCGTGTGGTACACTCCACCGCCCAGAGATGCGAAATACTCGACGAGCATGTCGGTGACGGGCGGCAGGCCGATGGTGTCGAAGACCTGGTGGTAGGGCCCGTTGGCTTTGATGTCGGTAGCCAATTCCACGGCCACTTTCCCGTGGTCGAGCACGACTTGAGGATCAAGCGACTCCACGTACTCGCGGTGCTTGGGGGAGGAGGTGGTGACGACCTGGTAGCCGGCGGCGCGAGCGTAGCGGACGGCTAGGCCGCCATTGGAGCTGGAGCCGCCGTAGATGAGGACCTTCTCCGTGCGCTGCTCCGCAGTCTTGCCGTCAATGATTGGTCGCTCGAGGCCGAGGAACAGGGTCAACGCAGAAGTGACGGCGGCGAGATTCATGATGGTCGATGCCGCGGATTCCAGCGGGACGTTCTGCGGTAGTCTGGCGGTCGAACTGGCGGATGCAAGGGCATATTGCTGGTAGGCGCCAAAGCGAGGGTCGGCGGATCGCGGCCCAGTTCGTATGGAGGCAACCCTGTCGCCGGGCTTGAAGTTGGGTACGTCTGGGCCGATGCTTTCAACGGTGCCCGCGTAGCTGAAACCGAGGATGTTGGGGTACGGGATGAGGTGTGTGGCGAATCTTTTGTAGTCAGACGCTTTGTTGGCAAGAGGGGGAGGTTGACGACTCACTTTTGAACCTTGGACTCGATGGGAGAGAACCCGATGACGTTCACCTTGATCAGCAGCTCGTTAGGCCCGGGTGACGGTGTGTCTGCTGGGCTGGGGGCAACGAGGCCTTGCTTCTCATTGATCCAGGCTGCTAGGTGGCCCATTTTGGCTGTTCAGTGTTCTCTGATTTAGAGAGCTGTGCTTTGGTGGCTGCTCTGGAGGCTGCTTTAGTATGGAGTCGTCTGATGGTGATGTGTAAGTGTGTCTATGATTGATCTGCTGTGATGGTAGTGATGGTCTGCTCTAGAAATAGGAGACATGATGACCATCTATATACTCTCACACTAGATACCAGCACGCTTACCATCCTCGATTCAATGAGATACTATGGCGTCGACGACTCACGCTGCCTAGTACCAAAGTACGTCAGTAACATCACCGCTCGAGGAGCGTCATGGCTCAACTTCTGGCCGAGGAGCTGAACATTTTTGGTACATCCATTGGACTGCGTTCGCTAAACGAGATGCTGCAGGTAAGCTATGGGCAACCGCCATTGCGTGCTTAGAAGGTAGACAAATGCATCCGGTGTCTCGGGGAAAGCCAAGACCGAACTCTGATAAGCAGCTTTGTCATCGCATTGGCACTGGCAGCTGAGGAGCGAAGGGTTCTGATTGGTTGCAGAAGGACGACAGTTCTTGCAGTAATGCACAAGATCGTTTGTGCTGCTTTTGATCTCTCCGCGTAAATAATGGGGTGTGTCTGGCAGTAGGTTGAATGTACGTCGTGGGTTGGCAAGGCGTTGGAGATACGCATCGACTGCAACTCTATCCAATTCGACTTGATGTAAACAGGGAGTCTATTGAATATTGTGCTCTATAACCTGGTACACCAATCCCGTCCTCTCGAGACCTGCCAATGGCACAACCAGACTTCCACGCCCATACTGATGAAGCCTGCGATGCAGATTCCGGCCGAGTCGCTAACAGTCGTGGCCGAGAGCGAGAATTCTCGGTCCTCCTTTGGTACAGTGTCTGAGATCTCGGCAAATGTATTGACATATACCAAGCCACCGAGAAGGCCCTCCCAAAATATCACGATGCAAACAACATAGTAGGACGGTAGGAACGGGTACATGGCGTGGACGAACAACAAGACCAAGTTCACGCATTGCAGAAAGCTGGGCGGATAGAGTTTGTGGATTCGGAAGAAGGGCGTGCTGCTTCGGGAGATGAAAACGCCAGTCTGATAGAGAAAGTTGTAGGTCGGGTAGAAGGATCGATAGTGCTTGAACGGAGACTCCTCAAGCGGAAATAGTAGAGTGGGGGCCACGCCCTGATTGATGGTGTACTCAGCGATATACACAAGCAACAACGGGAGCATGAATGGCACAAAGAGGCTGCGTGACCGGGCGAGATTGGCCTTGAACCGCCGCCACGCTGAGCTCTTGCCGGATGTAGATGAGGAGACGGTGTTGAGAGAAGACGTTGAAGAGAGAAGCCCCTCGCGCTGCTCATGGTCAAGGTCATCGTCGGACGTTCCTGTCGGATTTATGAATAGCCCGGTCGTCAAGGGTCCTCGTGGTAGGATTAGGAAGAAGCTGATCAGCATGACAACTGGCAAGCATGCAGAGGCGAGAATCGTGGATCGCACACTGAAGCCCAGGTTTGTGGTAGCAAGGGCGTATGCACCCGCACCGATCAGGCCTGCACCTCCGGTGCCACTACCCCAGGCTGCCAGACTGAAAGGACCGTAGTAGTGGACTAGTCCCAAGAAACTGAGCTCTCCTCCTCCACTACTCAGTGAAGCAAGTATGACGCCTGCCAATTTCGTTGAGATTGTGCCACCATCCGTGTAACTTGGGGTCAGGGCTATCAAAAGCATTCCCATTGCTGATAGAGCCACGAATATGATGACCCGAGCAGCGTATGGTATAGCATGAATGAAGTACGGAGCACATAGCTTCGTGAAGAAAGAAGGTATAACGTCTGCGAGGAGTACCACGCCTTTGGGAACGGATGGACCGACTAGATCGAGGGCTGCAGATAGGATGATAACATAAAGCACGTTGTTGATCAGGCCTGATCAGTCAGCACTTGCTCGAGTCATGTATCGCCATCTTAACATACTACGTACCAAACAGCCAGAAGGCAATGCATACCCTGGGATCAGCGCCGTTGAACGTTTGCCTGAATCGTTCTCGGAACGTGCTCCATGATGTGCCTGGCGAGCCCGGTAATGGGAGTGCCATTGCTCTGGTCAGGCTCACAGCATGCGACTGTCTGTGTTGCAGCGGCTTCTCAAGGATCAGACATATAGCGCTCAGAATACAGAAGTACAGAGAAAGATCGGGGAGTCCTGTAATCGGGACGAGTGCGGTCACGATGGCCGCGGACGCGTTTTTCGATTCGGCAGGTTTGCCGAATATCTTCCTCCGACTCCAAAAAAGTGCAGTATGCGGCCTCGAAGCTCACGCCCAACCGTCCCACTCTGGACTACTCCCTTCGATCATTACTAGCTTGCGCAGAAATCACTTTGGTCCGTAAGCTACCGTAGTGACTGCAGGTGCGCCAGAAGCTTGCCATCAGGATGGTCAACCTTAACAGGCGTCTGGCCGTCCTCAACCCCGTGCGTACATCTGACCCAGGTCGCATTAAGCACTTTGCTAACCGTTTCACAGAAAGTAAGACTGACGAACATCAAGACTGGATGAGGACTGACAAGATTGACAGCTTCTCGATATACGAACTGGTCCTGGCGCAATCAGACTACCCAATTCACCACATCCACATTTATTCCGTCTCGAGCTCAAATACCCCAAGAGCAGGAAGATCAAACCGAGCAAAGTTACGAGCGGCGCACATGGCTTCCACAAGTCAATATTACCGGGCTTGAAATATTACAACCCAGCTCTTGACGTTGACGTCCAGACCTATCCTAAGAGTCCAACCCTGCTCACTCTCCACTTCCAATGCAAACATCCCGACAAACTACGAGAGCTTGCGCAGCCCAGCAGAAAAATCGCATCTGTGGATAACTCTGCGGACCCCAGCTACGAGGATCCAGAAGCCCCACGACCGAGCGCCGCAAACGACGAGGTCACGTTAAAACCCGTATCTGCAGATTCACATTTACCTCAGCCACTGTACCAACGATCCGTCACTCTCGCGCTGCGTGGGCGAGCAACGTGGGATATCGTCAGATGGTTCAACGACCGGACAAATGGGCAGAGGATAGGAGTGTCGGCTGAGGACAAAAAGAAGAGGAAGGAGATCAAGGCGAGGCAGGCTGCGGCAGATGCAGACAGAGAGCTGAGTAAGATCAACCAGGCAGCGTTGGACAGGGAAAAGAGTATCCTTGAGCAGGCGAAGAAACTCGCCGAGGTAAACGCTGCGGAGGCTTCATGAAAGTGGCATTCGCGTGCACAGGCTGTGTACCAAGTGGGACGGGCTATGTTCCAGCAGAGAACATAGACAGGGCTGGTTCATAGAGATCTGCCGCGCGACTGAATGTCGTAATGGTACCGAGGACACCGTGATATGGACCATGCGGTGCTAGACACAGCCTGCCGCGGCGGCGAAGTCACCTCCAGCCGTCAGGCTCGGAGACGTCTGCCTACAAGTCAACAGCCAACACTCGGCAGCTCAAGCAGACGAGGCAGTAGTGCTGTCCTGTACAGACACAATGTCGCAAAACGGAAAGGAGAAGCATGGTGTGTATGTGTTATATGTGTGCCCAATCTACCAGGTGGCATTCGATAGAGGTGTATAAATAAGACCCCTCCATTACCCGTATATCCATTCGCATTCGCATTCACAACAGCTGCTCTATCAATCCCATTACTCTTGCAACTCCCTCTCTTGCTCTCAATTACCTCGATCCATACACCAAGGGACTCACCTGACCAGCTCAGCTGAAGCGGGCTGACACGACCTGGGCAGCCACTGTCCTTCACGCGCGTGCCCTGGCCCGCCGCCTCGCCGCCTCGCCGCGCCTTCAGGTGGTCGCGCTGATGGCGCTCGGATCCGAGCGCGGCATGATCGTTTTTCCCATCGGCTCATCAGCACAGACCGCGGAGGTCGTTGCGCTACCTGCGAATGGATGTACAGCCGTTTGCATCGTCGTCTGCCTTTGGAGTGCTGCGTCTCAAGGCACCTCTGGCGGCAGGTTGAGCGTGTCGTCGCGTCTCCGACCGAGCAGATAATAACCCTTTCAATAACGACAGCCTGTGGTGCGAGGATGTAGGTAGTGCATTCGTTCGGCGACACCATGCCTCACCGCTCAGCCCTTCGCATCTTGTCTTTGACCATCCGTTTCGCGCTCATCATTCATGAATCATATGCCCCATCTGCCTGATCTTCGTATCCAGATATCGCTCGATCTCAACGCCCTTGACACCCCTGACACCACCGGTCCTCCACGCCAACGGCACCATAGCCACCCGCTCCCTGACCCGCACCTCCTTAGCCGGCCCCTCCACCGCGCGGACCTTGTCCGGATTGTTCGTCAGCAAGCGAATGCCCAGCCCTTCCTCCTCTTCCCCGCCCGCGCCCGTCTCTTTTCCTAATCCCAAATCGCACAGTATCGCTGTGGCTAGGCCGTACGTGCGCGCGTCCGCAGGATGGCGCAGCAGCAAGTTCGCCTCTACAGTGTCATTGCCCAGATCCTGTAGGTTGTATGCTTTGAGTTTGCTGGCCAGCCCGATGCCGCGGCCCTCTTGTCTCAGATAGACGATGACCCCGCCGGTGGAGGAGGGTAGGGACATCAGGCGCGCTGCCTCGTCGAGCTGTTCGCCACAGTCGCAGCGCGCTGACCAGGCCGTCTCGCCGGTGTAGCATTCGGAGTGAATGCGCACGAGCGGGGGCTTCGAGAGCTCTGCATCGTCTTCTGCGGTGTCCTCGGCGAGGGTGAGAGATGAGACGCTGTTTTCGAGCGAAGTCGTCTGCTGCTGGGCCGCCGGCGACGTATTCAACGCTTCATGCTCTGGCACCGTGTCTGGTGTTGCAACGTTCCTCAGCGCAGAGCTCCCCGCCCTGCCTCGACCCTTCGTGCCAGCAACCCTCCGCTTCTCACCCGCCGCAGGATCAACTCTGGAACTCACGCGCCCGGGTCTCAGCCTTCCTGTGTACGCGCCGCGGATCATACGGTCCATCTCTGTCTCGCCTGGCCGCTCGGCATCGAGACTCTTGCTGCGTATGCTGTTGCCGAACACGATGGCCAAGTGCTCCTTGTCGTCGCTGTCGTTCTGGTACAGGTGCAGAAACATCTCCGCGCCCGAGGTCGTGGGGATGCGCGCGCGCACCACGCATTCCACATGGGGCAGTCTTTCAACAAGGCGGGGCTTCTTCGCGGCCGGGTCGTCGAGGGAGGTGTCGACGGGTGTGGACTTGGGTTCGGATGTCAGGTGGCGGGAGGGTGTGCCGGCGCCAGGAGTTGCTGGAGGTGTGAATTGGGGAGAAAGTAGCCCGGGCACGGCAGGTGTAGAGGGCCCGGACGGTTGTAGGTCGGTCCATTCTTTGAGGTATTGCGAAGATGGGCGGGTGGCAGTGGGGGCAAGAACTGGAGAGTGGTGAGGCGGGAGGTCTGTGGAAGAGGCGGTCATGATGTCGTTGCTGGAAGAATTAGGCGTTCGGGAAGAGGTGCTGTGAGGATGCGATCGAGTCAAACGGCCATAAGTGCTTGGAAGGCGCTGGACTCGTGAGGCGTGCGGTCGCCAGAACAGAGGGAACGAGGTAGTAGGCGGAGGTTCCCACTTCCAACAGCTGAGTCGCAACGAGCAGCAACAAATTTATCGTACGCCGTATATCTACCACAACGATTCTCGACAGAAAGGATATAGAAGCACCGTCAAGTAGAACAGAAAATCATCCATAACTCAGCGCGAGTATCGTCCTCCGCATTTCGGCGTTCGACACATGCGTTCAAACTTGGGTGCAGCCAGTTGTTGACGAGGGTCTCGGCTGACCCTGCATTTCCCTTCCAGCGCCTTCGATCCGGGCCCTCCACCGCGGAAATCGACCTCGGCCCTAACAGCCCACCCATTAGCAAATCCTGCCGCAAAGCTTCATAAGCAGCAAATATTGGCGCACCTTGACACGACAGACGAGCACCTGCGTGCCTTTCGCTAGATTCCATTCTCATTCTCACTAGGCAGGGTTTTTGTCTCTCACGGCATGTAGCCCAAGAAATCGACAGCTCTTTGTGACAGAGTGAGACCTCCTCGGCCACAATGTGTCAATGGCCCTTGCACTCCATGTTGGTTAAATATATATATGGCTCTCAGCAAGTCACCATTTCTAGCAGCAGTATATGCTCAGCAAGGAGGGGAATAAACTCAGAAATGGACGGTTGATAGCGATGTATTGATGAGTAAATACTGATTATGTCTCCGTGAATTGTTTATTAAGGCGGCATCAATATAACTGTCGACGGAGGCGATGAGCGAATGGGCAAAGCCGTTTCGTTTGTGTCCTGGTGCAGCGACCATTGACATGCCTCGATAAGAGTAGATCTCCCCGTACCCAGACACTTCCCACCAACGTCGCTGATCTATCATTTCCAGCGTGTTGGATCAAAAACGTAGCGGCGTTCTACTAGATGCTCCTTGTGTGTTTCTTCCTCGCCTTCAAACAGCAGCGCATATTGGCCCTTGGAGAAATTCCGAACCTCAGCCTCATAGAAAGTGTCCGTGTCCGGGTAGCGGGCGTAGATGCGCGAGCCCACCGAAAAGATAGGCGCCGTGACTTGCGTCGGCAGGGGGATGACGGCGAGGTGCCTGGCTGGAATACCCTTGCGTGAGGTCTCGCCCTTCTCTGGGTCTTTCAGATCATATAGAGTGCTGCGTCTGTCAGTGACCACGTCTCAGAGATCAATGATACTCACATCTTCTTGTCCTGCCAGACTCGCTTAATGATCTGGTGCTGCCCAACTCCCTCGTCCACGTCGCTAGCCTGAAGCTTGTAGAACACTTCCGTGCCTACTTGGAGCAGTCCAGGGGACTTGATCTCGGGTGCCTCTTCCTTCGCGATCGAAGCTCGGTTCTGACTGGCAACGCTGGAACTCCTTTGCGAAGCGCCCTTAACTCGCTTCAACACATCACCTCGAGCCTCGGTCGGCGTGGGCGCGGGGGAGTCGACAACTAGATCAGACTCGAGAATGGCTTTCTGATTCTTACGCGACTTGCCAGTCCCATTTCGTGGAGCAGGTTCATCCGATGCCTTCATGGCTGACAAGATGGCAATGTTGCTAACAATGTCCTCGTCGTCGTGTATCTTCTTCTCCGCTTCCGAGTTGCGCATATGTTCACGATATAGTAAGTCGAGTTTCCTAAGCTGTTCTGGCGTTCTGTCTAGGGGAGCACTAGTCAGTCCGTGGTCTTGAGCACGTACCAGTACTTACTTCCACCCTTGATCTCCTCCTCAAGCTCCATGATCGCCCGGCCGGTTCGCTCCGTCTCATCTCGATACTCCTTGGCCTTGCGGATGGCATCCAGAACGCGACCGAGCAGATCTGCCTCAAGGTCACTTTCTTTGCCTCCATCACGACCCGTTAAGCCTCGAGCATTGCGCGGGCGGCCAGACATGTTGCCTGAACTCACCCTTGTGCGTTACTCCCTCCGCCCGTAAGCGTTGGGCTTCCCTCTTGTTCCTGGAGGCCACCTGTGTCGCACCGCCAACAGCCTTATCAGACTCGAGGACTCGTGCCTCAGCTACCGCGTCCCAAGCGTATAGTGATGTCAATGCTTGTGGATGGCGTCGGGTCGATCGGTCGGGCTGATAGTTTCCGACGGATGCTCCGCGTTTTCGACGCCGAACAGTGGTGGGCGTGACTTCCGAATTGTCAATTACCGAAGATAGTGAAGTAGATTTCGCTTTCGTTGTTGTTCGCCGACGTTGGTGGTCAATGTTGTCTATTGTATATATTGATGATATGGTTGTTGGAGAGTGGCTGGTGGCATCGTGTTGATGCATGGCTGAGGGGCCCTCTGAATTAGGTAAGTTCTTAGTCATTGTGTAGTGGGATATCCGGAGTTATGCGGGGCAAAAGCACTGAACGATGAACGTGGCAGATACTTCAATGCAATTTGTCTCTGTCTTGACCGCTTCTAAGAGCTTTGACGTTCCAACGGAGAGAAACTCTTATCTTTGTCCCAGCTGGAAGGCAAGGACCATCTCTTCGCTATCGCTGTTTCCTCAATAATCTCTCCCACGATGCAGGTGCCCTTACTACGCCTACAGTGCGGTAGGTCCTACGAATTATACTGAAAGGCACGTACTGAAGATGTCCAGGGTGTAATAGCTACGACTGGGGTGAGTCTGATGAGTATACAATAGAAAATTCTGCTGAAAGGTGAGCAGGGAAGAAGGGAAAGGACTCAGCAGCCGCGAAATATGCGGCAGCCACCCCTTCAGATGGCTTCTCCATCCAAGAAGACAAGCCCTATGCGGAGGTACGTCTGCTATGACTATATGTCATCCTCTGACAACCCTAGCTATGGATGGGCACCCATCCATCCCTCCCATCCAAGGACCTCACGACTGGCCGTTCCTTACTGGACCTTGTCTCCGACAATGCTGCCCTGATGGGCCACGACATCACCTCCAAATACTCTTCCAAGCTCCCGTTTCTGTTCAAGGTTCTTTCCATCAACAAAGCCCTCTCAATCCAAGCACACCCCAATAAGAAGCTTGCTGAAAAGCTGCACGCTCAAGACCCGAAGAACTACCCCGATGACAACCACAAGCCCGAGATGACCATTGCCATTACCCCCTTCGAAGGTCTCTGCGGTTTCCGACCCCTCCAGGAGATCTCTCAATTCCTCAACACTGTTCAGCCGTTGCGTGACCTTGTCGGAGACAGCAATGCTAAGAATCTCGAATCCGCAGCCACAGGCTCATCGGCTGATGCCAAAGCCGCCTTGCGCGCTGCTTTCACCGGCCTCATGAACACGCCCAAGGACACCGTCGCAGCCAAGTCCAGAGCACTTGTCTCTCTCGCCTCGGAGGGCAAGTTGCCAGACGACCTCTCCGAGTTGGTTACTCGATGCAATGGTCAGTTCCCAGCCGACATTGGTCTTTTCGTGCTCTTCTTCCTGAACTATGTGCGCCTCGATCCCGGACAGGCCATGTATCTCAAAGCAGATGACATCCACGCCTACATATCTGGAGACATCATCGAATGCATGGCAAGCTCCGACAACGTCATTCGGGCAGGCTTCACCCCCAAGTTTCAGGATGTCAACACGTTGACCGAGATCCTGACGTATGACCACGAGCCAGCGGAGAAGCAGGAGCTAGTCCCTGTCGATTACCCGTATGCAAAATTGGACCGCACGGCCTACAGCAGCGGATCGGAATGTCTGCTGTACGACCCACCCATCGAGGAATTCTCGGTTGTCCGCACCCTCCTCAAGGATACAGGAGCCAAATGCACATTCGAAGGCATCGCCGGTCCCAGCATCATCATTTGCACGAACGGCAGTGGCAAAATCAGCGTAGGGCCCAAAACCGAGGACATCAAGGAAGGATGGGTATACTTTGTAGGAGCAACAGCGGAGGTCGTGCTGGAGAGCCATGGCGACGAGTTTGTGACGTTCCGAGCATTCTGCGAGATCGGCGGTCAAGTTCACGCCGCGAACGGTGCCAATGGCGCGTGACTGACCGGAGATCAACATGCGAGACTCTAATGGTGGTCTGTGACCTTAGCAAAGAGGGGAAAGCGTAGGCCCCCAACTGAAAGGAGGGTGGTTCAGCCTTGCTTGGAGCTCAAAGTAGTCACTCACCATCACTATAGTGGCAAAGCATATATAGCGTAGACAGATCTACTGCGCATAGATCTACCTATTCGATGCCAAGATTCGAGTCACTGTGCCCTTTTTCGACAGATGCAGCATCCCACTGGCATTACTGTTGCGAGCGAGGAGGAGCTACAAAAAAGCAGTGACATGTGCGAGCATTCGTATTCGCTGCCCCCGCCACAGCAGCAGCAGATAAAAGGAGACACATCACGGACGAAGCCAGGCAACTCAGCTTCCTGTCTTGAGTACTTCCACAGTCTGTAGTCAGAGTATACTACACTGGCTCAAGGCCACACCTTAGCAAGGCCGCCTGTTTTCTTTTGCCCCCTTCGAGAGAAATGTCTACCTTTCCGTAAGCGCGGGCATGCCCGGGCCCGAACGGCTCCAGAATCCATCTACCGACCATCAAAGGTCGATCTACCGCCTCCGACCTCGTGCCGTGTTACTCCGTACATTACTCCTAGCCGTGATAGCCAGACGATGGACGCCCGCGCGCTTCTCCCAGACGCCACTGCTGCCGGACGCGACGGCCATGATCTCCCTCGCCACGCGCTCCTTGAGGCTGACATCGGTGCGCTTCTCGCTCCCCTCGATGATCCACTTGATGGCGGTGCGGCGGCGCTGCTTGATGCGCAATGGCACAGGGATTGGCAGTGATTGCCCACCGCCGAGCACGCCCCGCTGTTGGCGGATCTTGACGAGGGGTGCTACAGAGTCGACGACTGAGGTAAGGTATTGGATGGGAGACATGGAGAGATTGGCGCGGGGGACGGCGGGCGCGGTTGTGTGGGTGGTGTTGATCGAGGCATCGGAGAGGAGGGGTCGCGCGCTGTTCATGGCTGGGGGCGGTGCGGTACGGAGGGTGCTGAGGATGTGGTCCATGTTCTGGTCGAAGTTAGTGCGAGAGAACATGAGAAGATGGAGGGCGAGGTTCGACGAACCTTTTGCGCGCGGGCGAGTTTGCCATCTCGCATGATCATTTTTGTGAATTGGTCAATCACAGGGTCGTAGCGACGACGCATATGGTCGGTGACCTTCCATTTCTCCATGTCGGGGAGAGGAAACTTGTGACCTGGGCCGGCGTCGGGATAGTCGAGGCCTACGGCACGGGTATCGTCGAACTTCGCTGCCGCATTCTTGACCTTTGCTACCAGCATTGATTCTGGTAACGCATCGCCTGCACCTGAAGCAGATTGCAGCTCAGCTTCAAGCCTCCTCGCACTGGTAGAAAACGATCGCTGTTGGCCCTCGCCGGGCTTTTTCATCCCCTTTTTGAAGACTTCGGGGGCGTTTTTCTGGGCATCTTGATCACGTTGCAGTATCTACACTCGTCAGTCACCGGAACTCCTGATATTGGTATGAGTCAAATGACGCACCTCTGCAACAGGCGTGCTCTGATCGTCTGTCTGCGGCGGCGTTTCGCCCATAATCTCATCCATCGCAGCTTGTTCTTCGGTCACATGTGGAAGTTGCGACTCGTTGGCGCCACTGGTTTGCTTGCCGGGCTCAGCTTGCGCAGGTCCTTTGATGGGATCGGACTGATAACGGCTCGGAGTCGTGGCGAGCGTGCGCTGCGGCGCATTTGTTCTGGCTCGGAAAGCTATGCGCCGAGGCGCGAGCAGAGATATCCGTGGCGGCATTATGATATGGTGTGATGTGGTGATTGGAAGTCGGAATGGGAGCTTCGCTGAACGTTTGGTGCAGTGTCGTCGGACTCTTCTCCACACTCGGAGTGCCAAGACTTGAGTGGTCTGCAAAACGATGACGACTGTTGAGCTCAGGCAGTGTTAAACTAGGAGGAAGGCTTTTACACTAGGCCGACAGTCTTGGACGTGTGAAACTTTTACGATTGCTTATGATCTGGACAAAAGGGAATATGCTCCTACAACTTGGGTATATATCAATCACCAAAGCGGCCGTCTGAAGCACAAGAGGCCGTTTCCCGCGTACTCCTCGCATCCCAGATCTTCGCTTCCCCTCGTACTTCTGGTAGACACCGCAGCTGTATAGTCGAGCTCGGCGAGCGGGTAGAGACGGTTAACGTTGTGGAAAAGAAAATCCTGAGTTCCGGCTGTCCTCAAAGCCCACCGCTGCCAATCTTAGGCTTATCGCCAATATCGCCAGCATCGTCAGGCAGAACGTAAAAAGCAAGGGCGATGATTATGTACATGCCCAAGCAGAGTAGTCCTTCGAGCCAATTGGACTTGCCGTCCTGGATCAGTAGCACCACGACCAACGAGGCCAGGAAGAAGGCCACGGTCTCGAAAGTCTCGAAGTGCAGAGACATTGGTCTGTCCATGATCCAACCGAGGATGACCAGGAAAGGTGTGACAAAAATGGCAATCTGCAGGCTCGAACCAATTGCCACGCCAATGGCAAGATCCATCTTGTTCTTGTATGCCACAATGACGGCCGTAACGTGCTCGGCAGCGTTGCCGACGATTGGAATCAGGATGAGACCGATGAAGGTCTTGCTGATATGCGCTTTCTCCACAATGGAATCAATGCTGTCTACCAAGTACTCGGCGCAAATGGCGACCAAAAGAGTAATGACGACAAGGACCGCGCCGGCCGCCCAAGGACCAAGCATAGTCGAGCCCTCCTCATCGCCCTCCTGTTGCTCGGCATCGTCAAACAGCTCGGCGTGAGTCTTGAGCTGGAAGAACAGATACGAGACGTAGATGAATAGCAGAATGATGGAGGTGCCTCTAGAGAGCACCATGATATTATCGTCTTGATCACCTGGGTTTTGGTTGGCCATGACGGCGTAGAGGGTAGCGGGAATGATCAGCGACGCAGTGGCAACTGTCATAAGCGAGGACATAGTCGAGGCAACGGTGCTGTTGAACGTCTGCTCTTTGTATCTGATTCCGCCGGCCAAAAAGCAGCATCCGAGCACAAGGAGAATGTTGGACAGAATACTGCCCAGCATGCTGGCTTGCACAATGCGAATCTCATTGTTGCGTAGAGCAATGATACTGACCTGCGATCAATTAGCTTGTGAGATGAGTGCGGCATTTTTTGACATACAATCAGTTCAACTGCGTTGCCGAAAGTGGCATTCAATAAGCCTCCCAAAGTCTGACCCAACGGAACAGCCAGCTCCTCAGTCGCAAATGCCAACAATGAAGCTAGCGGAATGATTGCAACGAAGTTCAAAGTGAATTGTGCAACAGGAGACCAGTCCAATAGGCCGGAGAGTATACCAAGCGGCACGAAGACCAGCAAGACGTTGACATAATTTGTCTTGAGGATTTCCCAGGTCGTATGCGCAACTAGGGCAGGGTATCGGATGGTAGGATTCTCGTGCTTGTGGTAGGGAGTGCCTGATTCGGTGGTGCCTATGCGGCCCAGTAGACGAGATCGCTCGTTGGGTTCGGCAGTGCCATTGCCATCCTCCAGATTGTCGCTCATCTCTCGATTATGGCTGGGGTTGCTCCCGGTACGGAGGAAGGACTGACGGATAGAGCTCGCAGCTACATTATTAGAGGCGGCCATAGCGCCAAAAGTCAGTCGACATTTGATGGCTAGGGCAGTGTTGTCAAAGGAGTAGATAATATGAGCAGGGAGGGGTGGTTGGGCGAGGAAATCTTACACATTGACCCGGACGAAGGCTGTGCAGCTGTTGCGATCTGGGATGATTAACCGCCAAGCTAGAAGCGGGGGACTAGTAAGTGCTTGACTGCTGCAACCAAGCTCCCCAGATCGGTAGGTCGAGAGATCATAGAATAATGCTTGACACCACAAGACCATCGGCCTGAGCTGCGGAATCCTGGGTCAAGTTATGGGCGGGAGGTAGAGCTGAGCGATGACGATGGGTGGGTTCCTGCGGGCTCTGCAGCTCCACAAGCTGTAAGCGGCGTACGGAAGAGGACTGGGTTCAACAGGGGCCAACTTTGACGAGCCACAACGACGGAGGCGCAACGGGAGTGATGCACCAACCAAAGTGAAAGCAGAGAAGTTGCCCAATCAGCACGACACATTCCGCGGCAGATAGCGTGCCAAGAGAGGCGCAGCAACACTTTGTCTAACTCCTGAGGCCGCCGGCAGTGATAACTACTACTACTCCGTTCTTGCTCGTAGTATCAAGAAGAAAACTCTAGCAGCACCGCCATCCTGTCGAAACGGAGCGAGGCATCGACTTGAGTTTCCCGAGTCACGCGTGCTAGACCACGAATCTGCACGCGTAACTCTAAAAAGTGTACAGTAGCAGCGAAGATGAGCTTGGCTTTGATCTACGCATGATGAAGCGCGTACGATTCTGCAGAGTATTCATCATCACGCGCGCGGCACTGCTAGAACCGCCACGACTTCGGTCATCGAACATGTAGCACGGGTGTGCTCTTTCGTGAGGTGCCTGGTGCAGTATCATCACTGACACCAGTACCCTGCTCGTTGTACCTACACCGTTCCTGAAAGTGCCGGCTTATCTGATGGTCAAGCTAATTTCTGCTCAAACTGGTAGCGTGACTAGGCAATAACCAGAGCCAGCCAAGTCGCCGCGTACCAGATGGCCTAGTTGACACCCAAGCTTGTGGTAATCGTTAAAAACTACCATATCGCGGAGCAGTACTCTGTATGCATGTCATAGCCTTGTGGCCCTCGTCCTCAGCCTTGCGAGCATCTTCACCTCCACTACTCCGCATTTCCACCTCGCTTCAAGATTCTGTGACAGAGGCCAAGGCGACAGCGACCCTTAGCAGCGGTCAGCGTGTCCTGACTCTTAAAACATAGCATCCCTTGACGACCATATGGAGCTGTGCGCGAGATGCTTCGTTCATGTGCCGCTCAAACACAGCTGCGCACACTGCACACACGACCGGCACTCAGAGCACAGGGAGCTGCAGCCGTCGCGGAAGGCGTGAGACAATGGATGCCCAGTCACCCACCGTCACAGGCGTCGATTTCGGATATCGAGGTCAACAGACTGTCTGCGAAGCCACGACGCCCGTTGACATTGGCTGATCTGGTAAAGTGCGTTGCACACGTTCCTAGGTAAGTGGAAGCTGACAGAGCACTAGGCATGGAAAGCCTCCTCTCTCCCAAGAGGCCCTAATCGCCTCAGCCAACTTCACGTTGGCTCTGTTGCCGGCACGCCTGGCGCATCGAATCACTGCACTGCGAAATCTCCCTTTCATCGTTGTCTCGAATCCGTCAGTCAACAAGATCTACAACAATTACCTGCATTCCTTGTCCACTTTGGAGCCATTCTACCAGAAAGAGATCACAACTATACAAGATGAACAGAAATTTACCGAGGTTATGGCGGACCTGGTCCGTACACATTCTAACACCATTCCGATCCTCGCCAAAGGCTTTCTCCAATGTCGAAAATACATTGATCCCAATGAAGTCACACGCTTTCTTGACCAGCATCTGCGCGCTCGCATTGGAACTCGCCTTGTCGCCGAGCAACATCTTGCACTGCATGTTGCTACAACAGACCATCCGGAGGAGCACAGGGGCGATTCGCATATTGGCGTCATCGACACTGCTCTGAAGCCGTCTGATATCATTCTGTCCTGCCAGAACTTTGTAGGCGAAATCTGCGAGTTGAAGTACGGCGTTCGGCCAAGCCTTGTCATCAATGGAGATCCTGATGCTGAGTTCGCCCATATTCCAATGCATCTGGAATACATTATCACGGAGCTGCTCAAGAATGCTTTCCGCGCGACCATCGAATCCGGAAACGAGCGCACCCCCATCGAGGTGACAATTGCTGCAGCGCCAGACGTACCCACAGGTGGTACAAAGCTGGAGTCTTTGAAGCAGTTGCGTGTCTCACAGGACAGATCCTACGATTTCTCTCAAGCCGGACTGGACGAATATTGTGCTGACCCCGACATGGTGGGTCAACTAAACCATGCTGCACCGTGCATCACAATTCGCATTCGTGATAAAGGTGGTGGGATATCGCCCGAGACGCTCCCCAATATCTGGTCTTATAGCTTTACCACCTTCAACGCAGACGAGGCAGCAGCGGTGGACAACGGTACAAGCGATGGCTTGAATGTGCTGTCAGAAAGCGGTGACCATAGTACAATCGCCGGCTTAGGCTATGGCCTGCCGCTTAGCAGAGCCTATGCCGAGTACTTTGGCGGTGGCATCGCTGTTCAAAGCATGTACGGTTGGGGCACTGACGTCTATCTTACCTTGCAAGGTGTTGGGAAGGTCACATAACACGTATACAGAACGCTTCAATGCAGCATCATTTCCCGACAACTCTACTGCAAATACGCCGGGCCGGGCTCTCCAGCTCTATCTTCAGGAGAATACCGGCACGATTTTGCGCGTTGCCCGATCCCTCAGTCTCTCCTGCATCACCTTTCCATACATGTCCACTACCCATCGACAAACAATCTTGCGCGTGTCCTTGGGATCAATGATTTCCTCCACGTTGAACGCGTTGATGGCCCTCACAGGGTTCATCAGGCGCACATACTCATCCTCCAGTTCCTGGTATCGCCTCTTGTATCCTTCTTCTCCTTCCTTCTCTCGGATCTGCTTCAGCTCAAACCGGTGACCTACTTCGATGCCACCATCAAGAGGCAGAGAACCCCAATTGGCGCTCGGCCACGCAACGCGAAAGATGGGGTCGCGCGAATCGGTCATGACGCCACCAGCAACACCGTAACTGCGCCGCGTGACGACGCTGAAGATGGGCGTCGTGGTGCTGTAATAAGCCTTTGCAAGTTCCACGCCCCATTTCATGGTTGCCGCGCGCTCAGCCGTCGTGCCGATCGCATATCCAGCTGCGAAGGAGGTTAGCAGGAACTAGGCACGGGGAAACAGGGAAGGATACGTACGGCAGTCCACAAACTGCAGAATCGGCAGGTTGAAGACATCACAGAACTTTAGATGCTTCATCATCTTCTGACTCCCACTGTGGTCCAGCGCCCCCGAGTTGACCTCACAATTCAAGCTGATGATGCCCACCGGCTTGCCTGCCATCCTCGCCAGCCCAACGATTGCCGTCCTCCCCCACAACGCTCCAATCTCAAACCAGCTGCCTCGGTCCACCACGCTCTCAATGATCCTCCAAGGATTATAGCCCCTACCCTTCCGCCGCGGCACCACCTCCCTGAGCCCCACATCTTCCCTCTCGACATCGTCTTCGGGCGCCACGCACGGTGGTGCCTCGAGGTTTCCACAGTCGGGCAGGAAGCCCAGTACGGTCCGCACCTGGCGAAAGACATCCGCCTCGTCCTTCGCCAGGTTATCGATCGTCCCATTCCGACAATGCACGTCCGGTCCACCCAACTCCTGGAAGCTGAGATCTTCCTCAAACGTCGCGCCCTCAACAACCTTGGGCCCCGCGTTGAACAGACTCCCCACATCCGCCGCCATGACGCTCCAGTGCGAGCACACAACACGTGCAGCCCCGAGTCCGATGGCTGGGCCCACCACACACCCAATATTCGGGATGCCATCATTCATCTGCTTCGCAGCCGGCCACAAAATCTTATTATCTGGCAAATAACTATACCCAAGCTGCGCAATCGTCGTCACGCTCCCTCCACCACTCGACCCATCACACAGCTTCACGACAGGCGTCTTAAGCCGCAGTGCCAACTTCTCCCCCTGCATCGTCTTCAGTGTATTACCACCATCAGCATGCCCACCACGGATACTGAAGTCATCGGCGGTAAGGTAAATCGTCTTGCGGATCCCCGTCACGGGGCACGTCACCTCGCCAAACCCCTGCGGGTTGTTGGTCGGCACGAACGAGTCGATGTGCTCCCGCTGCGGGTGCTCCGGATCACGCCGCCATTTCGCGCTGCCCGTCAAAGCGCCCAGCTCGCGCCACGTGTCGGGATCCAGGAGCTGCTTGATGCGGGCCCGCGCCCATTGCTTCCCTGAAGTGAGTTGGCGCTGGTAGCCGCGTGAGGCGGTGTCGGGCGTCCAGGAGATGCGGTGCATGGTCGCGGCATGTCCAAGAATGTCCGAGTAGTCGGCTGGGAGCGTGGCGGCTGGGTCGGCTGGAGTGCGTTTGCGCCGGGCTTTCTTGCTGTTGGATGAGGGAGGTTCGGATTGGCTTGGGTCGATTTGGGAGGAGAGCTGGGACAGGCGCGAGGTTGCCTTGGCGTGGGAATCAGTGGATGCGTTCTGCGAATAAACCGGGTCATTCTGGCTGTCTGGTCCGCCTTGGGTTGTGTTCTTGGGCGGTTGCCTAGATGGCTCTGGAGTTGGCTGTGGTTGACCGTAGACCGGATCGCTTACGCCTTTGGTGTTGGAGTCGGTGGCGGTATGCTGCGAGTAGACCGGGTCATTGTGGCTGTCTGGGCCGCCCTGCGCCGTCTCTTTGGACGGACCGTTGGCTGGCTCAGGCGGTGGCCGTGATTGACCATAGACCGGGTCGCTTTCGCCTTTGGGGTCTTTGGAGCTCATTGTAAGAGGTTGACCTTGGGCAGTGATATGCAGGTGAACGTCAGAGAGTACTATCGAGGCAATAGATGATTCTCGCAATGAGAAAAGAGTCCCAACGTATTGAGGAGAAAGGTTCGCCAAAATCGAGGACTTCGCAATGGCATCTGCGTATCGGCACCGAGGTGCAAGGCACTTTACGGTAGCGAAGTGCAGTGGTGCGTGGTCCTTACCCCAAACACCCCTTCTCCACCCCCCACAATCCGTCCACTGCCTCGGCATCTCAGTCAAAGGTCCGCGGGGAACTGGGCCAGTCCGTTCCCCTCGCATCGACATCTCGGTTCCGTTGCAATATACAATACATTTGCTTGTTTGACACCGGTACAAGGTAGACAACATGCTCGAGGCCTGAGCATCGAGACACAATTATCATAGATCAACGCACAGCCAGACGCCAGCAGAGCTCCGCGCCACCATGCCACCCGTGCAACGCCCCATCAGCAACCTCCTCATCGCCAACCGCGGCGAGATCGCGGTCCGCATCTTGCAAGCCGCCGCGGAACTCCCCTCACCACCCACCACCTACGCCCTCTACACCGAATCCGACAGCACACATGTCTCGCTCGGCCGCCCTCACCACGCCGTCAAGCTGCCCTCGCCTGCGGCGTACATGGACATCGATGCGCTGATCATGATCGTCCAGGAGCACCGCATCGACGCCGTGCATCCCGGCTATGGCTTCCTCAGCGAGAGTGCGGACTTCAGTCGGCGGATGTGGGAGGAGGCCGGGTGTGTGGTCGTAGGGCCTGGCTGGGAAGTGCTGGACCGCACAGGCGACAAGTTGAAGGCCAAGGCTTTGGCGGCCGAGTGCAAGGTGCCGGTGTTGAAGGCTATGACCACGCCGTCTGGCAGTGTGGGAGATGTGGAGGCTTTTGCCAGGAGTGTGGGATTGCCGATCATGGTTAAGGCGGTGGATGGTGGGGGTGGACGAGGCATCAGATTGGTGAGAAGCGAAGGGGAGCTGCGCACTGCAGTGGAGAGATGCATCGGCGAGAGTCCCAGCAGAACCGTCTTTGCCGAGCAGGCGGCCGTCGAGGGATTCAAGCATGTTGAGGTGCAGATCCTTGGGGACGGCCGTGGCGGCGTAAAGCACCTGTGGGAGCGGGACTGCAGCGTCCAGCGGCGGTATCAGAAGATTGTGGAGGTGGCACCGGCACCCCAGGAGAGTGTGAGTCGAAAGATCGTTGCCAAAGTGGTGGACGCTGCCGTCAAGATGGCAAAACGGTTGCGGTACCTCGGACTCGGCACGTGGGAGTTCTTGGTCAATTCTCAGGCTCGGCAGTTCTACTTTCTCGAGATCAATCCGAGGCTGCAGGTCGAGCATACCATCTCGGAAGAGGTGGCAGGTGTGGACCTGGTACGGGAGCAGTTGCTGATTGCGCAGGGGTTGCAAGAGGAGAACCTCAAGCTGGGCGAATGGTGGGAGGCTGAGACCGCTCCAGCTATGGCTTCTATTCAGCTTCGGTTATGTGCTGAGGATCCCAGCAATAACTTCACGCTCAGTATGGGCAAGATCACAGACTTCAAGTTACCCTCTGGCAATGGGGTTCGGGTTGATACCCACCTGTCTCGTGGCGGAGCCGTGGGCGCGGACTTTGACAACATGATGGCGAAAATCATCGTGACGGCCGCCACGTTTCGCGGTGCCGTGGTGAAAGCACGTCGTGCCTTGGCCGAGACCGAAGTTGTGGGCGTGAAGACAAATCTGACCCTCCTGCGAGCCATTGTGGCCGACCAGGAGTTTGCCGCTGGATTGGCCACTACCGATTGGCTGGAGAGACAGATGCACGACCTACTACAGACTGGTGAAGCGTTGAGTAAGCAGATTGAAACGGCCAGCGGCAACTTGCCTAGTCAGTCCCTGGCAGCTAATGCAGCTTCTGGTATGGGCGGCTCTTCGGTCATGCTGCGGAAAGGGGACGCTTGGGACGTCAAACTGCAGAAGGTCGAGCAACCGGCGGCGGATACCGAGCCGGCTGCTCACCACCTTCGCATTGACAAGATCAGCAGAAACGAGTTTCCAGAGGCTCTGGTCGCCCACGTGTCGTTCACAGCCCCTGGTAGCGCCTCACAAGGCTACCGCATGACGTTGAACAGTACGTCTGCCTCAGCAGACGCTGCAGCGTCAAGCCATCGTCGTGGCGACCCTGCCAACAAATCTCATATCGTGGTGCCAATGAGTGGCAAGCTCATCGAAATACTTGTGGACGAGGGGGATGAGATACAGGAGAATCAGGTAATAGGTTTTATCAAACAGATGAAGATGGAGCTAGAAATCCGGAGCCCGCGTGCCGGAAAGGTCGGATGGGTTATCGAATTGGAGAACGATGAAGGAGATGATGTTGCCGAGGGTGTACTGCTGGCGGAATTAGCTCCTGAGAGCGACAGCCCCCAGTTGAGGAGTCGACTATAGATCTATGTGTCTAAAGGCTGGCATAGACCAGCCAAGGATGTCTCTAACTCTATTACTATAGCATAAGTTACTGGCTCGTAGTTGGAGCTTCTTACCCAATAGCCTAACTCGTGCAATGCAGCAGCATTCGTGAACACCAGCGTGGGCATCTTGACCAGTGGCCATTGATCGACGATGGTCATTTCTGCAACTGTCAAGGCCGATCATGCGCGAAATGCTTTGGGGATCTCCGGAAACATACTTAGGCACTACGACGCCCCTTGACCCGTGCTTTTTTTGAATCATGAAGGAATGCTTCTCGCTTGAAAACGGGTCGTTGCATCTTGACGCAAGCCGAACTGGCCGTGTAGCTGCCACGAGGTTGAAAATGAAGTGGCTCGTACTCGTGCCGGACAAGGTCTCCGGGCAGCGATTGGTCTTCACTGAACAAGCACCCTATAAGGCCACAGCCGCAGACCATCTGCAACGCCGTTGCCCAGTAGATTATCTGGGGTGATTTACTCTGCGATCTAGCCAATGGTTGCTCTTCCGCCATACAGAAGGTTATGCGAATACGGCAAGAGTTTAAGTGCCCAACACGGGCGACCGACTACTCAAGAAAGATTTCGCGTAGACCTAATGTATTCACCTCCTACCTTGTTCTCTTGAATCGACAAAATGAGCGAAATGGATTATATAGATTTGCTATCGACCCAAGGACACATGAATGGAGCATTTGCCACAGGCTGACGGGGTACTCTGCTTTCCGAACGGAATAGCCCCTTCGACAAGAGTTGGTCTATCATCCCAAGGCTGAGGTTACCGATGATATAGGTGACAAGTGCCTGGAGAGGGTAAATCGAGCCACACAAGAGAAGACCAATAGGCTAATTGCGCTTCCAAGATGCTTTGGCGCGGTTCGAGTTGGCGATGAGCCGATGAGGAGAATGGCAAAGAGTGTTAGACGCTACAGGTGCATTGTACACGTTCAGAACTGACGCAAAGATGTCATATCCCTATATGTTAGTCTAGGCCCAGCGGGTTGATGAAGAGTAGTGGCTTGCGGAAAATGATCGCGGCTTTCGCTGATTCTGGCATGGCTCAAGGTGGGTTCAGGCCGACTAATATGCTGAGATAATCTCTAGCCTATCATGACAACAGATCAAGCAATTCAAAGGACCTGCACTGTGACGAATGCTTCGAGGGTCCACCTCTCTGTTCCTTGTCCTGAATCAACTCTCAGGCCCGTGGCTAGATTATGCTATTCCTGATGCGACTAGGTTTACCCAAGTGCAACTTCTCCTCACGGCCAAGTACGAGTCGAACGACATGAGCCACGCCTTCCCTGTTGGTAGGTTCACCCAAACGAGTACGAGATATAATTAACATGAAGTACACCGTATGCAGTCATTCTATGTTTCTGTCTCCTAACACTAACCCCAACGTGACCTTGAAATCCCCCTTTCTTTAGTCATAGCCACGCTACGCCACACGAAGTTGTGTGCCACACGTTACTCACAACCACGACTGAAAGCGGACTCGATTCTTGTGTACCTCGCACCTGTGCCGAGTTCTTGACTCGTCTAGAATGCTTGATCCAACAGCGGCAACAGAAGCATTGATTCAAGCAGGCCTTCTCCAGCAACAGTATCTCAATCAACTGACTGATAGTGTTGATGAGGCCACTTATGACACCAAGCTTGGGGACCTCCAGGAACCCTTGGGATCACATCAGGGGGCATTGTCCCTTAATTCAGCGTATGAGACTCCGAACCAGGCTGTCATTGGGATGGACGGCCTCAGTATGCTAGATTTCCAGGCTTCATCAGGCCAGCTATGGCCATTCGACACACCTATGCCTCATCTAATTACTGCCATCGATCAGATGGCTGAGCTTCACCTGGCACAAAATTGTACGCCAAATATGTCACCCACAACCACTACTGATGGCTACGTAAGTCGGCGTATCTCGCTACCAAGTAGCCAGGAAATTGTTGAGTGGCAGGAAAAGTCACGGAACGAGGTGTGTGTATCGAAAACTGGACCCAATATATGCTAACTTGCAGGAGCGAAGAAAAGTTCAGAATCGCGCTGCTCAGCGAGCCTACCGGGAACGGAAAGAGAAGGCTCTATCAGATCTGAAGGGAGTCCTTGAGCGGAAGGAGTTCCAATTGCAGGCGTTGCAGCAGGAGTATGATGAATTAAGTGCGAAGTACGAAAGACTTGAATCATCGCAGCAGCAACACCAGTCTCGGAATATGGCTTGCACTTGTCCATCTAGCAACACAGCGTCAGCCGACAAACAGCAACCCACCAGATCACGCCCAGTACGAAGCAACGACCGGCTCTCGAGCCGCTAGCCGTCTCGTGCAGATGGAAGTCACAATTATCACACCTGGACAGGTGTCGAAATTCCGTTCGTGTCTCTTCTTGCTACGCCCGAAGAACATCAGCTCCACAAAGCATGCACTCCTCCGTGATTCTCCAAAAGCGAAGCGGCTCATTTCCATTAATGTTGGTACGAGCGGGTGTTACGAGCACATGCGAAGGCTCGGACTAGGTTTCGTGGCGTTGCGTTAGGCAGCCACACTGGGTATTCCGGGCGAATGGGTACCGGTAGACAAGCATGGTCCTCAACTGTTGTTGAGCATGCAGGTCCTCCTGTCATGCATGAGGACAGATGGGTCAGGGCTTCCAGAAGCCGCAACATGCCGACATGCCGCCATACTAGGCGTCTCCGCGTCAAATGGAGTGTCTGCAAAACGTGACTACGACTCAGGCGTACGAGACCGCTCGGTATTGCTAAAGCAATTCAAGATATTCACATGAATACATGCTTCATGGCGGATAAAATCACACAGTCCTCATGCAACAATCTAGTCAATTGACGCTGAGGTCACTAGTGTAGTTTCACCCAGAGCCACAACCAGTGACGCCTTGCCTCACAGTTACCTAGGTAGGTATTCCGCGGCACAGAGCCTAAGTTGGAGCCAACTCCAAGGGGGCAAAACCATATACCGAGCCGAACAATGGCTTCCCAACAGGAGTGTACCCAGAGCATTAACGCCAAAACTTCATAGCCCACGTGGCCTTGTCGAAGTCAGCGCGCAAAGGTACCACTTTTGCATTTTAGCTTTGACATGATCCCGTACGAACTTTCCCGGGGCTTCAGTAATCCACGAATCTCGAAGTTCTGACGGATAGCATGACTGCAGCAGACGACGACGCCGTATCGTTGGCCCAAGGCTAGCCGATCGAAGATCTTCCTTGCAAGCGACACGATCTGTATGGATCGCTAGACTGCCGTGCTTTCGGTTCCAGGTGTACATAAGCAGTCGACGACTGACTAATACACGTGCAGCAGGGCTCCATACGCAAAGCTACAAGACCAACAACTCTCGTGATTTCGAAGTACTCAAGATATCTCCTCTCTATCATACCCAAGTCAATCCTGGTTTCAGGCGTCCGAAGCGGCCTCCGCCGGATCCAACTTCACACCTCACCACAGGAGTGTTGCCCGATGTGCTTTCTCGTCAGCGATCGTCCATGCGTTCTGCTCCGATAGCTGTTCCTATCATTCAGACCCTTCTGGCGCATGCTTGATACGACAATCGCCGGGTCACGAGTCAAAGACCGAGGCTTCCTAAACCACGTCAAAGCTCCAGTTGCTCACTCTAGTTCCCAGTGACACCTACGTCACGCGTGCAGCACACTTGGCGTCCAACAAGTTGGGAAACGCAACATATCAAGTTGGCAAGCTGGGCGGGTGGCCTAGTCGCCATCTCAGTCCATTGCTTGTGGAAGCGAGTCACGCTTGAACACTGGCACAGAGGATAGCGTAGCACGGACGAATTGATACTTGGACGAAGAGGTCAAGTTCTGCGAATTGAGCAGAGGATGACGTGAACGGCTCATGCATCTCTATGACTGTTGCTGATACCTGCCACACCAAGTGCATGCTTGGACCATTCCTCTGTAGCCTGCACCACCGCCAGAGAATGGTCTTGGCATCAGGCAGGCAATTTGGTGCCTCCTCTGAAAACGTTCACCCCGGCGTAAGAATCACGGTATGCTAACCGGACTGCAGTAGATGTCGATCTCCAGTCAGGTAGTGGGTCCAGCGAGGATTGCTTGCTTGCTTCACAGTGCTGCCGTGCTGGTGGTGCGGTCTCTCGATAGCGATTAGGCTTCACCAGTCATCCGACGTATAGCCACCTGAAGAAGCTTCTAGCTTCATCAGTAAGTGGTCTTGAACACCCACACGACCTAATGCGTTCTACACCTTGTCACCAACCTTCAGCTCACTCCATCCCTGAATGCCTCACTCGGTACTACAGTCCCGACCTAACTCCCACACGCAACCGTCACCTCGCCCCCCTCTACCCGTGGCACCGGACTTACAATCTCCAGCACACCATTCTCTGCCGTACGCAACACACAGATATAAAACACCTTCTCCGTCCGCGTGGCCCTCACGTCCTCACCTACCTGCGCCGTTACACACCAATACCTCGTCCCAAAGATGCCTCCCCAGGCTCTGTATTTCAAACCCCCGGCCTCCCTCAATCGCACCCTTTCACCATCCACCACTCTGCCCTCAGCCGTGGGCCCATCCTTGCCCACCACATCCTCCAGACTCCTCGCGATACCGTTGGCGTCGAGATGAGCCTCCCGCGATGTTGCCGCGCTGTACTCGTAGCTCAAGGGGCACATGCCCTGGTAGGTCTCCCACTTGCGTCGGTGCGCGACCGGGTGGCGCGCGTGGTAGGGCGTGTCGAAGTGGCCCGAGACTCGCAGCGCGAATGCAACAAGCACTTACCTATCTGGGCTCGACTTACAGGCGGCGGCTAATACCTGACCATGATACCGCTGGCTACTGAAGTGTCTCGCGTGAAAATTCTAGTGTAGTACAGGTAACATTGCGACGATCATCAGTCAAGGGCCGGCGACGTCGCCGCAATTATGGCGAGCGGCATCTAGATCTATAGGAGCTACCCTCGAAGGATACATCAGAATCGACCGTCGTGACGCAACTGCCTCGAGGGACTGAGATGTTCTACTTGGCATAAGCGTCCTGCTTGTTGTCAGGAGTTTACAGTTTAGCGGAGCTGTGCAAAGCAAGCTTCTGAAGTGGCAGTGGCGGTTCAGTGGAAGATGGGCGGTGCTTTGCGACTACGCCACCGTATCAAGACGGGTATGTGAAAGGATCGTGGACTGAACTCCAAGCGTCGTGGCTCAAGGCCTTGGTAAGCAAAACATGCGCGGTAACAGAGCCTGAGTAGATGATGCTCCATTTCGGGATTGGCGGTATCGGATGTTTGTATCGTGTATGAGTATCGGGTATCGTATGGCATCCTCTGCCAAGCAAAACAGCCACCACCACCACCAGCATCGACGTCGCATTGACTCCAGCTCTGAGGATCGAGGCTCGAGGCTCGAATCTTGGAAAGATTTCGATCATGGAGAATTTGTGCTGCATGCATCATGCCCATGTTTCCAATCATCAAGCTCGAGACGGGCAAGCTCGTTTGCCAATGCAACAGCCCGCTCTTGTTCGGCGTGGCAGACATCGTTTAGTCCGTTTAGTCCGCCAAGCACGTGCACAGCGAGCCAGAAATAAACCATAGACCCGCTTGGGTTGTCTCCTGCTCCTGTTGGGCTTCACCTTGGCGCTGCAATGACGGCGCCCCGAGATTGCAGGCTGTCGCGTTGCGGGAGAGAGCGACGATCATAGCGGAGGGCTGGGCGATGACGCCAGTCCCACCCAATTCCGCTCTTATGCTAACCACTTTGGATTGTATGCGCCGCTGCCCAGACTGCCTTTGCCAGTTAGGAGTAATGGCTCTATTTCACTAGGGCTGTGCTCTCCACTGAGTAACTGTCAGGTACGATCAAAGCCTTGCTGGAGTCGACTTGGGGTAGCAACCACAACATTCAGGTCCTGAAACAACTCAGATATAAGTACCCTATCCATCCCAGCCCCTTGGCCAGGTAGCCAGATACTTGACCAAATACAAATCATGGCACATTCACTTTTCAGAACACTCGCTGTCATTTCTGCTGCGACGGCAGCTCTCGCGCAGCTGCCAGCGAACGTCACAGACCAAGAGACAATTGACCTCAGTGATGGCCGAACTGTCCGCTATAAGGAGCCAAAGCTTTGTGAGACCACCGACGGTGTCAAGTCTTATGCTGGCTACCTCGACATTGCCGAAGACAAGCACGTCTTTTTCTGGTTCTTCGAGTCCAGGAATGATCCCAGTACGGATCCTACCACACTATGGTTGAATGGAGGACCAGTAAGAGCCCCGAGGTCTTCTTCATGACTTACTCTGATGCAAGCAGGGCGCCGACTCCATGGGTGGTCTCTTTGACGAAATCGGGCCCTGCAGCTTGAATGAAAACCTTGAGACTGAGCTCAGAACAACTTCTTGGAACTCGCTTTCCAATCTCTTCATCCTGAGTCAGCCCATCGGTATTGGGTTTTCTTATGCCGATACAGTAAGTAGGGAATTCCAATGCGGAAAACTCGTCTAAGTCGGTGCAGCTCGAAACGCCATTCCCAATCGATCCTACCAATCCGGAGGAACTGGTTCCCGCAAGACTCGCAAACGCGGACTACAGGGCAGTCAGTGAGTAAATAGAGTCTTCCAAACCTTACGGTTGCTAATATTCTTCCTAGACTCAACAGAGCTTGCTGGTGAAGATATGTGGCACGCCGTACGCACGCTGTACGAAGCGCTGCCCGAGATGGCTCCCGACGTCAAGTCGAAAACGCTACACATGGGCGCCCAATCCTACGGCGGCCATTGGGGACCACACTTCTTCAACAGATTCAGGAAAGAGACCGAGGCCCTTGGCGAAGACGCACCTTTCGAGATAGGCTCCCTTATGGTTGTCAACGGCCTCGTCGACGCCATGCTTCAGTGGCCGTCCTTTCCCCAGTTCTCGGCACACAACACTCACGGTGTACATCCTGACCCTATGGTAACAATGGCAATGGAGTTCTCGCTTGTCATGAAGGATGTCGGTTGCCTTGCCAAGCTCGAGCAGTGCGAGGCGATTTGGGATGGCGGCTTGTCGCTCACGGCGGGAAACACGTGCAACGATGCAAGTGTGGCGTGCCGAAATGGAGTCGAGTTTCCGTTCCAGGCATACACAGACACCCATAACTACGATGTCCGCGCCGTGGGCGCGGGCAAGGAAGGCGAAGGCGAGCCACTTCCTCCTGCTATATACGCGCCATGGCTCAACACGGCCGAAGTCCAACAAGCTCTCGGTGTTGAGCTCAACTACACCTACACCAGCTCGAACGCTGCTGGCGAGGTATTGGCTGCGTTTGCCCCCACAGGAGACTTCGCGAGGTCGTACCGGAAGGATCTGGAAGAGCTGTTGGAAGCGGGTGTGCGAGTGTCGCTCTGGCATGGGGATGCCGACTGGGTCTGCAACTGGTTCGGTGGCGAGGTGCTGTCACTGGGCACAAACTACACCAATGCTGAAAAGTTTGCATCTGCTGGATATGAAAGCTTGATGGTCGACGGCAAGCACTATGGCGACACCCGAGAGTATGGCAACTTTGCATTCACCCGAGTGTTCGACGCGGGACATGCAATGCCCTTCTACCAACCTGAAGCTGCGTACGCCATGTTTGAGCGTGTTATTACGGGCAAGGACTTGGCGAGTGGTGAGCACGACATCAAAGACGATTATGCCACCAGCGGACCGGCGAACTCCACGTATAGCCAAGTTGCTGAGAAGAGGAAGAGGTCGCTCAACAGTGCAAAATTCCGGATTTAGATGTACCAGATGTTTGGTCGGGTCAAGCAAGGAGTTCGAGGATCAGGGGAAAGGGAGAAAATGCCTGACATAAATTAGCGCAGCTCATTGGTGAGCCTCGCTCAGCCTTCGCGGTAGATCCATAGACCCCAGTGTCTTGGCGAATGTTACACGCTTCACTATGAACAACATCTCCTTCTTCACTCTTCATCACTGCTTATGCAGAGCGACAGCCATCTCACGGCACACTCGCCCTGTCTCTGAGATGCGTCAACAACAACTTGCTCTCTAGCCGCCATTCTGAGATCGGAAGTTCGTCGCTCCGTCGAACGCCACGCGCAAGACCGGCTACCGGCCAAACTGTCGCAGCCATGTTTCGAGTCCTCGGCTACTCCACCCGGCGTCTCCCTCTCCCCTTTCTGGCGTCACTCTTCCCTTTTTGGTCTCATGCCTTTCACTCTGCTACATAGCCCGCTTCAACCAGGCATATACCCGAACACTTGGAACTTCACCAACGTCTTCGCCCGCAAGCTTGATCACCCTTTCATCATGCATCGTCTTGGTGGGCGTACAAGAGACCATGAATGCCCAGTCCCGCGCTTCCCGTTTCCCTCTTCCCTCCCCCAGAACTGCTTCTCGAAATCTTCTCACCACGAGCTTTCTCATCTCCTCGTGTCTTTTGTTCATTCGTCGCCGGCCGACCGTTTACATTCATTTGCAGCAATACCCTTTGCCCATTACCTCTTGCTACTAGCCTTTAGTCATTTTCCACCCCAATCAGCATAATGCAGCTTTCCCTCACAACTACCCTTCTTGCCCTCTTGGCCCTTTCGTCTGCCCTGCCCACTCCTCAAGGTACTTCCAGTCACGCCTCCAGCCTGACACAAAAGCTAATCTTGATAGATGGCATTGCCACTGAGTTCCCGGAGCCCGCTATGACTGTTGGCGGTACCGTCACTGCATTCGAGAACCGCCCGGACATGGGCACCAAGGCCCGCGCCAAGCGTGATGTTCGCATCTCCAAGCGTCAGGTCGACGTGGCTCAACCCGCCATGACTGTCGGCGGGCAGATCACCCCATTCCAGAACCGGCCTGATATGGGTACCAAAAACAAGGCGAAGCGCCAGGTAGATGTCGCCCAGCCGGCCATGACTGTTGGTGGACAGATTACGCCCTTCCAAAACCGCCCGGATATGGGCACCAAGGCCAAACGTCAAGTCGATGTCGCCCAGCCGGCCATGACTGTTGGTGGGCAGATCACTCCCTTCCAAAACCGCCCGGATATGGGAACTAAGGCCAAGCGGGACGTCCGTATCAGCAAGCGTCAGGTGGATGTTGCGCAGCCGGCCATGACCGTTGGCGGCCAGATTACCCCATTCCAAAATCGCCCTGATATGGGCACCAAGGCCAAACGTCAAGTCGATGTCGCCCAGCCGGCCATGACCGTCGGTGGACAGATCACTCCCTTCCAGAACCGCCCTGACATGGGCACAAAGGCCAAGCGGGATGTTCGCGTCAGCAAGCGTCAGGTAGACGTCGCGCAGCCTGCTATGACCGTTGGGGGACAGATCACCCCGTTCCAGAACCGTCCGGACATGGGCACTAAGGCGAAGAACTAAGCAGTCGCCTTCGATGGCTAGTTCGTGCCGATTAGAGGATGACGCTTGTATGCTTTCGTTGATGGACAGGCGGATGGGTATGATAGAATAGTTGCATGAGGCTGGTTTGGATTGGATCAGGGCTAGAGAGGATATAGCAACACTATTTGTGCTCGCACATGTAAATCAATGACACACACGGGTTGTAAAAGCATCACTGCCGTCGCCACCGTCTCCTCCTTTCTACGCTGCAAGATCCTGCCTCTTGTCAGGATAAATTCAATCTGCCTTAACTTTTTCCTTCCCTAACCATCCCGCCGCAACCTCTCCTCCACAACACAATAACTCAGCACCACCCCCAGCAACAACGTCTGATCCACCTCACCGCAGCTGCGACCCTCATCCCTCATTCCCAACCCCGACGGTGCCCCTGCCTCATCCAGCACCGAATCCTTCCTAACCCTCAGCCTCCCCCGCTTCTTCACGCTCTTCAACCCGTTACTCTCAAACAGCGCGACAATTGTGCCCGTCGCGTCGTCCACGAGCTTCCAGTTCGCCATGCTGAGCCGGCGGTAGAAGGCGGCGGCGGCGCTGGCACTCTCCAGGCCCGAGCCGACGTGGTGCGTGCGCTTCCAGGTTAGGTGGCGGCCGGAGAGTGGTGATTGGGAAACGGAGATCGTGCTGGGAGGGATTGGGGCCTTGTAGTTGGTCATGGAGGGGCTGAATTGGCCGCAGCCGTCGCTTTTCCTTAGTCCATCAGTAGTAGCCGGGTGGTTCGAAGGAAGATCACGGGTGAAGGGGCTGTCGTAGTGTCTGGGGTGGTGCAGCGCGTCGACGGGCGGTAGACTGAAGCTGTACCGCCCTTTCGACAGATTCTCCTGCTTCATCTTCTCCCAGTGCACGCCCTCGGAGCTGGCTGGGTCACCGAAAGCAAGCCCGATAGTGCGGCCTGTGTTGCGGAAGTGTGCGGTGGCGATGATGGGACCCTGCTTGCCCGCCGCCGTGGAGAGTCTGCGGCCGTCGGCGTTGGCGGCAGCGTCGAGGCCGGTGGGTTGGATGACATGTAGCGTTACGTCCGGCTTGTTCGTCTTGCCCTTGTAGAGAGCGGGGCTGGCGAAGAAGAGCGGCGTGTGCGCGGCATCAGACTCGCAGATTATGAGGCGCGAGGCTGAGGAGGGGGCGTGGTAGACGCCGTAGTCGTGCCATGCGCTGTCGTCGGTGGCGGTGATAGTCGCGCTAAAGTCAGTCATGATGCTCAGGAAAGTCGAGTTGGTCCACGATGTCTGGCGTTAGGTTCCGCCTGCCCACCGGCGCAGCATCTTGATATATATCTATTCATATAACCATCGTATTCGCTGCGCATAGCTAGATGCAGCCACGAGACAACGAGGTCCTGCGGCCTTGAAGGTTCATTTTCGCGCAATGCAAACCATTCTGGCCTAGTCTATACCAAAAGGACCGCCAAGCATAGTTGACGAGGAGGACATGGTGCTTCCTAGCAAGTGAGAGGACGCCAAAGCTCGTGTCCCATCGGCTGTTAGGATACGTCGTCGCTCAAAACCTGGACAAGCCGGAGTTGGGCTTCAAATAACGTGTGAGGAGTCATGTGGTGCTAGGTGTACCTTTGCCTCAGCTGCACTGCCATAGACGGCATGTGCGGTTGGAGGCGTGTGAAGGTAAGAGAGTGGCTAAGAACAAGCATCTTTCAAGGCTGCCCCGCTACGGGCTGCCCCTGAGAAATTTCGCTTGACCGTCGATGCAGGTCATCGTCTCCTCACTCTCTGGGCATCTTAAGTGTCGGCATCCCAACCCCATGCGAAAATAACACTGGACTTGACATGACTATGCAGGCCCGTTGCTCGCGAGAAACAGCTCGATTGTTCTAGCTATTGCACTCGTTGCCGTTCTGCGTATTCCAGTCTTCACATCTCTCGAGGAGTCTGATACTCCATGTCAACGTTCACTATAACATCGGCCAGAAAGACAAGCGCAGGAAGATATCCCGGCAGCAACATTGTTGACCTGGGCTTTTACAGATGGCAGTACTGCCAGGAGCAGCCATGGCAGTCCCATCTTCGTTGCTGCGCTCGGTGGAGTTTGGGAGGGCAGCAGGAACATCGGTCATGCAGCACGATTGAGTGCTCCAATTTGCAACATGTACTGTACGAGCGAGACTGGGCGAACCTTGATCCCCTCCTCGCCGTTGCCGTTCCTGAATGGTGCGTGCCCTGATCAGAAAGTTTCTCCCGTTCGTTCCTGGCGCGGCTTCTGAGGCCGCTTGACATGCGTACATAATAGACACGCGACTCTGTTCTGCCCTCTACCGGTCGGTAGCATGTGACAAAGTATCGCGGGATCGAATGGAGGTCGGCGCTGAATAGCCTATCCTTACGACTAGCACTCCAATGGCTCAAACAAGCAGTTACTGAAGCACAACTGCGAGATCCCGACTAACACTATGCCCGGGGTCAGGTTTTGGCTTTGGCTTCGACATGGGCCACCGGAAGCTCCCGTGGGTGGGAACACTATCAGGCAAGTTAGTACCTCTGCCGCAATGGTTCGTACCAATATGGTTTGTTGATATATCATATGGTGGGCCTAGATCCTGATCGTTCTACTCCCTCGGGACCGTGGAGTATGGCAGCGTCGACATTTGCCTGGGTGCAACCATGGTGCTCCCATACCCACTTATCTTCATCCAACGTAATTTGGGCTTTGTCAATCGTTGCTTCGTGGCCAGGCGACTTCTTCAAGCGGGAGACATGTGTTGGCGACGGCCTGTCTCCCCGATCAAAAGCCCAAGAGGCAATCGCATGTTCAGTGCCTGGAACCAGTCTTGCTTGGAAGTGGGACATAATCAAGAAAACCAGATATCCATGTCAAGCACAGGAGCAATATTGGATGTTAAGGCTTTCGTCTATTCGTGAGTCTTACCGCTGATATGCGTCTTCGTGATCCTGAATGGGAAAGTTCTGCAAGCACTACAAATTCTCCACGACCCTCGCCTCTCTCGGCCAAACTCGCTTGTACAAGCTGACAGCCACGGCATCTAAGGGATTGATTTTGCCGTCGAACGTCGCCTTGAAGTACCCATGTGTGCCAAGTGGCTCTTTGATGAATCCCTGTCTGCCGCGCTTAGTCCACAAGGGCAGCGCAGCAAACCACCTGACGTCCTCGCGGTTGAAGAACATGTAGCGCACCGTGACCAGTTTCTTATGAATCTTGAAGGGATGACCGCTCAAAATGATACGTTTGGCAATGACGCGAGAAGTGGACGGAGCGATGGTAGTCGCCGAGCCAACGAGCTCAAGGTCGGATGCTTTCGTCTCGGCAGTGATTCTGCCGGGTGTGTCGGAGGGACCAGGTCTGGGCCGAAAGACTAGTACAGGCACAGATCCCCACGTGACAGGGCCAGTGAAGCTGGCGATAGCGCTTGTCCCAGGATGGAGAAAGCGCGACGACTTATGAACATCGTTGGGCGTCTGCCCAGACGCTGAGAAGGTAGGGTTGATCACAAGCCGGCGGTGGCCAATTTGCACCAGAAGATCGTCCTTGGATTTGATCGGCAGCTCGGCTTCGGCACGCAGTGTCATGCTGAGGTTGATCACTGATCGTTTATGCTCATGTCGTAGCAGGGAAAACATCGATGATGGGCGAGTATGGAAGGCTGGAACGTCGGCAAGCACAACTTCCACACGAGTGCCAGCGGGTATCGGAGCAGTTAGAGCCTCCTTCTTCGCAGTATTGTTAGACCTTTTATAATCTGCGATGTGAAGCAAGCGATCGTACTCGGCTGGTTGGTAAGGCTTATCCTCGGCGGTATTCCATTCACTGGTTCTCAAGCTTTTCAATCCTCGATATTTGGCCAAACGCTCGCGTGCGAGGACGCCAGGGTGGAGCTCAATCTCATCCGGAAACTCCAAGTCTTCTTCAGCCTCCTTTCTGCGTGACCGGTACTCTTGGAGCTGCTGAGCTTCTTCCTCCTCATCCGCATCGACGTGCATTTCTGATTCCGGATATTCGGTAGGAGCGGCTTCGGTCGCAGCGACCGGTGCCACATAGCCGTCTTCCGGGTTGGTGGCGGTCTCGGAAGCCATCTCAATATCGCCCTGCTCGTCTTCTTCCCAGCCATCTTCTGAATCGCTCACATCTTCCAGGAACCATGCTGACTGGTAGTCTGATGTACCCTTGGGCAGCTTCTTGGGCTTAGCTGGCATGTGTGAATTGTCGTCGGAAAAGTAGTGGTGATCATCCAGGAGTACACCCTTCTTCTCTTCAGCCTCGGCATGGTTCAGTGCGGTGATGTCTGTCATCTCAGCCGACTCTGGAGCGTACTCGTCGAGGTTATCCTGATCGGCCGACGGTCCCCACTCCGCAAGTGTCTCTTCAACAGCCATTTCATCTGCTTTCCGCTTGTGGCTTTGACTCGGCAGCTGCCTCACAGTGCTAATTCTATAATCCCCGTAGCCCGAAAGATGTACTAGTCGATCTGGATTGAATGCCCGTCCTCTAACGATACCAGAGATGGTTGCAGTTCTGGAACCGGCACCGTCAGTGGCCTCGGTCCATACTGCATCTTCCACAAGCATCCAGCTTCTGTCGTCTCGCCACCGAACACCTTTTGTCGAAGCGGTGCAGAGTGTCCGAACGAGGTTTGCGCAATCTGATTTGCTATCCAGACTGGAAATCTTGTCAAGTGATGGTAGATAATGGCCAAGTGCCATCTTCATTTCCACCAGGTGCCGTGATCGCTTAGCGGCCGGAACAGCTTGTTCAAACCCTTGGACGACGGCCGCGAAACTGGTGATGCCTTGGCCTTCTACGCTCTTCAGGAGTATATCCACGTCGGCTTCATATGTTTGGTCAGGCGTCATGACAAAAAGCACCCAGTCGGCCAGCTTGCAAACATCTGCAGCATTGAATACGTCGAATTTAGCTGGAAGGTATAGCAGGTTGCGTCTGAATCTCTCAACTTTTGCCCGTGTCGTGCCATCTTCGGAGGGCTTGATATTGAGGTCCACTCCTTGGTTCAATTGGTCGATAGTGGACTGAACATTGACCTCTCGTGACAGAGGTACGACAGCCACATGCTTTGGTGCACCTGATATACCATGAAAAATACGCGACTCGTCCTCCTGTTTCTCTTTATGGTTTATCCGGGACTGCTTCGCCTGGTTCTTGCGGGCAAGTTTCGACATAACCTGCTGGTAAGGCGTTCTGCGTTTGCCTCGCTCTTCGGGTGCATTCGCAACCTTTCCTACGACTGGTTAGCGGCAACATAACCGCATATTTGTGCCACTCACCTTTGGCGGCGTCCTTCAGCGCCGATTTGGAGGCAAACTTGGACTTGAACGCTTTGTGCTCGGTCTTGGTCGTGCTCCGGTGGTGGTGCGTCTGTCCGGTGATCGGACCCATTGCTGCCGTTCCAGCGCTCTTAGTCCGAAAAGGAAGTGACATGTTGCGAGTGCTGGTGATGGTGGTTTAGAAATGTTGCAGTCTGTAGTGGGGTTCCTCGCCAAGTTTTTTGGGCAGTAAATTTTTGGATTTTGCGGAGTTGGAGACGCGGACACCGCAGACCATCCTCGCCATTCTTCACACCACGCCTACACCAGCCTTTGAGCGCCGGAACGATGGCCGAAGTACTGGAGCGCGCAGACAGCACCGGCATGGAGCGACTTGTTGAGAATGGCGACGGTCAGCTCACCATTAAGAATCTACAACGGCCGCAAAAAAGAGGCCCGACGGCGATCCTGTCAGCGGAGGACAAGGAGAACCAGAAGCGAGTTGCTGAGGCTCGAAAGAAATATGGACGTGGTATGCCCGTTCGTGTGAATCAAGTGAAAGACAAAAAGCTGCGAGCAAATCTCAAGAGAATCGAATCCAAGTATAAGGACGCCGTGCTCAGTGCCAAAGATGCGGAGATTCTGTACGAGAATGAGGAGGGTTTCTTGCAGCCGGAGTCAGAACTCGAGAAGACATACAAGATTCAGCAGAGCGACATTGTCGGTGCAGTTGGTGTACAGCAGGCGAAGAAATCGGTGGACTTCAAATTGGACATGGGTCCGTACACAGCGGACTACACTCGGAACGGACGCAGCCTGCTCCTCGCCGGTCGTAAAGGTCATGTCGCTACTTGCGAGTGGCGAGACGGTCGGCCTGGGTGCGAATTGAACCTCAACGAAACCATCAGAGACGCGAAGTGGTTGCACAACGACCAATATTTTGCGGTGGCCCAGAAAAAGTATACTTACATTTACGACCACGCAGGAGTCGAGATACACTGCCTGAAGAAGTATGTCGAGACAAGCCATCTCGAGTTTCTGCCTTACCACTTTCTACTCGCTGGTATCGAGAACAGCGGGTTCTTGCGATACACCGACACTTCGACGGGACAGATCGTGGCTGAACATCCAACACGAAAAGGTGCACCCACCGCCATGGCCCAGAATCCATGGAACGCAATTATACACGTCGGACACCAGAATGGCACCGTGTCACTCTGGTCACCAAACTCTACAACACCGCTGGTCAAAATGCAGACCAATTTTGGACCCGTTCGCTCCATTGGTATTGATCGATCGGGTCACTACATGCTCGCCGGAGGCCAGGACCTGCGTTTGAAGTTGTGGGACATTCGAGCATTGAAAGAAGTGCATTCGTACAGCACGAGGCAGCCTGCGAGCAGCATATCGATTTCGGATCGTGGGCTCGCTGCCGTGGGTGCTGGAACCGGGGTTACCATTTGGAAAGACCTGTTCACCCACTCCTCCGGTGATGTTTCGAAAGTGCAATCTCCGTACCTGAGTTGGGGTGAGCAGGGTGTGCCCATCTCGCGCGTCGAATTTTGTCCGTTTGATGATATACTTGGCGTCTCTCATTCCCGAGGATTCTCGTCAATCATTGTGCCGGGCGCTGGTGAGGCCAACTACGACGCACTTGAAGCCAATCCGTACGAGACCAAGAAGCAACGACAGGAAGGCGAGGTCAAGTCTTTGCTCAACAAGCTTCAGCCAGAGACGATTGCCTTGGACCCAAACTTTATTGGTTCGCTGGACCTCCGCTCTCATGAGCAGAGAATGCGGGAGAAAGACCTAGACTCGCCAGTGGTTGACCCGCTGGCGAAATTGAAAGAGCGCAACCGGGGCCGGGGCAAGAACAGTGCGCTGAGGCGACATCTGCGGAAGAAGGGAGGGAAGAACATCATTGACGAGAAACGAGTCAGAATGGAGGAAATGAAGAAGGAGAAGGTGGAAAGAGGGAAGGCCAAGACGCGAGAAGAACAGGTCGAACTCGGCCCTGCATTGGCCAGGTTCGTTGGTAAAAGGCCTTGAGTAGTACCAGGCAGCTGAAATACCCGTTGCTTGTATCCACCCACGCTTTGCTTTCGTAGGCGGTGTTGGTCCCGTGTTGTATCCCGTGCCGGGCCTTCTTCACAGTCGGTCAGCTGATAGCAGAGTCAGACAAGGAGGTCTGAGGGAGGTCAAGCGCGACTCGAAGGGAGTGAATGCCTGTGAGTCGTTGGAGGTGCCAAGGATGCTTGAAATTGACTGACGCTGATTGGCTGCTGCAAACAGCCGAGCCATTCTTTGCGACTCCAACATTTCGGAACTGCGGCCATGTCATAACCCTACGCTTTCTAATCGCTATATCACCAGTTCCTTCCTTCCAACCCTATACCGTTCCTTGCTCTCTTCTCGCGCCAGCTTGCAAGGACTACAGTCAATCATCGAAGCTCTGTACCGCTCGCACTCATCAACATGGTCGGTCGAAAGCTGGTGCCCAGCACAACGTCATCCGCCACCTTCTTCCGAGCACTCGCCATCGCCTCCGTCGCGCGATCATGCCCTCACACGTTGCGAAACTTCACTTCATCATGCAGTCGGTCGCAGTCATCGAAGCGCGAACTGTACACTGCGCCGTCGTACCAGCCGCACAGTATGCCGACAGACTTGCCCATGATCCCTCGAAACATAGATGCTCCCGAAACTACTTTGACCGGCCCACGCTCACGGCGGAGTAACCTCGATTCCAAGGTCGAATCCGAGTCTTCGAGTCCACAAACAACCGGTCCCTCAAAACATACGTCGAGCGAGACAGTCACTGAAACGGAAGCACAACAATCCAAGCCTGTCGCAGAACAGAAAACCGAAAAACCGAAGCGTCGCAGCAAGTTGAAGGCTCGAAAGGCTGCAATGAAGATATCTGCACCCGCCGTCGAGCACCTACGCGAACTCATCGACCAGCCCAACCCGCAGATGATCAGAGTAGGAGTTAAGAACCGCGGCTGCTCTGGACTCGCATATCATCTGGAGTATGTGGACAAGCCAGCAGCTTTCGATGAAGTGGTGGAGCAGGATGGCGTCAAGGTCTTGATAGACAGTAAGGCGCTGTTCAGCATCATCGGCAGCGAGATGGACTGGGAAGAAGACCAGCTGAGTGCGAGGTTTGTCTTCCGAAACCCGAATATCACGGAGCAGTGCGGGTGTGGAGAATCATTCAGCGTTTCATGAGAAGAACAGAACAGAACTTGGGCGTTCAAGCGGCATTTCACTGTACAGTCCGGCGTTCTCCATGGCTCTCGTAAAGGAGAAGCTAGTATACACTCTTGGTATAATCCAGAACCCTCACATCATCAAATCGTGGGCTATTCTTCTTGACAAATGCCTGATGTGCTGGGTCCTTGAAAACATAGTAGTCTCGTTGCTCCTCGTTGCTGAATTCGACCACGAAGCCATGTGTGAAGCCTCCCTGAAGCTCGTCAGCATTCAACCACGTCGAGTCCGGGACGGCTTACCTGTGCGCCCTCGGGACTGTTGTCCCTGCCTCCAGAGGAGTTAATTATATAGGGCTCCCGTGTCTCATGATGGACACAGAGGCTTTTGAGGGCCAGCATGTCATCGCAAAACTAGTTTACTGTCAGTGGCAACCAGCCTTCGTCTCATCGTACGCATACCTCTTTCACCTGCTCCTCAGTCAAGGAGTCTTTCAGCTTGAACAGTACTAGGTGCATAACCCCGGTGGTCGTCATGGTAAGGGTGGCAACTCTATTCGACTTATCCCACAATACAAGCCGGCCAGATGTCGATACACTCTTGATATTTCTGGAATTCTTTCTGAACCACTTGCAAGATTCAGATCGGATTGACTACATGATCGGGCATTATAAGAAACTCTTGACATGACACGCGCAATTTAGGTATTAGGATACCTCTTCCGAACGCTGGCGGGGCAGTTGCGGCAGCACTGCCAATCTTGGTCGAGCCGGAACTGGCTGCCCCTCACGCAGATTGCATGTGCCTCTTGGTTGCTGTCGTGCGATCTGCAGCTGCTTTATTCAAGTAAGGAACAACCTTCATACAAGCAGAGTGCATAGTATCGAGCGTGCCACTGGACCTGCTATCACACGAAAGTTCCCACTGCATGCCCTTCCCACGCAACCCAACCAGCTTGACGGCCGTCATCCCACGCGTAAAGCAAGTCGACCGCAGTCCCGCCTCCCACCAGAGGCCTGGAAAAGACCTACAACCTTACTCCCGACACAAACCTCCGTACTCCAGATTGAACATTCACCATGACTCATACCCACGACCACAGCAACGGTGCACCGCATTCCCATGCGGGCGTGCCAGACCACGGCCACACGCACGAGCACTACACCAACGCTGGCTCATTCCTGAACCGCGAGCAACCCCTTCTCGCCGACCGTGACTTCAGCACCCGCGCCTTCACCATCGGCATCGGCGGCCCCGTGGGCTCCGGCAAGACGGCGCTGCTGCTAGAGCTGTGCCTGGCGCTGCGCGACGCCTACAACATCGCAGTCGTGACCAACGACATCTTCACGCGTGAGGACGCCGAGTTCCTGACCAAGCACGGCGCCCTAACTCCCGAGCGCATCATCGCCATCGAGACTGGTGGCTGTCCCCACGCCGCTGTGCGCGAGGATATCAGCGCCAACCTGCTAGCCCTCGAGGGCCTGCAGGCAAAGTTCAAAACCGAGTTGCTGCTTATTGAGAGTGGAGGCGATAACCTTGCGGCGAATTACTCGAGGGAGCTGGCAGATTTTATCATTTATGTCGTTGATGTGGCTGGTGGGGATAAGGTGCCGAGGAAGGGCGGGCCGGGAATCACGGGAAGTGACTTGCTGGTGATCAACAAATGTGACTTGTCGAATGCAGTGGGCGCGGATGTGGACCTTATGGAGAGGGAGGCGTTGAAGATCAGAGAAGGAGGACCGGTCGTGAGGGCGGTGGTGAAGAACGGCGTCGGAGTAAAGGAGACAGTGGACCTGATCCTCGGGGCCTGGAAGGGTACTGAAGGCTACAGCAGCGCGAAGAAGAGGTGGGATGCAGGCGGCCAGAAAGGCAGTGGCGAAAATCCAAACGTGGTGCGCTATACGAGGAATCCGAACCGATTGTCATGAAGACGAGCGGTTGTACAGCACGCTCCAGTGATGTAGATTGCTGCGGCTCCTTCAAGATGCCGACGAACCTGTAATGCAGACACATAGACTCTATCCCCATCCTTTCAACGGAATTTATGTCTCACTCGGAAGCATTGGATTCCGCCCACGAGTCGTTGACCTCAATCCTCCCACCCGCGCATCCTCCACCGCAACCCTCACCAAGCGCTTGACCTCTGCTTTCTTCTCCCCTTCACGCCACGCCTCCCACGTCCCGAGGCCTCCATCTCCTACCAGGACTCCCGCACTAACGCCTCCACCACCGGCCGTGCTGTCCGCCACGCCCGCCAGATCCAGCGTCTCGTACCCCTCCTTCACCACCCTCTTCACCTCCCCGGCGCTCTGATGCCGCCTCCCCTTCACCAGGCCCTTCTCGCCCACCATGCCGTGGAAATGCGCGCTCACGCTCACCAGCGCATCCGCCGCACGCTCAAAGGCATCTCTCCTCTCGGTCCCCACCCCTCCTGCCTGTCCTCCTCTCCCTCTCCCCACCCCCGCCCCACCCCCAGCACTCCTCGTATACGCCTCGCGAAACCTCGGCAACAGCTCATGGCCCTCGAGCAACTTATAAAACAAGTCATCATAGTCGCCCTCACCCCTGAGGAACGCATCGCCGCGCACCAGACTCACGACCAGCGCCTCCGCGACGCCCGCGCACACCTCCTCGCGCATCCCCCGCAGCGGCAGCAGGTCCGCCGCGTACTGCGTCGCAAACTTGACGAGCGAGAGCAGCGCGCCCCACAGGTAGGCCCAGTGGTAGGCCAGGCGCGTGCCGTTGGCGGCGAGGGTGCCGAGGACGCGCAGGATGAGGGATAGCGCCGCCGAGTAGAGCGGGATGTCGAGGCGGCGGCGCAGGTTGTGGCTTAGTGTGTCGATGGCGATGTCGAGGAGCGTGGCGGCCGGAGGGCGCGGCGTGGTGACGAGTGGGAGGAAGGGGGCGCGCTGGCGGGCCAGGCGCACCGTGCTGGCGTGGGAGGTGCTGTGGCAGAGGGGGCGGGCGGTCAAGGGGTCCTCGAGGAGGAGGCGGAGGGTGAGGAGAGAGAGGGTCGCATAGGTGGCGGTGCGGGGTGATCGGTGCGCGTGGTGCGTCACGTAGGAGGTCGTGCTGAGGAAGGCAGCTAGCGGGGTTTCGCTGCTGGCTGCGGTGTTGGGGCTCGGGGCGTTCACTAGTGCAGATGCGAAGATTTTGTTGGCGTGTACAAAGGTGTAGGTGGAGAGGAGTGCAGCGGCGAGAGGTGACGGGAGTGCATTAAAGAGTGCTTTCGCTTCGTCTTCGCTCGGGGGTGGGGGTTTGCGAGCGTCTGGAGAGAGCGATCTTAATCCCACATATGAGAGCGCCGAAGAAATGGTAAGCGATGCGGCCGCGTCATCTTGAATGGCGGTGTATTCGTCACGGATGGCCTTGCACGAGCCGGCAAAGGACGCAACAAGTAGGCGGATCGTGGATTCGTCGACGAAGTCTTCCAGGCGCGTTTGGTAAGGGTTTTGCTGCTCGAATTTATTGTAGTTTGCTAAACACCCTAGAAGGATATATGACTGGTAAGCGGATTCGGGAGCATCGTGGACGTATTTCATCAAGGCTGGGAAGAGATCTCGGTACATGAAGTAGCTGATAAGGCTGGTCTGGAATGCTCCGGCCACCATAACCGTAGCAGCTGTCACGGCTTTGGAACGGAGATCGAGGTTGGGCGACTGCCTGATGATCGCATCTAGGCTGTTGACCAGATCCGAAACCAGCTTGTCGATGGATCCGAGCCCACCGAGCACCTCAATGATGTCGGTACTAGGGTTCATGTATCGCTTGGTGAAGACGGCACTGAGAAAACCTGCCAGATTCTCGGTTGGTGAGTGGTGGTGCGGCGGGGTGTTCGGTTTAACCTACATCGAGTGCATTTTCGTTTCTTGGAGAGACGCCCGATCCTGCTTCTGATATAGAGCGCTGGAAAAAGGCCTGTGTCTGGACATGGCAGTGGATGATTTCGCTAGCAGTGAATGGTTCGAGAATTTCATACAGCCGTTGCTTGTCCGGCTTGAGAAGGAAGAATTCTCGCCAGAATCCTTCTAATGGAATTGGATCTTCGATACTGTCGTCGTTGGGAAGGACATTGAACAGATGCAGGTAGAGTTGCACGATTTTCGGCTCGAATGAATCTGGCCGCAGTTGTTGGGTCAAGGGCGAGTCCATGTCGCAGAGAGCTTGAATTCGGGCTACTGCTCAAATGAACATTTCGGTGGCTGTGTCGACAATGCGCCTAGCCGGCAAAGCTGGAAGAGTTCGACTGATATGCTCCGAGTGGGAGGAGGGACCTGGGGTGTGTGAAAACGACGGATCAGGCAGTGAATGACATGAGATGATGTTGAAAAGCGTCTTGGCATTGCTGTGCCAGCATTACCACGAGGCTACGAGCAAATGATAGTGGTTCGATAATTGCCCTTTAAGTTACTTGCCGGCGCGCAGGGGCATTCTGCAGTCTCGCTAGAGGGCGTCTATAAGCGCTCATTCGTATAGTAATACATGATACAGTGTTGTGGTCAACTCCCGAGCGAATGACCCTCAACCATCCAATTTCTTGACCTCTTTCTGCCACCTTGCAAAGTAGTCGGCCATTTCTTTGTCACAGTCCCTATTTTCAGAGAAATCGCAATTCTTCAGATTCACCACGAAATCCCCAGGCTGCCACTTGGCATCGTGTCGCCTTTTGACACCGTCTACGCCTTCCCGCTCGCCGTACGCGAAGTTGTACGAATTCAAGACTCTCTGTTCGACCAGGGCCAATTTGGCTAGAATCGTCGGATGCCACTGCACAATGTGCTCGAGGGCATGCTGTTCCGCTTTCTGAAAAGCGTATGATCGATAGAGAGGGTCGAACCAGGAGTCTAAGAAGAACAACGCCCAATTGTCTGGCTCGCCAGTTTGTGCGTCTGCAGGGTTATTGCGGAGAATGAGAGAGGTGGGCGCCAGATTGTCCATATCTTGCGAAAGAATGAGATGTACGTCTGCTGGTCTCAGATGTGAGAAGGTGTGGATGACGCTGTCCGGTGGTACGACCGGCACATCCTTCTGCATCAATGAGGTCAGATTAGAGAAGACATGCGATGAAAGCGACAGCGAGGGATTCGTAATCAGGCTGTAGGCTGAAAGCGACCACACGTAGGTAGTGGTTGGGTGTAAAGTGAGCGCTTGACGAAGCGCAGGAACGAGGGCCCAGGAGGCCGGAGATGGCGAAACAAGCGCATCATACGTCGACACGTTTGTAAAGAAGTTTGTGTATCCGTGACGAGAGGCATAATCCTCGCGGTTTTTTCTGACCAACTCCATGAACGGCTGCGACATGATGGCTTCGTTGAACACGGTGACAAGGAGCACAGATGGATTAGGCTCGATCTCGGTTGGGGCGACATAGGGAGAAGAGAACAGCCAGCCACAGATGAGATACAGCGTCAGGATTCCCATGACAATGTAGCCGAGCAGTTGAAGCTGCCGCCGCCGGTGCGAGGCATTGTTCAGGGCTGCGGCTCGAGCGAACGGTGGTGGTTGGGAGGTTTTTCGGGGAGGAAGTGCGAACTGCATCTTGTCCGAGCGGCGCTATCGCAAAATCATGTTCTGGACGCAGATAAATGGCGGTTGGACCTCAGGATTGTCCGAACAGGTGGTCGTGTCCAGGCAAAGGCACCGCACTGCAGTTGACGGAGTGAATTGTCACGAACGAACAGAACAGTTTGGCTGAAAGCGGTTAGGCCCGCCCTGTCGATCCCCTCGACGCCACAAGCGACGAGACATGTGATGGAGGCACAAGCGCAATTGATTTTATCTCAACGGAGCGCTGCATTTCATTTACTCGAGCATTTGGTTGTGTTGTCTCTCGTGTCTATGTACGTTGGCTCGGCACGTGCGACTATTGATTTAAGCTGCAGTGTTCCTACCGGCTCGGGGAAGAAACCCATACATGCTCACCATATGCCGGGCAGCATCGTGTACCGCTTCTTATGGTACTTGTCGCCGAACTCCTTGCGATAGCGTCGCTCTTTTTTGCTCGCCCATGCTGCCATTTGTCCGCCAGCAGCCACGGTGAAGAAAAGGACTGACCAATTGAGTCCACTTATTAGATATACTCCGATCCAGGAAATGATCTCGGTGAGATAGTTGGGACAGGTCACCAGGTCGAAGAGCCAGCCTTGCGGAATGCCACGCTCACCACCACCGGCACTTCTCAAATCTCGCAGGGTTAGATGTGTCGACAGATTCCCCATCTCACCCAGTCCGTACAACGCAAGGCCAGTAGCCAGGAGGATCTGGTTCGTTGGACCTGCCGCCGATGATGCTGGTGCATACAGCCAATACGCCATGTTGACTCCTGAGAGGATCCAGTAGTGCGCAGAGTTCTTGAAGACATTGCGGACCGGCATGGTTGCGGCGGAAAAGCGGTGGACGAACAGGGTTTCGAACTCTCTCTTGAGAAAGTGTGCCAGAATCGCTACCAACACCGTCTTCTGCATCTGCGAGGCTTCATATGCTGGCCCTTTGTAGATGTACGGTGCGAGCATATAGATCAGCGGGTGGATCAGGACTGGGCCAATATATTCAATGACGAAGACGGTTTGCCAGCCGATTTGTGGTCCCAGATCTTTAACATAGACCGTGCTTTGGTCTCGGAGGCCTGTGCTGTGAACTGTGCCATCTCTAACATTTGCGACCAGACTCCCATCCGAGCCCTTGGTGACGCGCAGTTGGTGCACGCTGTACTTGCTTTGCTTGGCCAAGACAGCGTACAGGTCGGCACATTTTGCACCGGCTGGGAGTTCAACGGTCTCTGGTAGCGACTTGATTGGTTTGCCTGGCAATGGTCAGTAGGGTTGACCAAGTGCGTTGTGCGAGCTTACCTCGCGGCCGGATCTGGAGGGTGATGGGTTTCGACATTGGCAAAGGCTAGCTAAACGTAGAGATGGCAGTACAATAACGACTAATGGAAAACTTGAGCTGTTGAGAATAACAGACAGTGTCGTGTACGCTTCAAGAAGTTGGATCTGGAGTCAGCAACTGCAGCGCGAGATATCAACGTTGCGAGGGAAAACTACCGCGGCACGGCGAAACAAAGCTCCGTATGGCCGTCCCGGCAGCCAGCAATTTTGTTGCTCCTGGCTTCACGTCCTGCATCCTTCGGTCTTTGCGCCTATCGTCTTTGATCTTCTTGCCACAGCTGGTCCTTCCATCTCAGCAGTCCTTGTTCAGGGCCAGGCCCGCAGCTCGGAGCCAATCTACTAGCAATCCCATCCCAATCTCGTTGCGAGCAGCCATGCCTCCCAAAGGTCTATCAACCGCGGCCAATCCGATCCGGCTTCAGTCGGTGAAGAAGCTCAAGATCATGCGGCCGCAAGTACAAGAGACCAGCCAGTGTACTGGTCCAATGTCTGCCATGCTGAGTATGTCTGGCCCGTGTCTTCGGGGCGCGATTTCCGCACCGTGTAGATTGACTGACGATGCTTCTAGCCTGTTGGGCATCATCAGCCTCTCAAACCGCTCAAGGCGCCCTATCGTGCATGGCCCTGGAGCAAGCCCTACGCGAATGCATGGATTTCAACAAGAGGCAACAACCGAAGAAGAACGACATCAATTACCACCTACAGAGATTGTACCCGAAGATTAGTGGTCCGAAGAAGAGGCAGGGCGTCCTGAAATGATCGTACAATCCACGACTGGTTGAAAGAGAAGGTTTGACCAGTACTGTATCACTTCAGAGAGACATCCTGAGACAGTCCCGAAGGCGACCCGTGGCCGGCTCCTGATCAGGCTCATGGTCCATTAGCACCGGCAGTGAGAACCTCATACAGGATATGTAACAAGACTTCGTCGAGGCCGGCACGACTACGAGACATGCGGTCCTCATGGAAGACGACATCCGCAAGGCGCTGACATTCTTACAAAGGCAATATCCGTGTCGGAATGCAGGCGACTCCAATACGAGCACCATATCCGGATATACGCGAGGTATGGAGTGTTACGAAGGATGTTTTGTTGGAACCCATTGTTTGTATAGATACGCCACAACAAAATAGCGACGAGTGAGCTAGCCTGACTCTTTATACAACGTTCATGTCTCACCTCCTTATAACCTTAAAAGGTGCAGAGCCGATGCTGCTCCGTGAAGCCTCGGGATCAATGGTCCGCTCCGCCAGCCTGCGGTTGTATCTGCCCTGTGTTGCTTGCACCTTCCTGCTGGATTGAATATTCACGAGGAGACAGCTTTGCAGGTCCCTCTCCATGCTGACCAAATTCGCGTTACCGCCTGTATTCGCCCTTCTGTCGCGCACCTGCGATTTGTTGGGTCACCCAGCGTGCCTGCTCTCATGCATGGCATCGGGATCGCCCCCGAGCCCATATGCCCCAGAAGCTGGTGGCACATCATCGTCCCCCTTTTTCTCGTTCGGCCAGTGTACATTGGCCATCGCTGGCAGCTGCAGAGCTCCAAGCCCAAGCTGGCCAAGATCGCACCCTGTCAAGGTCGGTGAGCATGCCGTTGACACTAGGTGACGATGCTACTCACCGTGACAGCAATTGCATTGCAGCTAGAGAAGTGAGAGACACTCTAATCGAGGACCTGTGCATCGGCCCAGCCCGTTATGTGGCAGAAAATGGTGACTGTGCCTGGAACACGACCATGGTTGCAAGCGTGCGCCAAAGCTAGCGGAGTAGAGTGCTGCCTCGTCACATGTACTTGACAAAAATGCACCGCGAATACGGGGTACGAAGTTCTAGTCCGCGCATACTGAGGAGAATGAGACTAGACTCCAGCAGTCTGTTCAAATTAACACTTGTAGAACTAACGGCTGCCTCGTTGCCTAGGCAGTAAATATCTTGGCACTTGCACCGACCATTCTTCTATCAATCTACAATGCCACCTCCCGCTTTCGTCTTCTCCCACCTCCATGCCCGCCATTCCCGACCGTTCCACAAAAGCCACACCAAAACCACTCCCAGCGCCACCATCTGGGCCCCACCACAGACCACAAACGCCCACCCAACACCCAAACCCTTGATCATCGGCCCCACAACGCTCGTGCCCCCCGCGGCGACCAAACACCTCGCCAGATTCAAACTCGCGCTCGCCGCCGCACTGCCGCTCGGCTTCCCTTTCCCCACGCCGCTGGGTTCAGCCTGCGGCTCCGAAAACACATCCACGAAATACACCATGATCGCACTCTGGGCCGCGATGGCCGTCCAGCCCGTCACGAACGTGGCCGCAATAGGCACGGCAATGTGCACCGCGTAGTGGACCGTCCAGCCGAAGATGATGATGGAGATTGTCTGCGCGAGGGAGAAGAGGGGCAGCAGACGTAGGCGGGCGCGCTTCAGCTGCTGCTGAGACTGGGATTGCTCGTGGCTTGGGTTCTGAGGCCCGTGGTGGACTGAGTTGGTCTCGTCGACCGCGCAGGAATCAGGTTGGCTTGCCGGCTGTCGAGCAGCGGCCTCTTGTTCAAGGTCCACAGATTGAATTGACCGGGGCTCACTGGTAGGGGTGGCGTGTGTCTTACCCTGGGCGCGGCGATAGTCGGCGTCGAGGATCTTGCCGGTCAGAATCGTGCCGATTATACAGCCCGCTCCGTTGGCTAGGAAAGTCAGCCCGATCTTCCGCTCGGAGAGACTGTAGGTGGACGCGAACAGGGTTGCCATTGCGGTGATGCTCATCTGCCAGACAGCATAGTGGATGGCGAGGAAGAACAATAGCGCCATAGCCCGCTTATCGACGAGGATCCTGAATGGGGTGGTCAGGTCTATACGTTGCCGAGCTGCCGGAGTCGAGGTTTCGGAGCTATAAGGCGTTTTGGTGGTTTTCTGGTAGTACTCCAGGGGGAAGCCCAGGAGAAAGCTGTTACGTCCGCTGGGAAGGCGACTCCCGTTCGCTACGACAGAGCGTAGAGTCTCTGGGAAGAGGAGGATTAGAAAGAGCACAAACGATCCGCCATAGATGGCTAGGAACCAGAAGACGGACTTCCAGCCCAAGGAATCGGCAAGCAGGCCGCCAATGACGGGTCCGATGGCAACCGGTACCAGGAGTCCAGCTTGGAAGAACCCCATGAAGCCGCCACGCTCGGCGCGAGTAGTGACATCCCCGATCACGCCCGAGCCGATGGCTATGGTGCTGGCGCTGCCGGTGCTTTGCAGGCATCGCAGCACGAGGAGCGTCGCGTATGTAGAAGTTAGGGCAAGGCCGATGCAGGCGCCGAGGAAGACAATGAAGGTCCCGAGGTAGGCGGTGCGTCGACCTTTGACATCAGAGATGGGCCCCCATAGACTGGGAGCGAAGGCTTGAAATATCAAGTAGGACGTTACTGTGAGGTTGATGAGCTCGGTGGAGACTGAAAGGTCGTGCGCTATGTTCGGGATGGCGGGAAAGTAGATGTTTGAAGCGAAGCCGGAGACTACAGCATTAGCATCATCAAGCATTATCAGGTTTCAGAAAAGGCTCACAGGTTGCAGCGACAGAAGCAATCGCTATGATCAAAGCCTTTTGTCGTTTGTCGAAGATGCTGTATGGTTCTGAGGTTTGCTTGGGAGATGTTGCTTTAGGTAAGGATTGCACAGATGCACTGCGCATTTGAGTAGACTGGTTGCGTTCCGTCGTCATTGGAAGTTCATGTCCACTTCTTGATAAATATCTGGGACACAGCGAGGTGCAAAGAGCAGTATCTATAGTACACTGCATGCAGGGTAGGGTTCGGAGTCGAGCATCAAGCGAGCGCGCAATGTGGTTAGTGTTTTCTATACGGGAGAGTGATTGGATGGCTCACCGGAGTTGAGAAGACCCTGCCTCTGAACTCCGCAGCCGCGGTACCGAATATTAGGTAAGTCTTCAACCGCCATGAGTACAGCTCGTGACCGCGTACATCATCGTCCCGTACTCATCAACATCTTCTAACCATCGATCAACCCTGCTTCGCCTGTTGTTGATACCGGCTTCATCGAGGTCAGGAGGTATTGGCCAGAGTTCATCGATTCGAAGACCTACGTCGGGCCATTCTACCAAGGCACGGTTGTAAGCGTGCTCCCAAGTTTGTCTTGTCTGTGCATACCACAATGATCGTGCAGATGGTGCAGGCAGTCCTGTCAGCTCCGTCCCAATGAATGTAGGCAGTCCTTCCTGCGACGAGAGTAGGCTGTCAAACAAATACATTGTGTAGAGGGTTCGACGCTTGGCTTCGGCGATACACCACGACTCCCAGACCGGCCGGGCATGACCTAGCTCTTCCGGGCATACCAGACCCTGTCGGGCGGTTGCAGAAGCAAGTTCCTGTATATTTATCATGGCCTGGCGTAGAAGTGCGCTGGAACCTGAGCTAAAGTGAAAGAATACAATCATGGAGTAGAGTAGATAAGCCTGGAACGCTGCCAGGAGAAACACATGATCACACGTTCCTCTCCATTCATACAGCTTGTCCATTTCCCGCTGTAGAACATCCATCAGCGAGCTTTCACTTCCAGCTGAAGGGTTATCGCACATTCGAACCAGACTTAGGCAGGTTGCGAGTGGAGAAGGCATGTTGGTGGCGAGCGCTTGCGAGAAGTGAATGAAGGGAGGTAATGCTTTGCCTTTGATCGCCATACCGGTGTATGCCTTGAGGATACGATGTATCAGAGTGGATATGCTCGCCGGGTAGTTCTTCGGTTTCTGTTGAGGTGTGGGGATGTATGCGTTTAGCCATCGGTTGCGGATCCCGTCCGCATCTATCGGACACAGAAGAGCGGTACTGGCCGAGCCGACCGCAGGTGAGGCAGTCGGAAGCGTTTCTATTGCAATATCGTGTTCGAGATCAGGCACTGCAACGCTGGAAGTAGCGTGGACCGCATCCAAGGATACATTGGTGAGATCAGCTTCGTGGCTCCTGTCGGACGGCGGCAATCCGGCGTACGAGCACTCGATGGCCTTTTGCGAACACCTCTTGCAAATCTTCGACCCAAACAGTCGGTCGCACTTTGTTTTGGTTCTGATACACTGTTGGCACGCCTTCTGGCGAGTTACAGCGTAGCGAGACGATTTCATGATGAGAGTGCATCTCCGAGAGCGCAATGGCCATATTGGTCTATCGTGACCCGTGGACAAGGCATCTAATCACAGCGCATGGGCAGCAAGGAGTTGGAGCCTATTGCCGAGTCTCTGACGTTTCGCTGCTGCCAGGTGCGAGACGCTATGACGGACAGAAGATGATGAAGTTCTCTTGGCCTTGAACCTCCGGAGTACAGATACTCCGAGGCCGACTCAACGGCCCTTCTCACCTAAATTGTCTGCCTTCTCTTCATCAGCTTCCTCTGTTGTGCATATACTGTAGCTAGCTTCTTTAGGCCGTGACGGCTCAACGATGCGAGACTGGCTTTAAGATGCATGTCTGCTCTTCACAATCTGTGTCTAATTCTCGATACCAGCGCCGATCCCAACTGATAACTGATGCAATGACGCCTCGGAGCTCATCCTCCGCTCCGAAAGTTGGGATATCCCTCGTTAATCTTTGGGTCCTTTCGGACACGCCTACAACCTCGCCACTACTACTTGGCGTCTGTAGGAACCGAGATTTCACTCCCTGCCGTTATCCTAACACTTCCACCCTCATCCTAACGTTGAGTTCTACGATCTACAAAATCGACCTGATCTGGCACTGGTGTATGAAGTACATGACCTACTAGCGCAGAGCACGATATAAGAGCCATTGAACCTCGCAGGCCGGTATATTTGCTTTCATGGCGTCGTCAGAACGCCATGTGCACCCCCTTCAGAACGCCGAGTTCTGGGGGCTAGGTGCTCATCCTCCATCCCTGGTGCCTTGCAGCGCTAGAGCGCTACGCCGTCCATAATGACCCAACGAGGAATACTGCTCTCGCTTAACAATTATATTGGCGAACGAGTCCCCGAGTTTTATGCCGGCATTTGTTTTTGGTGCCGCCACACTAACCCCCTGTTTGGCAAGCGAAAGTCGTGTCGATCTTGCGCGTGCTAACAATGACTAGCGTTTATATTCCCTTATTCTTTGGGCGTACCGCGGCTATGTGATCCGCGAGGGAGTAATGCGCTCGATCAGCGGACGTGTTGACGCGGATGCGGGCCCCTCTTACCGAGCAGGCTGTTTCCATAAACCTTCGCCATCGACGATCACGACAGTTGCGTGAGCTCTGTTTGAGCTTGGGCGTCGTAAGCTATGAATATGTTTACAACGAATGCAGGACTCGGCTGCCGTTCAGCATGCAGTGCCAATCGTCCCTGGAACGATGGGAGCGATGGTTTCAAATGCAAAGGCATTTCTTTGGTTGTAATTGGGTCTCGCTTTTAGTCATTCCTGCGTGACACCCAGCCCGAGTGAGTGCTGCGTTAACTATATAGTACATAAGACGGCAATTCTTGCGTTAGGTAGGGAGTAATAGTGCTATGTGCCAAGTGTAGTAGTGGTGGCGGTGGTTGTAGTACCACTCGTAGTCGTAGCAATTGTACACATCCTGTCATTGTGTGGATCATATCTGGTCCTTGTGCGTGTGAGCAGCGGCGTGACTCTTCACTGACAGGGTGCCTCGAGTGAAACCTCGTATCGTGTGCGACTTTTGATAGATTAGGGTATCGTTGATCATGCGCTGGTGCCGTTGAATATATGGTATGGTATCCTGTGATCGAATTGGTAGCTGTTGCTGATCGAATCTGCGGTTGCAGTAACGAGGCCAGCCAATGATTCCGTTCGTTGGGGGCGGAGCTGTTGCGTGGCGTGGCGACGGCGCGGCCTGATGGGTGTCCGGTCGCTTGAAAGTGCTGATATACGCCGAGCTGAAGATCCCCATTTTAGAGGACGGTCTGTACGCGCATCTTCATCCTCCTCGCGATGTCAGCCTCGGTCCGACGCACCAGCATAAGCACTCCCTTGTCGACTATGCCCACGGCTCAGTGCTTGGCTCTGGAAGCTAGCATGGCTAGCATAACTCCTCTGGCTGCCTCTCGTGCCACTGTAACTCCGAGTCAACTGGAGCTGCGACTGTGGCAGCGAGTTGATGGGAGACCGAGGCCCAGGCAGGTTGCCCCAATCGAATTGACTCCTCCCCTGTTTGACCATGCGACCTTTGGCGTCGAGACTCATCACAATGTCAGCTCTCTCACGATTGACCTCACTGTCAGCCTCACTGATCCTGCTGGGGCCGCGATGCTGCTGTGGCTCTTCATCGATGTTGTTCCATCTGACGCTTGTTGGACTGAGCGGGTATGGATCCCTCCCCACTCCGGTCCCCACCCTCTCATCCTGACTCCCAAGCGCCTCCATCTTGACTCCTTCTGCCTCGCGGCTACTGCGTCTCCGAGCCGTACAACAGCAAGCGCCCACCACGTTGCTCCATAGCGCACGACACGCCACCCAGCTTGTTACAACGTAAATAATCAGATTCCAGAATCCTTGCAGTGGCAGCACGAGGCTGCTCGCAAAGTCTAGTGCGAATGGGCTGACCTGTCCGTCGTTGTTGACAAGTGTGTATAGTCTGTTGATGCTCGAAGGTACCCAGGTGACGATGAGCGCAATGAAGAACAAGCACGCGGTGTAGCAGTAAGAAAGGGTGGCGCGGTTGGCGTCCACGGCCTTAGAGCCACTCGACTGGGGGCCTGAGGCGCGACGATGGTGAATTGTGGTATTGACGGGAGTCCCAGGAAGGGTTGCCTGGGCGGAGAAGCGCTCTGAGGCGGAAATAGAGGTGAAACGCGAATGCTGGTTTGACGGATGTGGCGTCGTAGGTGACAATGGTGCTTGCGAGGTGGTGCTGCGGGCGTAGCTTAGGGGGCGTGTCGAGCTTAGGGAACGTCCATGCTTGTGATGAGGTACTTGTGAGACAACATTGACCTCGTAGGTGGGGCGAGACTTCGAATCGCGTTGTGGCTGCGTAGGGGCTGCTACTTTGAGATCGAGGCTCAGTAGCGAGCGCCGCCAGCGGAAGACGACGAAGCCTACTTTGATGTAGATAACGATGTCGATGATGATTATGATCCAGATCGGTCCGTAGAAGCAAGCGATGCGTAGGGCGTTCCATTTAGAGGATATCCAACACCACAGCTTGGTAACAATAAGTCAGTGATGCAGATTTGTATGGACTGACCAGGGAGCAACTAAAAAGAGACTTACATTCGCAGAGCCGTAGACCTTGCCTTTCTCAACGGTATCGATGAAGAGGAACACAAAGGCGGGAATGAAGGGCAGGCCATAGCAGAGGGCAAGGTAGCGCCATTCGAGCTTGCGCAGTGACGAGGAGTCGTATTGCTTGAAGAACGCAAGGTAGACATTGCAGGCCATGGCGAAGGTGAAGAGGGCGTCAGCTGGCATGAACCTGGCAGAAGTTAGTCGAGCGGACGAGGCTGTCGAGAAAGTCCACTTTACCATTGTATGAGGAAGGCTTGAAATTGGCAGAGAGGTCCGTCGATCTCGCGTTTGATGCCCTCCCTGCTGATGAGGGTTGCGACATTGGCGAAGAGATTCCCCCATGACGCGTAGAAGACAAGTCGGTTGATGGGCTTACGGAAGCTGCTGTCGAAGAGGAAAGTAAATATGATAAAGGCAGCTCCTATAACGGAGAAGACTGAGGCCACCCTCTCTGCGGTCTCGATGGCAGAGGCCTCATCTGGGGGCATGCTAGCAGCCATGTTGAGAAGAAGGTAAAGTGCGATGCGAGCGCATCGCAACTGATACGTTGAGGCAGCAACAAATCCGTGAGACCGGGAGTGAATGGGATCAGTCACCACTTTTAAGGGCTCGATGTGGCAATCTTCGTTTGGTGGCACTCACCCCATGCTCGGCCTTGTGGAAACTCTCGAAGTCGAAGCGAGCATGGATGGGGAAAGCATTTTGAGTCTTTGAGAGCAGGGGTTGGTGCTTCTGGTCCCGGCAACCCGTATTTGGGGAAAGCAATCCATTGCGCTCGGGATCCGCGGGCCGTTTGGTAGCACAATTGAGCGTCGTGTCGAGAAAGGAGGAATCTGGGGGTGGAACCAGGTGTTGCTTTGGGATAGCTCGTATATGGACTGAGGGGCGGAAGCCAATGGTCCGCGCAAGCCAAGTGTCCTCGACCTGCATTAGCGGTCAAAGTAGCAATTGTTCCAGTCTCGATACAATCTAGACCAAACCCAAATTCGAGGCATGCGCAGTCCATCCTCCGTCTAGGCACATTTCAGAAGCGATCGTCGCAATAAAGTGCTGAAGATTGTTGCGGCGGCCGTTGTTCCCGCTCTTCACGACCTGAGCTAGAATTATCTCAGAAATTCACGATAAATCGCCGGAATCAATTAGGCAGTAGCCCATTTCTTTGACAGATGGGCGCGCTCGCGCATCAGAGTCGGCGTGCAAGCCTTGCAGCTGTTTGAAGGTGTCAGTCAGCCGTGCAACATGGTCGTGCCAAAGTTGCACGACCTTGGGTCGTTTAGCTGCACGAGCGACGGACCTGTGCGTTTGCCTCACCTCCGCAGGGGTCCTTGATGACAACTCTCTACGTGATGGGCCAGGCGTCCCGCAAGGAATTTACCTCTTGAAGATCGCTAGCGCAGGGACGAGCAAATCACAAGGCGGGGGCCCCTGGTCGATGCCCAGGACTCTACCCCATGCCGAGGCTTGAACACGAGGCCATTGTTCTCTGCTTGTCGCAATATGCGGGGAGCATCCATGCATGTGAATATTCGATGAAGGACTTGTTGCTGTCGAATGCGGCTGAACGCACCGGTGGACATTCGGGCCTGGCAGGACAGAACCCAGCGCTCCCCACAGTCCAGTGACGGCGACTTCGCGAAAAACACAACGATGTTTGCAAAGACAGACGGAAGTGTTCGGGCCGCACGGCGCAAGCCGAGTCCTTCCCCAGCTTTGATTACGTTGCCCTTTGTCTGTTGTGCATCGTATAGCGAGTACGTTTGTGGCGAATTTGGCTGCTCGCTTCTAGCAGACCTTGAATTCAGCCTTCTGACGTTGTTTCCGTGTAGGCCATCCACTCATCAACCATCACTTGCTCCCGCCAAAGCAGCTGCTCAAACGCCGGGCCGACACCCTTGGGCTGGCGCGACAAGCAAACGAGCACTCGATACTCGAAGGATTCGAGTTCTTGTCCACAATAGTGGAGGATAATATCCATTCATCTCAACACTCTGTCCTAGCTTAATGTGGAAGAGCGTCCATGGGGAGGGAACGGATACCCTCGCCTGCGAGCATTAGAAGCATACTACAGCCACGTTGAGGCTACTACCAGACACGCTAGACGCAAAAGCTGCAAAGTAATCCTCGTCTAGGAAGCTAGGCTGCCTTCGTAACGATGTCATTGCCTGCCAGATATCAGGTGACGCCACCCTTGGCCTTGTTAGAGGATCCTGGAAGCTCAAGGCCCGTGCATCGTCAATCGCTATATGCGACACTTAAGGCTGGGAGGGCGGGGCTGCCAGTATGACGGATAACGGACAGCCTCCGCCTGCCCCATTGCCGATCATTGTACCATTGCTCAGGCTAGGGCTTATCCTCCAACACGCCAAATGACGATCAGCTCCATGATGCAGCCCTTCATCGTCGAGCCCTTGCGGCTTGCGCACTCATTATCGACAAACTTAAACCGTTGCAGCTGGCGCCTGGCCATGGCTTTGTCGCTGGAACAGACCACTTCTGATCAAGAGTCTCCAGGGTACATTCTCGCCACCAAAATCTCCGCTCAATGTGCGATCATTGCGAGACTCGGCCGTGGACCGCATCCAGCGAGCACACTCTCACTCAAGAGCATACTGCTCTGGAGGCGCAATGAGCCGCTTTTCTCAAGCATCGCAGTTGACGGGCTAAGCACTGGTAAGCACATTCACACGCGATGCATACCTGTGCCATCGATCGGTGACGACGATGAGTGAGCAACTGCAGGTCACATACTATCTTCAAGTTATATTCAATCTTGTGACTTTCGCAGTCATGTTCGGCCGTGTACACATTTTATTTCATATCATCGTCATCATTATGGCTCATTCATCGTCAATCCGAAAACGCCGTGGATGCATCATTATCGTAAAGTGGTGAAGTGTTTTCCACGGCCCTGGTCTGACTCAACCAATTGAGACTTCGATTCATTTTGTGAACTCATCCCATCCTGTACTGTGCCGCTGATCATCGCTGTGAAGTATCTACAGCTCCAGTAGGTCATTCAACACAACGTGCCGGGCCAGAACCCCATGTTTAGATAGCAGCTCAGCTCGCAAAGCCAACCCGCAGAAGCGACTCGATCACGTGATTATGACGACCCCGCGGTACCTACCCCGCCTCCGTCGAGACTGACGAGGAGGTCGGCGAGCGTCTAGGGTAATGCTAGGGCAGTAGCCACAGTCGTGGCAGTGATGAGAGTATCCGTCAAATGACAGAGACAAAGCCCATATCGGTCAAGGGCTGGCGTAACAGGGCACAAGGCATATCGATGTCAAACCGATCCGAAGCTGTAACACTGGACAGCAACGAGGCACCCAGGATGCAGGATCTCACACTCGAAATCTTGTACCACATCTTCTCCTTCTCCTCTGGTGAAGACCTGGATATCGGGCTGTTTCTGACCTCCAAATCAATGGCTCAGAAGCTGGCCGGACACCATCTCATCCGTCTAATACAAATCTTTTTGACACGCCATGAACTCCTGACGCTCTATCCAGAAGATGAAATGATCCGAGATGGGGCATCTCCGGCAGCCTTGGCTTGCCTCTTGGACGAAACTGATGACCGGGAAAGACCGGGAAGCTGTTTGGCCATATGGGCGGTCTGGTGCAACGAGCGTTTCGTCAAAGCCGCACAGCTCGCTGCCATCAAGAGACTTCTCATGACATATTGGGACCCACTGCTGCTCCGAGATAGACAGCCCATCAGCAAAATTTCGCATGCCGACCTCTGGCGAAGGCTGGAAGGGGCAGGCAGCGAGAAGCAGCCGGCGACAACTGATGAGTTGTTGATGTCACGAGCCGATGCGGTCGATGGACGTTACTCATGGGTACGCATTATCATTTGGCCGGACTCCGGACGGATTTCTGTTCGTGACCAGCTTTACAATCAGAGATTCGTGATTTCGATTCCTTTGATGCCGGCATTCCTGACTTGGAAGAAGCAGTGGGCTGCGAAGGAGGCTTTTTCTTTGGTTTTGGTTTAACCTGATCAGCCCAGCGAACGGCCATCCCGTACGACAGGTCATCCATGTCGGACCGAGGAATGGGCGGCGGGGTACGAGCTCGCTTTTCCGGCAGCTTTCAGTGAAGAAGCGCCTGGTATGAGCGTAGACAGGCTGCACAAGGATCGAGCCGAGCTGCAGCGGGATTGAGCGCGTCGAAAGCGCTCAAGATTGGGCAGGCCTGGCCATGGCTTAAGATAACAGTCAGGACAGAGTGGTACGAAGTGATTGATTGTAGTTCACTTTAGAATCGTTGGTGCACAGCGGCAGGTCGGAAGTGTCCAATGGAGGGGCTGGAAGATGGCGTGCTCAGGGAGTTCTTGGCGTTGAAGTCCTGCAAGGCTCTGACTCTCTCGGACAAGGCTGGTGCCATGTATGTGCATTGGCATGTAACCGTGTCCGCAGAGTTTGATGCAGAGATGCGTCAAATGGAATACGGCGAAGCTGTTCGTAATTTTAGGACATGTCTCGAAATGGTACTATCACTGTCTTGGCCCTGAATCCGAGACGCCTGTGCAAACCCTGTCCCGATGCCGTACTGAAGTATCTACATGCAATATCTCCGGATCTATCTCACAAGTCGCGAGGACGTCGCAACGCCAATCGCCTCGACACTGAAACCCAGCCGTTCTAATGCAGCAACATCAACAGTATTTCGTCCATCAAACACGTACATGGGTTTGTCCATAATGTCGGCCACACGAGCCCAGTCAATCTTCGCCGTCTTCATCGTTTTCAGAGTAGCAAGGTCGGTTGTGGAGCTGCTGGTGGACATGTGTCCGTTCTGCTCCAGAGCCGGCCCATTGTAAGAGCCGTTGCGAGTGGGGATGGGTGTTGATGGGGCAGTCTTGTTCACCTTGTTGCTGAACATGTCCCACTCCGTTAAAATGACAACACCGTGAGCGTCCTGGCATGCGTCGTATGCATTGTCACAAATTGAGACACGATCGTCGTCCATAGTGAGACGCAGATCAGACATGATCTGTTCAGGCCGCACCTGTGGATCGAAGATGTGGACATTGGCGTTTTCAGCCAGCAAGGCATTGCAGACATCGATGGCTGGGCTCTCGCGGGTGTCACCGGTGTCCTTCTTGTAGGCAAAGCCAAGCACGGCGATCTTCTTGTTGAAGAGCGTGCTGTGCATTGAGTTGACAATGCGTCGCACGAAGCGATCTTTCTGGTACTCGTTCACTGCAATTACGCCCTGCCAGTATGCGGCCACCTCGGGCAGATTCAGGCTCTCGGAGATGTAGACGAGATTGAGAATGTCCTTCTTGAAGCAACTACCACCGAACCCAACCGATGCATTCATCATCTTAGGGCCAATGCGGCTGTCGAGGCCGACGGCGTATGCGACATCCTGGATATTGGCATTCACCGCCTCGCATATCGACGATAGAGAGTTGATGCTGGAGATGCGCTGAGCAAGCATTGCATTGGCAGCAAGCTTGGATAATTCGGATGACCACAGATTCATCGTGATGAGCTTTTCCCGTGGGATCCAGTTGGCATAGACGTCAACGAGCGATTCGGCCGCGGCATATCCGGCTTCAGTATCCAAACTGCCAATGAGGATCCGATCGGGGTGTAACAAGTTCTTGATTGCGGTACCCTCGGCCAGGAACTCGGGATTCGACAAAACCTCGAAGCTTGCTCCCGGTTGCGCATTGGCAGCGAGTATGTCCCGCATGATGTCGGCAGTTCCACATGGCACCGTGCTCTTCTCAACAACGATAGTGTCCCTCTCAGCTGCCTTGGCGACCCGGCGGGTGGCTGCCTCAAGCCATCCAAGGTCGGAAGCCTTCCCAGCACCGAGACCTGTTCTCTTGGTTGGAGTATTCACGCCAATGAATACAATGTCTGCTTCTCTGATCTTCTCATCGATCTTTGTGGAGAAGAAAAGGTTTGATTTGCGCGTCGGAGAACCATCGCGGGCGGGCTGGACGAGCTGAAAGAGGTTGGGTTCGTAGACAGGAAGGTTGTCGGAATTCCACGCTTCTATTCTGCGAGCATCGATGTCGACGACGGTAACGTTGAGATGGGGAGCCTTGTTGGCTATAACTGCGGCGCTGGGGCCGCCCTTGAGAAAGTCAGTGGGCGGTGTCAACTCTCCAACGGCCGGAAACGCATACCACATAGCCCGCGCCGATGCAGCAAATATTCTTTATTTCCCGTTTCCGTTTTAGGCTTGGTTGCGTCATTGCTGCGGGCGCTGCACAATGCTATACGAGGTACAAATTGCTGTGAGTAGCTCAAGTGTAGCTCTCGTTGCAGCACGAATATCTCAACGATCTTGAGCAAAGGACAAGTATTTGGCGGGACGCGCGGTGTCCCATTGCCGGAAAGATTGCGCCAGTGGCTGACACGGGGGTCGTGCAGGGGAGGACGATGGACCCACGTTTAGAGTAGCTGTAGCCTCACTGGCGGGTAGGGTTGCGGCTAAAATGGAGAGCTGGAGGAGCTGGTTAACATTGCGTCTGACCGACCGAGTCGCAAGCGAACCCGACAACCCAGGGCTAGGACTTCTTGGGTGTCCTTCACCTCACACAGGAGTGGAAAGCCAATACGTGCAGAGCCCTTGGCAGGGGGCCATGGAGGAGCGACTGGCAAGGACGCCGGAGTAAGCAACGACCAGTCACTTGGCACCCATGAGAAATCATCAGTAATTACGGTACGCAACGATACTGCGGCTGCCGCGATACCGGGAGATTGCGCGGCCTCAAGCTTGGCTCGCGCACGCAAACCGCCAACCACTGACCCAACCCTGGTGTGCCCGGGGTCTTGGCGGCTAAGCGATGCAGCAGCGGTCGCCCTTCTGTTCGGATCGGCTGCCGGTACCCTTGGCCGCTGCCGTCAGATGAGATTGGAATTTCTTGCCTACAACGTGCCTTTCATGATCATCTTCACCCCGCGTCCTTGTGTGCAACTCACGGATCGCATACAGGTCGAGCCGGAATATCTGGTCTCTGTCACAAGTTCAATTCTGCGATCCGGGGTGACCACTTTCTTCATTAAACGCGCGGCACATGCCCGAGTGACGGAACGAGCCTCAGCTGGATAGAACCACTGATTTTCCAGCCTTCTACGCAGATCTGCGCCCATCGATGGCAACAAGATTGTCATCGTCGTATCACGACGACTCCGAAATCAATACCAACTTCGACGTCGATGACAGGGAGCAAGCCGGTCTACTCGCCCAAGACGTTGAAAAAGGCCAAGAAGCCATCACCCCTCCTTCACAGCATCACGAAGACACGGTCTCGACAAACAAGAAACTCGTGTACCTTTTTGGATACTTCCTCTGCAATATCGGCCTCACTCTCTACAACAAAGCCATCCTCGGATCGGTATGTCTTGCTCTACCCTTCGTGTCGGTCCCCCGTCTTCTTCACCAGCTAACCATATCCCCACCTCCAGTTCAAGTTCCCATGGCTACTCACAGCCCTCCACGCCGGGTGCTCCTCCATAGGATGCAGCGTCATGCTCCAGCTCGGCTACTTCCATGCGACTAAGCTTACGCGACGCGAGAACCTGGCCCTCTTCGCCTTCTCCTTACTCTTCACCATCAACATCGCAATCTCCAATGTCTCTCTCGCCATGGTGTCGGTACCTTTTCACCAGGTGGTTCGCGCCACGACGCCCCTCTTCACGACCTTGCTCTTCCGCATAATGTTTAATCGCACCTTCAATACCGCAACCTACCTATCTCTCCTCCCGATTGTTCTCGGAGTCACTCTTGCTGTCTATGGCGACGACTTCCGCTACACCGATATGGGCTTCATCCTGACCTTCCTGGGCGTCATTCTTGCCGCCTTCAAGACCATAGTGACGAATCGAATGATGACCGGCTCGCTAGCGCTGTCCTTTTGGGAAATCCTGCTCCGTATGTCACCTCTGGCATTCGTCCAATCTATCATGTATGCATACTTCACGGGAGAGTTAAACGCCTTCAACATTTTCCTACGCACCGAACTTTTCGCCGAACACTCTCCAGTCCATACCACACCGTTAGGCTTTATGTGCGTCATGTTGGGCAATGGCTTCCTCGCCTTTGCGCTCAATGTCAGCAGCTTCTCCACGAACAAGGTCGCTGGTGCGTTGACCATGACTGTTTGCGCGAATATCAAGCAGTGTCTGACAATTGTCCTGGGTATCTTGCTGTTCAACGTGCGGCTCAATGTGATGAACATGCTGGGCATCGTTGTCACTGTCGCTGGCGGCATTCTGTACTCGTTCGTCGAACTGGACAGCAAAAAGAAGAAAGCGCTGCAACAGCCCAAGCGGTGAAGTTGCCACAAGGGGAGAAGACCCGATAGCTGACGGGCTTTGACGGCTTATCATGTGATGACCTTTTTAGCGATCAGCGTTTTCGTATCGAAGCATTTTAGACTGTATTATAAGCATTAGTTGGGAACCGGGTCTGGACATCTGGGTATGCGTCGGCGTGGGTATGCATACAGTTAGAGATACGAATCAGAGATGCAGCAAGAAGCATAGACATGTGCAGCATGTGAAGAATACTACGATGCTATGCATCAGAATCACAACCACATACAACTTGTTTTGATGTCCTGATGCGGGTAAGTCATTATACTTCTTACACTAGCTAGTGCTGTGGAATAATTGCCGACAGCTGGCTCTCGCCCCGTTTGTCAAGCATACTTCCTCCTCAGCCGCTCCTCATACTGCTGACACAGGCCATCCTCCCATTTGATCCAACCCATCGTCTTCTCTCGGTACGTCCACGCGCCAGCCAGTGGCTCTCGAAACTTGCCGTCGCTCGCCACACCGCGCTGACGCAGCAAGGCCAACAATTCTTTCTGGTAGGGCCAGAACCAATTGCGCGGCCACCACAGCTCACGATAGCCCTTTTTACCGGTGAAGTGTAGCACCGGCGCCACTGTCTTGGTGACCGTGTTGGTCGCCAGAGGCAGGGTGGTCCAGGACTTTAGCGCCTCGGGCAGGGAGGCCCAGATGCTTGAGCTATCGCCTGTGCGAGCGAGGGCCGTCAGAGGTGAGAGACCGGCCAGATCGCTGGGTAGTTTGAAGTAGTGGGCCGGGTTGATGGACTTGGCTGAGGAGGAGACGTAGCGGTTCGACAGATTGTGCTGGACCCACGTCATGTAGTCCTCGTAGAAGGCGATGGTTTGCCAGATATCGGAGCTGAAATCCAGTCCAATAAAGTACTCGCTGCGCTTATCATCTGAGAGCTCAGGGATTTCCTTCTCGTCTTCGGGCGGTGGCTGTCCTTCTTCCACGGGTGGTGAAGGTGGATGCAGGAAGGCTTCAGCGTCGGTGATATTCAAGCCACGAGCACGGTCATATTCTAGCTGGACAAGGCGTCGTGCGTAAGATTGATCAGCCCACACATTTGCGAAGTAAAATTGGTCAGAATCAGTGGTGTGGTGATCATGAATCTTCTGCAGAGTGGCAGCAAAGACGTCACGAATCTCGCGGGCAGGTCCCATGATGGTACCAGAGTTGAGCCAGCGTGCGCGATTGTGCTCGGTGATGCCGTGGTCGGTGTCGGGGCCGAAGGATCGCTCGTCCATCCAAGAATTCGGAACGGCCCAGCAGGCTGCTCGGCGACCGTCGCCTGGCCAGCAGAGTTTGTCCGGGCCAAAGAGCACAGTGTCTTTGATGTTGTACTTGGACAGTGCAGCATGTCCATAAAGCTTGGCGTTATGTTGTTGAGCGTAGTCGACAACATCGTAGTAACGCTTGATCATGAGTGACGGCGGAAGCTGGAACCACGCGTCGAACCCGTCCATCATAAAGACGAGCTCGTCTTGTTGCTCTTCCGGCAGAGCTTCGACATAGTCGAGGACACCTTCCACCTTTGCGAGATGCTGGACGTAATCGTCGGCATCCTCAGCTCCGCCCCAATTGATCAAGACCGGAGCGGGATAGCCGAGAATGGCGGCGGAGGTCAATAATTGACACAGGTGATGATTTGTACTCGTTGCCGGCACGAGTATGTGAAGACGTTTGGGGTCATGTTTAGGTCGTGAGCTCGAGAAGGGTGTCCCTGATGTGATTTTGCTTTGAATAGCCTTGGGGTCGATGGGGGCATAGAAGATATGGCTGAGAACGGCGAGTGCAAGGAAGAAGGCAAGAATAGTCAAAACCCTCGTCAGCCGCCGTTGCGGGAGTGCCAGCATCATCTCAGCGGTCTGTCGGTGTGAACAGAGGTCATCTTTTGATTCCTCGGATGACTCAGTCACGAAGGTTTGATGAATGTTGTCGAGGAGCGTGGTGTTCAATGCTCAGGGTCCAATTCGAAAAAAGGCTTGGCTCGGCCGGGCAAGAGGTCGTGTGTACGGGAGTAGGTGGGGGCTGGTGGCTGCTCGTGGCTGCTCGTGTCTGGTGGGACAGTCCCCAAGGTTTCTAAGGTTTGATGGGCTGAGATCGCATCAGCCAAGTGGCCTTGTCAACGGACGGATGTTTGACAGATGGGGCAGCTGGGCAAGGGAAAAGGGGCTGCCAAAGATACGTTCAGGTGGAGAGAGGCTCCAGGCTGACAGAACGTTGACGACAAGGATGCTTAGCTGCCCCCAGCAAAAATTGGCCCGAACGACCAAAGAACCCCTTATCTCTAGCTGCGTTGCTTTTGAGAGCGATACCTTTTCCCTACCGGTCTGATCAGAGTGCAGTCACGTTTCGAATCGCATTGCACCGGGCATAAACCTTGTTGTTCCCCTTGAGACCTGTAAAAGTCTGCTTTCGCGAGCCGGTCGCAGCAACGTTGCGACCGGGTTCGCCGGATAGCGCAGGAGCGTTCGCGGTGGAGCCCTCCAAATACACGATACGCGACATTACAAGTACTTGGCATCCGCCGGAAAGCCCCTGCCGAGTGACTTGGTCGCGACAATTGATCCAAGACGAGACTTGTCATCTCCGTCCGTGCTGACCACATCTCCGCCCGGCCGTCTACCTTTGTCCATTATTGTACAACAACGCGTCTCTGCCTCTTTCCGTGGACAGTCATTCGTATATTTGCGTTCAGCACCGGTCGGCTGCCACGGGCGACAAATTTTGTGACCGTCCGGCGTTTTTCACCACAGAGTCACCGGACTAGAGCGGCTGGTGTTGCCTGGTCGCCTTGTCCTTCTCTGGACCCTACAATGTGGTGATGTCAAACTTCAACAGCTGGATAGACAGCGTCCGCGGCTCCGTTGGCCTGAAAGAATGGGGTTACGACCGGTTGAACCAGTCCGAGGAAGCCCCTCAGCAATCCACCGCTCGCCGGAAATTTCTGAAGGTCGCCCTGGGACTCGTTGTCTTCTGGGTCGTACTACTTGCCATTGCTACTCCTTACTCGAGCGACATTGTCGACTTGCTGCTTTCCCATAATGACACCAATTCGTCTTACTTTCATCTTCTAATACCCGCAAATGAAGGCAGAGCGGATTTCTGCAAGACGCTATTCTCAGCTGCCGCTCTTGACTATCCTACCCCTCGGATCATCAATTGGGGCAAAGAGAACAAGGATCCCGATATTGCATATGGAGGTGCTCATATCGCCAAAATTGAAGGGGTCTTGGGATTCCTCCGTCAGCTAGGTCCGCTATCTGACAATGAGCTTGTCTTGGTTGTTGATGGCTACGATACCTGGTTCCAATTGCGACCCTCAGTCCTTATTGACCGCTATCATGCCATGAATGATCGCGCCAATGCCCGCATCGCTTCGAGGCTGGGCTCCGAAGCCATGCGCTCGGTCGACAAGCCAATTCGCCAGACCATTGTTTTCGCCGCCCAAAAACGCTGCTGGCCAGCCACGCATGACGATCCCGAATGCTACGCTGTTCCCGAATCAGATCTGCCCTCCAATGTGTACGGCTCCTCCACCGACCGTGACTCTGGGGACCAAGAAGCACCTTTCGCCAAGTACCGCCAAAGATATCTCAATTCCGGCACCATTATGGGCCCTGTCAGTGACCTAAAACTTGTCTTTGAGGCCGCTCTTGAGAAAGCCAAGGCTCAATCTGCTGAAACTGGTTCTGACCAAGGCGCCTTCGCAGCCGTCTTTGGCGAACAGGAGTATCAGCGCGAAGTGATCCGGTCACGCCATCTGACCGACTGGCAGAAATTCAAGGCCAAGCTCTTCACCGACGACAGAGACAAGATTCTTGCCGATCATCCTACTCACAAGCAGATGGAGCACCTCGACGGTGCACCACGCGAGTTCGGTATTGGCCTTGATTATCGAGGCGAGCTTTCACTGCCTACCGTCTTCTCAGAAGACGATGCTGTCTGGCTCAAATATTCGTCCGCAGTTTCCTTACGGGAAGCCGCCCGAAAAGCTGGCGTTCCAGCTCCTGACCCTCCAAGGGTGCCACACTTGGCGGAAGACATCAAGCGCTCGACTCCGCCCTTTTGGACCGCCGATTACACCGGCAGAGTTCCTGTCCCGGACAGAGAGTGGTCGGAAGTCAGCCTCTTCACCAATCTTTGGACCGGCATCAGTCCCGTCACCGTGCATCACAACGCGCACGCCCAAGGCCTGAAGTCCCGGATCAGGACGACCTGGTCCGACACCTGGTTCTTTCCTTACCTACGAGAAATGCTCAAGTCAAAGGCTATTGGCTATCGTGCGCCGGTCGCAGTCTCGCGTGAGCAGGAGTGGTGGGGACCCATCGACGAACGTGGCGGCATCAGGATAGAGATTGGCAGCTTGCCCGGCGATTGGGCGCCTTGGGAGGATGATAATGTCTGCGGCGCCACGGACATCGCGAACGAGGTGTTCCGAGACAACAGAGGCCCGTGGCAGAACCCAATCTACTATCTCAGCTGGGATAACGATGAACAAAAGGACCAAATCGAAGCATTGATCAAAATGGAGAGTGGGGAAAAGGACCTCCAAGAGTAAGCCTGGTGGAGGATAGCATTGTATATTATAAACACCAGAGGCATACGCGGCGTTGGATATAGCTAACAGGCACATTGTCGTTGTAGGCGCTGCGCCAACATGGACAGTCAGCATAAATCCGTATCACATCAACGACAGCTTTCCTCTGCAGCAACGATCTACGTTCCGCCTCGTATATTCCGGATCTTCTCTTCCGACTGACAGCGCCACAACCGGCTGTGGAGGAATGTTTGCGTAAGCAAGTGAAAGGTTTCGGAATGTGTGACGATATGCAATGCAACACCTTGAGTACGAGGACCTTGGTGTGAAATTAGACGGTACACGACCATGAACATCGAGGAGACGTACGGGCGCAGGACATGTTGAGGTCGACGACTTAGAGTTGAACGACGCGTGCACGAATGTGGCAGGGGTAGCCGAAGTGCAGCCTCACCACTTCGCACCCAGCCTTGTGCCGGAGAGCCTCTTCATACTTCATGTAGATATGTTTCTCTTTTCGTAGGCTATCAACGAAGGGAAAGTATCGCTCAACAGTGATATTGATGTATTGACCCACAGGTCCCATCCGTCACAGACAACACACTGCGTGAATGATTATGGTGAACTCACCGAGATCGCACCAGTATAAGCTGCGTCTATATTCATGCGTTCTATGGCAATGTCCATGTTTCTGTATCTGATATTTGACGATCTGAACATGTCTCGTCCACCCGGCCAGATGCACCTCCTGCAAAACTCCATCGGTCTCCGAAGCGAAAAGCTCTCCTAGTGCGAGTACCACCTTTGGCTGGCACGAGCTTGATTCGAGTGTGGCGTGGCAAGCTCTTCATAGAATTGATTGCGGCGACCGGCGGGTACGGGGAGCAAACATATGCTGAGCATCCCGAGCAAGATCCCTCTACCTTGCGATAAACAACTTTGGTTGCTGTTGCCGCCATTCGATATGACGAGACTGGCCCTTCCTGAGCGGTCGTTCATGGGACACGAGGTGCGGGACTTTCAACCCATTTTTGCGACTCAGAGTGTCCCATGGCAAAATGCTGGCCATGATCCAACAATGCCGCCTGCGACCCGAAGACGTCGATTTGATGTTCAGCCTCATGTGTGTGATTCACCTCACGCTGGAGCATAGTACCCGGATCCAAATCTCTCTCGACACGTGCCCACGACGTCTCCAATGTTCCCCATACCAGCCTCCCTCGCAAAATCCCTCCAGCCCCAGTCCTTTTCCAGCCCAGTACCTCGTCTCACAAAGTCGTGCATATGCCTCGCCGGACCCTGCACAAATTCTGGATGATTCTGCTCCAGGTACAAGGCAATCGCCTGACCCTCCAGCACCGCCCGCCGCAATGGCCACCACTGCTTATACCTCGCCACCTTGGCATACCACATGCCTAGCAGCAGCAGAGCCTTCGGATCTCGCTGGCCAAGTGCTCGGCCAAAATCGCCCTCCACGTACGCGATGAACGTCAGGAAATGTAGAAACGTCCGCCTGGTGACCTCCAAGCTCATCAATTCTCCGATGACGCCAGCCGCGCGCTTGTACGGATGCATATCCCAGAGTTCCTTGAAGCCCTCCATGATGGGCGCCTCGCCAAGGGCAGAGGCCACCATGGCGACTTGTTCATCGGCGAGTGACGAGAAGCAGGAATCTGGCCGTAGCGGGTTCGCAACGCGCCAGACCTCTTTCTTGCCATCAGAGATCTTCAGCCAGTCGAGATCGAGTGGGCCCGGCGGTTTGAGCGGCCATACTTCTTGTGGAGTTTCGCCTTCGATGCAGAAGAAGGCAATGCACCCTAGCATCACGGCACTGCCCCAGAGGGCGTCGCGCTCGTCGCTATTCATTGGAGAGTGTAGCTGGCGGAGCTGCGTATTGAATATGACGGTCCTGGCGTGGTCAGTATGGCATGCACGACGCTCAAGATGCTGCTGTCATACCCCTGATACCAGTGGTAGGCCTCCGCTTCCGTCTGCTTACTTGGCTCCTCCAATCTGACATCCTCGAAGAAGCGATCTTGCATCAGCGTCAGTGTGAGCGTGAGGTGCATCAAGACACTGTGTTCCTTCGCCAGACGTGGTATTTCCCTTTGATAAAGAAATTGGCTTGAGGTAGAACCAATGGAGAAGACCGTGCGGTTCTTGAAACGCTCTAGAGTCTGCCAGTCGTCCGTGTCGAACTCGGCATCTTCTGTCGACTGAGATTCGCTTGTTGCTGGGTCAGGCGAAGTGACAAAGCTCAGCACTTGCTCGTTCAAGCTGGTGTTGACGGGAACATGGATGCTGAAAGTGCTCTCCATCGACGGCTCGAGCTCAGGCTTGCCATCATCTGCAAGGGATTTGCTGTCAGCGGGGATCCTGGCGATGTCTGGTCCATGAATATCCAGCATGGACTACCCTCAGCATGCCACCTGGGGGCATTATCTCCGGGCTAGCGGTGTGCTCCTCCTCAGGCTAGGAACGTACAGCTACATGACACCCCAAACGTCAGGCATCGCTTGCAAGTGGGCTTTCCTTCGTCACACTGACCTTATTAGTTTCGGCCGAAGATGGTGCATATGTAATTATCCTCACCTTGACGCGCCGGAGTTTACAGTTTCCACATCCCCTCCTCGATTTCGTATGGGGCTTTCGCTTGCGGATTGTTTTCGTGGTACCCACAGACTGTGTTCTCGTGACTGTCACGGAGGGCATGCTTATTCGGTTACTCGAAAAAAGATCTGGTATTCTGGCAGAAGGAACAGTACGAAAGAGGGTAAGGCGGGAAAGGACTGAGATGTAGTCGTCAGGGTGGGGACTTTCTGCGAGCCGTCTCCGTACAATCCCTGTCAGATGCTTACTCATCCACCTTGCGCCTGTCTTGGCCATTCGGAGAGCGGAGTCGCAGTAGAGTACATGTACACAGACTAAGGAGCTTCCGCTGGCGGTTCCGCTCGTGGACCCCACTGATTCCCTTTGGATCCTTGTGTACAAATCCAACGATTCTCCGCCCAGTCCTCATATCGATAGAGTGTGAGTACGAACCGCCTGATAGTGCTTCGAGAGCCAAGTACTCAAAACTGCACTACCTCGCTGTACCTACTCTACCTCATATGCTCATTGTGTCGATACGTTCACCCTTCTCTTCGACAGAGGACTTGATTTTTATGCTCGCCCTCACCCGGCTTGCTGATACGGTGAAATACCATACCGAACCATGACGGCCAGGAGCTCGATCTGTTGCCAAAACATTCTTGGCTTGTCTAGCACAATGAAACTGTCAAGACGTCGTGATGTCGACTAGCGGCTATCGGAGCTGCCAACTTGAGTGAAAGGGAGACTCAGCGGTGCTGCCTCGTAAGAGCCATCTGTAGACATGTCCGCTCACAGTTCATACCTCATTCTCTCGTTCAAAGGCGCTGCGGAAATCAAGTATCCAATAAATCTAGCATTACCGACAAGTCCAATCTACCACCAATATTAAGGCTCGAATTGCCGGGGTCTCACCATGAAAGAGATCGACACCCCCAACGTCACCCTAGGCAGCCTAGTCGTCCGTGTCCTCACCGTACACTGCGGACTCGACATCCCCTTCACACTCTCGAGCCAAAGCCCGTTCACCTGGCTCGCGCCATTCATTCCTGGCGGCGAGGTCGTCGGCCGTGTGCACGCTACAGGACCCGACACCACTTCCCTCTCCATTGGCCAACTCGTGCTTGTAGACTCCTCTGTTTGCGCCACTACGACCCGGACGTTCAGCTGCTTTGGGACATGTCTGACGGGCCCTCGCCATCCTCCAAGAAGTTCATGGCCGACAACCGGCCGACTGCTGGCTTCGCCGAATATGCGCAGGGTGCCACTCGAGAATGCGTGCGCGCTTCACGAAGACGTGCTGTGCCGTCAGATGGGACATTCGATTCTGGGGCTGGTCTATCAGCTTGTGCAGCTCATCACATACGGAGGCATGCGCGGCCTATGTTTACACGCCGGTGAGACAATCATTGTGGCACTCGCGACAGGCGCACGCTCTGGAGCAGGCGTGGGTGTGGCATTGGCGATGGGCGCCAAAGTCGTTACTACGGGCCGAAATGAGGAGGCACTGTGGAAGCTGCAGGCAAGGTTTCCTGGGGGCAGGGTGGGTGTGCGTGGCGCCCATGGTGGGTGACGTGAACCGAGACACGGCAATGCTCCAAAGCTTCGGCGTGGTCGATGCCTACCTGGACATTAGTCCGGTGCATGCGAATGAGAGCACGCATTTCACCAGCTGCTTCAACGCCTTGCATCCGTATCGAAGAGCCAGTCTGATGGGGGTGGTGAGCAACACCATCGCGGTCCCGTACATCACAGCGATGTTCAAGAATCTGACAATTCGCGGACAGTTCATGTATGACAGAGGGAGAGGATGTGCGAGGACCGATCAAATTGGCCGAAAGTCGTGTGTTGAAGCTGGGTAAGGAAGCTGGCTGTGAAGTTGTAGGAACTTTCAATCTAGACCAAGTTGAGAAGGCTTTTGAAAGCGCAGAGAAGAACAGGGGCGTGGGTAAGCTGGTTGTGCTTACGCCATGAGAAGTGTTAGTGGGTTGATAATGATCACCATGGTCTGAATACTGATACTAGGAGCTGGTATCCAACGAATGCTGTCATTTGTCGCTCAATAATCATTTCAAAAGCCTGGACTTGACACCACTGAAAGAGCTGTTTGGAGGTTGTGAAGCTGATCAGGGCAACTCATCCGCAAGTCACACCGCTCGCGGAATTGCCAGCACCTGCACCTGCACCAGCTGCGTTGTTTGCAGCTCCGTTGTTGGCAGCATTGCTCGTGCTACTCGCGCTACCAGCACCAGCACCGGCATCAGCAGCGGAGCATTGGTCTGAGGACGTCAATAAAGATCATGCCCAAGCTTGTGGAAGCCATACCTTTCTGAGCCTGACAATCGGCGACACTCAATGTCTGATCACCACCGTTCGCCAGGTTGGCACAACTGCTTTGAGTTAGAAATCAAAGAGAGCCAGAACCGGGCGCAAGTACCGATTGAATTGCTGGTCGCAAGAACGTTGCAGGGCAGCTCCAATATTCACAAAGGTGTCCTGACCGACTTGGAAGGGGCGATTGGCATTGCCAGAATCTTCAATTGGAGTAGCTGCTTCGCCGCCAAGTGCGCCGGTGAAAGGCTGCAAGTTGTTCTGGCGGCGGATGGGAGTCGAGAGGACGAGGAGAGGAAGGAGAGCGAGAATGATCCTGGTATGCATTGTGAGAGTTGCTGGAAAGTGACAAGACAGTGAACGGAGACAAGATTGAATAGAAGAGCGAAGGTCCAGCCTCGCGTAATGAGCGTGATGTAGGGAGAAGGTATCTGAATCGCTATCCGGAAAGGCACTCCATTTATACTGATGGTCAATGCAGACATCGAGGAGGCTTTGCCGCTCAGACCCAAGGCTGCGGCTCAGCAACGTTTGGCATGCCTGTCAAGATTTGAGCTTAGATCAATTCGAGAGCGAAAGGAACAGGTCGTGACGGGTTGGAGCTCGAAGCGAGCTAACTTGAGACGCCTGCAGTCTGAGCCCCAACAGCGAAGTTCGGTTTCCCGATTGCCGACGTGGAACACCAACTTAGTAATTAGATTAGATGCGTTAAGGAAACGCAGTGTTAGAAAGGAGACGCTGCTAGGCGATCTGAAACGTCGTCAGTGAACTGTAACGACTTTGCGCAGCACGATCCTGGTTGCGCAGGGTTCTTGGAGGAGCTTTTGCTTCGCGTAAGACGATATTAGCATAAGTTCGTCCAAAGACGCATTTCGAGATGAACTACGGCATCAATCCCCCACACGTCGGATTCGTCTTAGAATTAGCCAATTTGCTAGGTTCAGCAGGACGTGTCCCTCGGTTCGAAACGTCCTGCTGGGACACGGGGTTGCGGGTTTGAGCCATCGCTTCAACCACCACAACGTCGTCATAATTTTTCGAATCCAGGCTGTAGCCCGCGAGATTGCAGAATCGTTCCGCATGGCTAGACCATCGGCTTCAGAGGTGGGAGTCGTAACGCAGCGCGAAGTGCTCGGCATGAGCGATTCCGTAGTATGATATTTCCAAGCCAAATGCGCAGATGGCGACTTAGGTCGCAATTGCTAAACTAGAGTTACCAGTTCGTTGTGAGGAATCACAACGACAATGTCCCTAATACAGGAGAGTTTGCTGCGATGCTTCGTACGAGACCGCAGATAGACAAACAGCTCGATAATGCTCGAAGCATGATTGGACAAGCACCGGGTCTTGGCAACCGGGAGGGGGGCTTCTTATGCAAGTAGCTTACCTCAACAGACAGCGACTACGCGTTCCGAAACTGTGAAGCGAAAGTCATGTCAAGTGCTCACCTGATCAAGGATCTTGCAAAGTCTATCACGCAATACAGTTCTGATTTCATTCCATCGTCTCCAGGCTGCATGCTGACGATCTGTCCGCCGATGAGACCACCGCGTGTTAATCCTGTGATCAGATCAGCACTTTTCACATCGCAACGTCCTGCGAATCGTGGTTTGTCATTGCCCAGAGCAGAAGCGTTGTCGCGCGCAGCCACAAGGTCCTCGCACGCAAGCCATTTCCATACAGGACGAGCAGCGATGAGCCGACGTGTCCCGATAGAGTCACAGGCTGTTGACGCACCGCTGACATGCTCAGCAACGTTTCTTGTGCTCTCAATCACGGACTCTCCGGGTGCTGTCGACACGATTAAATCCACGCTGGCGGGGATTGACGGTCTGGCCAAGAATGTAGCTATACGGGACCTTAATGCATCCTTTGCTTGCACGACTGGCATAGGCAGCGATGCCTGGGATCGCGTCACTGGACTTCCCAGACCATCGGAGCTGCATAAGTTTCGAGAGGTGAAAGGAAAGCAGCATATAGCGGTGTCAACGCCAGGAGACTTACTGTTCCATATTCGTGCCGAGAGGAGAGATTTGTGCTTTGAATTTGAGCGACAGTTGATGGAGCAATTGGGCGATGCCGTGAAGATGGTAGACGAGACCGTTGGCTTCCGCTACTTCGATGTGAGAGATCTTCTCGGCTTCGTTGATGGCACAGCCAATCCAGTCGGACAAGCAGTGCCGAACTCGGTCGTCATTGCAGGGGAGGACGCCAACGCCATTGGGGGCAGCTATATCGTCGTCCAGAAATACCTCCACGATATCAAAGGCTGGAAAAATCTTCCAGTCGAGAAGCAAGAAGCCATTATTGGCCGGACAAAGCTGGAGAACGTTGAGCTAGACGATGCTCCCGATGATCAACAGAAGGCGCACAAGACGCTTGCCACCATCGAGGATGAGCAAGGCAATGAGCACGACATCTTGCGAGATAACATGCCATTTGGAAATCCTGCGAAAGGAGAGTTCGGCACGTACTTCATCGGGTACTCGCGCAAGCTCTGGGTGACAGAGAAGATGCTGGAGCGCATGTTCATTGGTGATCCGCCGGGTTTGCATGACAGAATCCTGGATTATTCGACTGCAGTGACCGGCACGACGTTCTTTGCACCCTCTGCGAGTATTCTTGCGAATCTGGATCCGAGTTAAGCATCGTCGTTGGACCTCAGGCTCCAGGGAGGTAGCATGAAGAGGCGCCCGTGGTCACATGCCTCGATACGCACAGTGGACACGCGCAAGATGGCAAGCCGACTTTCGCTGGAAGACGACTGAGGCTTTCGTCTTGCTGAGAATAGATGAGGGGGGAGTCATGATCACTCTCTGTTTACACACCAAAAAATTGTTCGGAGTTTCGTATTCCGTGGCCAAGGGTAGCTATCGATAAGACCAACGCATTGCGTCATTGCTTCAAGGCTTGTGACCGGGCAGACACGGCAGAAGCGTGGGATGAATGCAGTCCACACCTAGCCATCTACTTTACCCCGTTCTTGCAATCAAAACTACTTCTTCTGCTTCATACACCTCGTCACACGCTGACAAGTTATCCTCGCAACGGCTCATCCACCACGACTGCTCTTCCGCGCCAGCAACCGGACAAACCGAGCCAGGCAGCATTCATTCAACTTCTCCACTACCCCTCTACGCAACATGCCTCTCTACAACGTACGTGTTGTACTGCTCAATCGAAATAAGCTGATAAAAGCAGGTCACGCTCAAGGAGAACGCCTCCCCCGAGGAGCTCACCAAGGCTAAGGACAAGGCTAAGTCTGATGGTGGTGAGATCAAGCATGAGTTTACCCTCATCAAAGGCTTCACGTAAGTTGTTCGTTTCGATTACCCTGCGCCTCTGACATGTCCCAGGGTAGAGTTCCCAGAAGACAAGGTGGGCGTCCTCCAGACCAACGACCACATCCACGTCGAGCAAGATGGCGAGGTCAAGACCCAGTAAGCAATACGTTGATGATGGGATGCCTCGACGAGCAATGAATGACATCCGTGAGATATGCATGATGAATGGCGAGCATGGATGGCTGCGATGGGCATGGTTTCGGTAAATTTTGACCAGGCTACACGAGGTAGAAATATCAAAGCATGGGACGGTCAGGCAAATGCCATTAGCAACTCTTTCGTTGTTCTATCCGGTCTTCTATATGCAGATGACATGCTCTGGCTGCATGCCTGAAGTTAAAAATCTGTTGTCCTTCCGTTGTACGTCCACTCGCCTCCAGCACCCCATCGCAACGGCTCATTCTTCGGCCCACCAACTTCGCCTGTTTTTGGATTGACATCACCCTCAAATTCGGGCTTCGATCCCCTCCTCATATTGGGATGTAGCTCGTCGCCTTTGCCACGCGCTTCGATCTCCTTTTGCCACGCATCCTTGAAACCTTGACTCGTACTGGCATCCATGTCGCCATTTCGTGCATCTGCCAGCGCTTCGGCTCGAGCTTCGACTGTCTCCTGAGCTTGATCCGCTTCAGCGGGGGTAGAGTCCGGGGACTGGTTGATTTTGGGAGGGGTTCGAGCAGAAGAGAAAGCTCCGGTCGATTGTTTCTGCAGGTTTTCGAAGACTTCTTGATCCTCCTTTGGTAGCTTAGGAGGTGACGGCCCTGAGAATGGATCGGTGAAGTCAATCCGAAGGGAGTTGACAGAGGCAAAGGAGCGGCGGGTGAAGAGGTGTGCGCGTGGAGCTGAGGAGAGCCTCCTGAGGCCGGAGATTCGCAGAGACATGTTTGCTGGCAATCAAGAACTATCGACCAAAGCAACTAGGAGTACGAGAAGGAGGTGTGGTCAACAACGTCAATCGAGAAGGAGAGTCAAAATGTCTTTTGGATCCATCATGGTGACGAAACCGCGGTCGAAATGTTCAGCCTTGTCACCAAACTCAAGGCTGAATCACGCCAAGACATATTGGAATTGCGCGGCGGGGATGACCTCGACCACTTCTATTCCACGTTGACCGTCGTCCAGCTTCGACAAACTTCGGCAAACAATCTGCTCGCTCCGACATATCAGTTGGGAGGATACTGCCAATGGGGTCCTTCTTTGCAGACTTTCTAGGTCTTTACCCGAAGCTTCGCTTACCGCCAGTCCGGGCGGTGATCTTTACCACTGTTCACATGGAATGCTCTGAGCATGATATGGTTGATGCTGAGCACGTTTTTCAGAGTCTGGACCCGCATTCGACCGGCGCCATGCATGGAAATTGTACCAAGCTCTGTGAAGGCCCGTTTAGCGGCACCACCGAAACTTGCTCATGCCAAGGCTAGTGCCTCGACTCTGCATACCCACCCAATCATACCACTGGCATAACGAAGACAGCCTTGCTGCATGGCTTGCAAAGTCTTGGTCATTCAAAGCATAGGTGAGCCATGGACCACTTATACTTAGCCTTGTTCTCTCAGTAGTGTAGCATGTGTCTACCATCTTGGAAGCAGCGACCACCCCCAATATGAGGCTTCTTTCAATCTTCACTTTCGCATCTGCGGCCCTATGGGCGGCTGCTGAAGTCAAGCATGGTACCATTGGGTATGGCATCAACATGTACCATCCCTGGTGCTGCACGGCGTGTTCCGACGTACTCTCGAGCCTCTTCCTGAACTGCACCACGTTCGATGACATGTCACACGAAGGCCACGGGATGAAGAAGCGGATGGCGGGTATGGAAGGGCCTATGGGTACGACTTCGCCGGAATGCTATGCTAGCAGTGATGTGTGGCTCGAGACTTTTAGCTATTGTGTGAAGTCGCATTGCGACGCCGAAGGTGTATCTGAAGACAAGCAAGAGAAGTGCTGGCAGCTCAAAGCAGCTGGTGGTCTTGCAGTTCCAACCCTCAAAGAATCACAACCTCCAAATCCGCCAACAGAGGAGGTCGCCGACGATGCTGAGTGGCTAAATTCGACCATGCTGGCCAATGAAGCGTCTTGGACCTCTGACCGGGGCACCATCATGGAGTTTGAGAAATCAGAGCAGGATCATGTCATGTTCTCGTATGTCGCTCCGCCCGAGTCTGCAATATACTGACCAAACACAGTATCATCATAATGAGTCTCGCAGTCGGCATTCCTGTCTTGGCTGGACTATGGCTCATGGTCAGCGCTTCTCGTCAAAGCACACTCTTCCACAGCATCCGCTCCTACTTCTCGCTGCCAGCACTGTTTGGTTGGAGACACTCCCAGCCTCTACGCTGGGATATCGGCTATGTTCCCAATCGCGCATTGTCCTCTGTTCTCGCCGTCTACATCCTTCTGAACATCGTCTTCAACTGCGTACGCTTCCGAAGTGTCCAACCCAGCACATGGTTCGCCACCCGTGATGCAGAAATAGCAGCATACGTCGGTAATCGAGCCGGAGTCTTGTCATTTGCCAACATGGCACTTGCAATTCTGTTCAGCGCACGCAATAACCCGCTGTTGTACTTCAGTGGTTGGAGTCAGAACACCTTTCTAGCCCTCCATCGCTGGGCTGCTCGTATTGCTATCCTGCAAGCCATTGTCCACTCGATCATCTACACAGCCGACTACGCGCTGTATATGGACGAAAACACTCTCGCTGACGAAGCGAAGAAGCCTTATTGGTGGTGGGGCATCATTGGAACAACGGCCATGGGCTTAATGGCGGGCGCTTCGATATTGCCCCTTCGCAAGTGGGCTTATGAGGTTTTTCTGGTTGTTCACATCGTTCTTGCGATCGTCTCGCTTGTTGGCTGTTGGTACCACATTGACATTCGCTATGAAAAGAACTGGGGATACGAAGTTTGGTTATACCTGGCCTTTGCCTTCTGGGCCTATGACCGCCTCGTGCGTCTGGCAAAACTTGTTTTCTATAGCTTCCTTGGCGGCACCAGCCACGGCCAAGTCGAAGCCGTCCCGGGCACTGACAACATCATCAGCCTGAAGCTCTATCCTGCTCGGTGCTGGCGCGCAGTTCCAGGCCAGCATACATTCGTCTATTTCCCTTCCCTTGGCCGCTTCTGGGAAAATCATCCCTTTACCATCACCGGTTGGGGAATCGATCGATTGTCAGTGGGCTCATCCAACAGCAGCATCGTTGAGACTTCGTCCGCAGAAGAGAAGCACTCAGACAAAGGTACAACTGTCACGACCACGGCCATTCGTCAGCCTCTTCATATCGACAGCTTCTACGTTCGTTTCCTCTTTCGTGCGCATGGTGGCACCACAGCGAAGCTGTACAGGGCGCTTGCCAACCACTCACCACCGACTGTTCTTTCAGAAGGCCCGTATGGAGGGCATAGCCCCGTCACACGGAGTCTGCTCAAGCATGCTGAGCATGTGGTGATCATCACAGGCGGCATCGGCATTACATTTGCAGCGGCGTATGTACAGCAGTTTGCAGAGGAGCGGAAGCATGGGGCTATAGGCAAAGAAGTCGTGCCCAAGTGCCAACGGATGATGCTTGCATGGTCCGTCCGTGAACGCGGACTGCTGGAGTATGCCCGGCGGGAGCTGCTGCCAACCGCTACTGGTGCCGGAAGAGCGGAGGTGGAATATCGCTTTTGGGTTACAGGTGGGAGTCCGCACGCGGAGCCAAAAGCGAACAGCGGTGTGTTTGAAACCGACGGGCAGCGAATGGATATTGCGGCAACACTGGGATCGGCATTGGTCAAGAGGAAGAAAACGCTTGTGATGGTCTGCGGGCCTGGTAGTATGGCTGACGACGTTCGAAGGGAGGTCGTCCGGTGTTCGAAGCAGGGTTACGATGTTGAGCTATCGGAAGAGAGCTTCACATGGTGAGCTTTCAGGAAGTCAAGGTAAGTGTACGAAATGCCAGATCAAACTACAATTTTTCCGTCGGCTTGCTCTGCCAGATTTTGGGTGCTGTAGTCACGAACAAGCTCGAGCCCCGGGGTATCTACACATAGTGTCATCAATGCCACGAGTGCCACTCTTTATAGCTTCTGCTGAGGGCTACGGATGCGTGACTTCGAAACGCATGACGTGAGGGTAAGTGCCGAACTATACACGCGCCGCGCGGGGAAGCTACACAGCATGCCACACTTATACGATGGACTCTATCACCCACCTTCCTGCATGTCCCACACCGAGAAATGCATCCGTTCAAAGGTCGATACAATGCGCTGCGGGCGACACACTCTGTATGTCACCGGCACTTGGCCTCGAAATCATCTGCACTGTGATTCGGAGACGACCAGACTTGAGGCTCCTTTCCAGCTGTCGCCACACATCCCCGGGCAGAGGATCAGCAAGACCACCAACATTGGCATAAGACCAGACACGTGGGAACACAACTGCAGAACTCTGAGTCTCTGTCGCTTGCCTGCCATTGGACCAATCCGAAGCGTCTCGCTCCTAGATTACGTGGGGATTTAGTTTTCCAGAAAAGGTAGTATGTGGCGCAATCTGTGAATCGCTAAGATGTTAGCTGAACGCGTTCTCGATGCCATCCTGCCGCCTGCTTGTTACCGCATTACTGGCTGGAAGTCTTTTCGCCAATCGCAACGACTTTGGCTCTTGCTCACTGATCTCCCCCAGTCACTCGTGGAGGCGACCTGCACACCACTACGGTCGCTGGATACATACACACCTTCCAACTGAGCTGGCCTGATGGATTACTGCACGTTTGGGCTACGACTGCCAGGTGTGTGCCTGGCTGCGTTGCGCTACGTTCGTAGATCTCGGCGATCTCCTCCGTCCTAGGCCTTGCCTCAGAAACCGGTGGTCTGATATTGTGGCCCGCGTCTCGGACCATACAGTAGATTCGGTCGGCATCTCGGCTAGCGGATACAGTTCGCTCTCTACAGACGGTGCTACGCCAGCACCTGGATCAAACGAGAAGCGAAGCAAATACGACAAAGCAATCTGTGTCTTTCTGCGGCTTACCTCTCGAAACCGGGAGGATCCAGCTCCATCACAAGGCGACCCACAGAGTTGTGTGATTCGGTAATCGCCCGGAGCTCCGGAAAAGGTGCATACTCCCCGAGTGAAATGCGCTCACTCCAATGAACCGGCAAAAGAGACCTGTTGGCTGACCACCAGTAAGCAAACCCCCTGGAAAATCAAAACCTAGGAGAGGTGTGGTCTCGGGAAACTCAGTGTTCGCGTTGCTGCTAGATTACTTGGACTCGAAATTCCTGTCATGATTTGTATTACTCAACGAGTACGCGGTCACAGTTACAATAGCGATTTATTCGTGCCGTTCCGATCTGGGCTGCCGAGCTTTCAGGCCATGGGCGCAGCCCAAGTGTGCAGCTGCAGTTCAAGATTCCAGAACATGGACTAGAGACTGAATAGTTCAGATAGCCTGGCAGCAGCACCCTTGCGCTGAATCCACGCGCAACCCTTTGACCGTCGGTTGTAGCGGCATCCGACTGGAATCGTGACAAGGGCGAAATCTCCAGCATAAAGATCGTTGTGCACCCATCCTCCGAGCTCGCTTTACTGAATCAGGGATGCGCCACTTCGATGGAAGACGTCATCGCAATACTTGGTGGAGGTACATGGCGGGTTCATCCCACTACGAACTGCAGCGGGTGGGAAAGGCGGGCATTCGTTACGCCTCAAGATACCAGACCTGGTGTTAGTGGTCCGACCGAATGACGATCTTTTCAGTACTGCCCAGCTAAGCGGTAGCCAAGCACTGCCTACATTTCCGCTACCGGGCTTGGCTGTCAGACAAGCTTGTCCTCATTCGCCTTGACATGGCTCCTTGGTTGCATTATCTGCGGAGCATGTCTATCATCCCCAATATCTATGGAGTACCAGGGACTGGAGATAAGGGATGCTTTGGCAGGGCTATTCAATGAGGAGCCCCCGCAATGTTGACGCGCTGCCGAGCATATAATCCACGCGCCCAGATTTGAGGATAAACGTGTCTTTGCTTTCCGCTAAACAAAATCTTGATAGAGCTTCATTCTGCCTACCAGCGGCACATTCGATATGGCGACAGAGAAAGATCAGACGGCCTTTGCCGACTCGTCTCATGATGAGAAACATGCGCCTGAGATCTCACGCCCCGGATCAGTCGACGCAAGTGGTCGTCGCAAGTCCGTCGCTCTCAACGTCGTTGAGAATCCCCTCAAGGTGAGACTTTCCTCACTTCATATGACATAGCTGAGTATCCCCAGCGTGGCTCTCCTTTGGAGGTCGCTGCGACAGCCCGCGCATTCGCAGAAGCAAACGATATGGCCGAACACGCAAATCTGTTCGCACGTGCCGCGCTTGTTGCACGAAGCCCGGACAGATTCGAAATGGTGACCGAGCTTGATGAGCAGGAACGCGCTGCTCTCGCCTACGAGAGGGATCACAAATGGCACGGTCCCTTCATGCTTTGGTACTCGATCGCGCTCTGCGCCGTGGGAGCCGCTACGCAAGGTTGGGATCAGACTGGATCCAATGGCGCGAATTTGTCGTTCCCTCAAGAATTCGGTATTGATGGCGAAGGAAAAGACGAGTGGATTGTTGGTGTTGTGAACGCCATCATCTTCTTGACTGCTGGGCTCATGTGAGTTTACCAACGAATTGAGTGCATTTCTAACACTTGGTAGCGGCGCCTTCATCGTCGATCCGTTAAACCACTACTTTGGCCGAAGAGGCGAAATCTTCATCACTGCTTGCTGTCTCACTGCTACTCCCATCGGCTCTGCGTTTGCAAAGTCGTGGCAAGGGTTGTTTGCAGCAAGGTTTGTCATGGGAATTGGTACTGTCATGCGCATAGAGGTCAATGTAAGTTGCTGATGCGGTAACAGGTATTGGTGCTAAGAACGCCACTGTTCCAATCTACTCCGCCGAGATGGCACCAGCGAGAGTTCGTGGTGCTTTGGTAATGTTCTGGCAGCTTTGGGTGGTGGCTGGTAAGTATCATCCCGTCAGACGAGACGTTTGCTAATTGTCAGGGATCTTCCTGGGATTTGCGGCCAACGTCATCGTCAAAGACACTGGAGACATTTCCTGGCGTCTCCAGCTTGGCTCGGCTTTTATTCCCTCCTTCATTCTCGGTGTCGGCATCTTCTTCTGCCCCGAATCACCGCGATGGCTCATGAAGCACGGGAAACTTGCCAAAGGGTTTAGATCGATGCAACGTCTACGAGCTCATCCTATCATTGCTGCTAGAGACTTCTACTACTCGTGGGTCATCTACGAGGTGGAACTGCGCGAGGCGCGGGGTGCGGGCTATTTCGCTCGTTTGTGGGACTGCTTTGCCGTCCCTAGAATTCGTCGTTCCAACTATGGTGCATCGACCGTCATGCTTGCACAACAAATGTGTGGTATCAATAGTGAGTTATGCCCGTTTGCGACTTGCCGCGCTGACTGTTGAAGTCATCTCATTCTACAGTTCAACAATTTTCGAGGAAGTCGGCTACACATCTACCCAAGCTTTGTATGCATCCTTGGGCTATGGCGCAATTCAGGTTGTGGCTACAATACCCACCCTGTTCCTGATCGATACCAAGGGTCGAAGGACCCTGACTTTGGCTGTGAGCTGCCGACACGCCCTTTTTGACTAGATTACTGACCGTGTAGACCTTTCCCTTGATGTGTGTCTTTCTCTTGGCTGCCGGTCTTTCCCTTTTGAAGACTGATGGCAGTCGAGGTGAGCAGATTGGGCCCGTCGTTCTGTAAGGTTCTAGATCCTGTCAATACTGCACATACTGACAGACTAGCTTCATTTACCTCTTCACTATCGCCTACTCTTTGGGCGAGGGTCCAGTTGCTTTTCAATATTCTGCCGAGGTCTTCCCTACCATCCAGCGTGAGCAGGGTATGGCGTGGGCTGTGTGCATCAACAACACCTTCGGTAATGCGCCTCTAACATCTGATGATTCTGGCTAACGAAACATAGCTGGTGTCCTCAGTCTCACTTTCCCACGTATGAAGACGGTGATGACTCCAACAGGCGCCTGTAAGCTCTGTCAACCTCCACTGTTACTCACCTAGCTAACTTGGATACAGTCGGCTTTTATGCTGGCCTCAATCTTATCGCCTGGTGCATGATATTCTGCTTCGTTCGCGAGACCAAGCAGCTCACTCTGGAGGAAATTGATCGTCAGTTAATCGTCCCCAAATCAACCCACCCGCTAATTAGTCACAGAGGTATTCTCTGTGCCAACTAAGAGCTTCCTTTCGTACGAGACGAAGGTATGGCTGCCGTACTTCATCAAGCGTCACATCTTCCGTCAAAAGATCGAGAAGCCGCCGCCGATTATCGAGAAGGAGGAGAAGTTCGATGACGTGTACGATGCGTGAGCTCAGATGGGGTAACCGCTGCTAGATATCGCTCAAACGACGCCAGTACTACTCGGAGGGTTTTGAGACTGCAAGGGTATGCCGCATTTGCGTGCAGTGTTCTCATGCACGAGGCCTCCCGGAATGAGCTCTTGGTCGTACGCTGCATCTCCCTGATGCGCTATTTTTGAACCTTGCCCTCAGTAGGGCGAGTTGATACGTTGCCCGACGAGGCTAGAGAATTGACCTTTTAATAAGTCCCATCCGGGCTTTGCTGAGAATGTGAACTCGACTACTTCACCTCCACGAATGTCGGACCAGACTCCCTAGCGCTTGGCCCTGAGAGGATACCAACGATAGAGCTGTTCCTCCCGATCCAAGTCGTTCAGCCAAACACTCTGAACTCCTCCGGACTTGATTGCCGCGTTTCGATGGGCTTGGTATCTCCGCAAGACAAGGCTTCGTTTCACTAATCTTGGCGGTCCGACCCAATGATCTGGAGGCCCACCCAAATCCCAAACACCGTTGATCTCCTGTCGCCAATCAGGTGACTTAATGCTCTTCGATAGGATCATCACTGCGCCCAAGACCATGAACTCAACCGGCAGGGCTTCTACGACCACCCCATTTTGTGGTATGATCGACAGTTTTCCTCAATTCAGCCTGCTTTGTTCCTGGTGCCTCACCAGGGAATACCTGGGGACAGCTCTACACAGGAGCGAACGACCAGTGATGTTGTGTGACATGACCACGCTTTTAGCCGGGTTGGTCGATGACGAGGGTATTAGCAGCGAAGTATAAGTATGCCCTTTGTGTCCACGAAACGACAACTGCTTCATCATCACGCTTTTGCTTCAATATGCACTTCACAGCAGCCCTCTCTGCTGCCTTATTGGCCATCAGCGGCGCAATAGCCAGCCCTGTTGCCGAGTTAGCTGTCCGGCAGGGAGGCACACCTAGCTCCACCGGTACCCATAATGGCTTCTACTACTCATTCTGGACCGACGGTCAAGCTGCGGTGACCTACACCAACGGCGATGGCGGTTCGTACAGCGTCGAATGGTCTGGAAACCAGGGCAACTGGGTTGGTGGAAAGGGTTGGAGCACTGGAGGCCCTCGGTAAGCTCACCACGCGTTGACGCTATGCGCTCCTGCTGATCTTTATAGCAATATCGAATACTCTGGCGAATACAACCCAAATGGCAACAGCTACCTCGCCATCTACGGCTGGACTCGCAGCCCTCTGATTGAGTACTACATCGTTGAGTCCTTTGGCACCTATGACCCATCCAGCGGCGGCGAGTTCAAGGGTACTGTGGAGTCTGACGGTGGCACCTACAACATTTACACCAGTACTCGCGTCAATGCTCCATCTATCGATGGAACTCAGACATTCACCCAGTACTGGTCTGTGCGCACTCAGCACCGCGTGGGTGGAACCGTCACTAGTAGCAACCACTTTGATGCCTGGGCCTCGCATGGTATGCCTATGGGTAACCACGACTACATGATTGTCGCGACCGAGGGTTACCAGAGCAGCGGTTCTGCGAGTATCACTGTTGCCGGACCATGAGCGTTGTCTAGCCCCGTCGCATCTTGCATTATCCAATCCTGTCGTGGACGGCTTACTTGAGAGGGACAAGTCTTCCGCGGCGACAACAAGAATGAATAAATGATACCATGACGACAGTGCTATTTACCTTCAACCATGTTCTTGACTTCCTGTACAACCGCTCCCGGTGCTTCTACTGGCAGAAGATGCCCAGACCCCTCCACCATCTGCACTTCCACATCGAAGCCTTGCATCCGGAGTATCTCCAGTGTTTCGGTCTTCACCCGCTCCACTGGCTCCACGAGATCGTTACTGCCCACGAGGATACGTACCTTGGGTTTAGTTCTCAGGGCAGCTAAAGTGTCCAAGCAGGACCACTGCATTCCACGCTCGATCCAACCTCTTTTCGCACCTGGGCTCATATTGAAACAGTTTTCCGCCAGTGTCCTGTACTGCTCGGCATTAAGCTTACCAGTGGTAAGGACGTTGCGCAGCACCCATTCCGCACTCTCACGACTCTGATATGCCGTTAGTTGTTGCTCTCGCATGTCAGATGACAGCTCGAAAGGTCCTGGTGGCGCAGGAGCAAGGAATACGATGCCCTCTATACCAAAGCGAGCATTTGATATCTCGAGTTTCCGCAAGAGCTGCACGGTAACTTTTGCTGACATGCTGTGTGCGCAGATGACAAGTCTCTTGGACGGAATGAGCTCTTGAATTTGATCAGCCTGCATTAGCTTCACTACATCGTTCGCCAAGGCAGGTACGCTGTGCTGATCAGGGCTGTCTGGGTCGGGCGGCGCGGAGCCTCCTGTGCCACGGTATGATACCGCAAGCGAGATACTGCTCGGCAATTCCGAGGCCATAGTGGCCAGTACAGGCCGGTACGTTGATGCTGAACCGCCCCAGAAAGGAAGCATGAGTATTGTTGGCATTTCAGTGGAAGTACCTGGCGGCTTTTGGTACAGGAGTTCAAGATGTGTAGGGCCTGCGGCGCTTTCGCTGGCGGTCGGCTCCAGACGTACACGCATCGACTTGACTTCTGCATCCATCTTTGCTGGTCTCCGGTGTCTTGACTGCAGCAATGTGAACTCTTTTTGAAACCCCCTTCAATAAACACTGCAGCGCTTATGTGGCACGTTGGCCGGCAGCACTACCATCCGACCCTGACCAATAGAGCTCTGTTACCAGAACTGGAATATTGCCGAATCTGGACATACGCGGAAGTGTTCCGACAGACCGTGGCCCTTGAGGACTGATATGGCAAGATTAAACACAATAACTGCGTTGCAGACCCAGTGTCCCAAGCGGACCTGTGATGTGCACTTCAGACAGATAGCAAACGTGCTTCATGCTCAGTCTGCCGAGGGCTCGCATGCTCTCGCAGAACCTATTCCTCACTCATGCGAATTCGGGCTTCGGTGACAGAAGGACTCAGCATCGACCAAGGCAAAGGGTGCCTGTAGAGCATAAGGTACAAGCCATAGGCTCCCAGTTATTCGTATATAATGGCCTATACGGACTACTTTTCGCTTTACTATTATGGAAGTCGAACCAGAAAACAATGGCCAACCTTGACTCCGCCGAAGAGTGAAACATGATTGCGAACGATGTGGCACGTGTACGAACCGGAGCACACAGCGTTCCGTGCGCTTCTGCGCACCAAGGAGTGAGCGGCTGCTGCTCAGTCAGCTGGAGCCAGCAATTAGGATGGAATCATCAAACAATGCCGAGATCGACTCGGCTGGAAATATCTGATCGAGCCGAGCGGAGTTCGGAAGCCAGGTACAGCCCACCGGCGCCAATCATGAGACGAAGCTTGATAAGCTTGATTCCACATCGTCATCGACTTTTTTGCCTCTTTCCACACTCGTATCGTTCTTTCGCCGAACCCCCACCACCGTTGCGACCCGTTCGACACGATCACTTGTTGTATCCTACAGAGTCGTCGCTGTCACCGGCAGCAAATATCGATGGCTTGGCACAGGTCGCGCCGAATTTTTGACATGACGTTCTTCAAACTTAGCCGGCTGCCCCGATGGCCGAACTACCTCTATTTGTATCGACGTCGTACTTGTTTTTGCGCTCAACTCTGCGAGCATTCTCAGCCAACTCTTAGCCATCATGTCAGGCTTCTTCATTGATACCACTGCCGGCCAGATCGTTCGCCTTGTCAGCGGCAGCAGGTTTCTGAAGTATGCTGAAGAGCGTGATCCTTCGCTCATCGAGAAATATATCAACCCTGAGAAGTCGGGCAATCTAGCACGGACTGGCACTACGCGCAGTGACCGGGCACCTTCGACCGAGAAAGACGTCAATCCTGAAAGCGACTCTCCCAGCAGTTCGAGTTCAACTCTCCACGACCCCAACGCGCTGGTCAATGTTCCTAGCGGGCGACCAGTAGATCCAGAACGGGGCCGAGACGGTCATGTAGTTGACTGGTATGGACCTGATGACCTAGACGTAAGAGAGCTCTGCCATGATCTGGTTGTCGCTAACGCCAACAGAATCCCATGAACTGGTCTCGACCAAGAAAGTTCTACGCAACCTTCTGCATTTGCTTCCTTACCTTCTCCGTCTACATCGGTTCAGCAATATATTCAGCCGGCATCATGGATGTTGTGCGCGTTTTCGGTGTCAGTCAAGTTGCAGCGACACTTGGACTGACACTGTTTGTGCTCGGTTACGCGACAGGCCCTATGCTTTGGTCGCCGATGTCAGAAATTCCACAAATTGGTCGCAATCCTATCTACATGACTACACTAGCACTATTCGTTGTACTGCAAGTGCCAACGGCATTGGCGACAAATTTTGGCATGTTGCTCGCCTTTCGATTCATCACTGGCTTTATCGGAAGTCCATCACTGGCCACGGGCGGTGCCTCCATCGCTGACATGTACTCGCCTGCTAAGCGCACCTACGGTATTGCAGTTTGGGGCATTGGAGCTGTCCTTGGTCCTACTATGGGTCCGCTAGTTGGTGGCTTTGCCGCAGAGGCAAAAGGCTGGACTTGGACCATTTGGGAGTTGATGTGGCTGTCCGGGTTCTGTCTCGTTCTTCTATTTTTCACCATGCCAGAGACATCCAGCGCCAACATCCTCTATCGTCGCACTCGCCGACTCCGCAAACTTACCGGTAACGACAAACTCATCTGCGAGCCCGAACTTGTCGGTGAGACAATGACAAGGGGCGAAATTATCAAGATGGTCCTTGTACGACCATTCACACTAGGGTTCTTGGAACCAATCTGTTTCGCACTCAACATGTACATTGCCCTCATCTACGGGCTGCTTTACATCTGGTTCGAGTCTTTCCCCATTGTCTTTGTCGAGATCTACGGCTTCTCGCTTGGAACCGAAGGTCTTGCATTCCTCGGCATCCTGGTCGGTGTTTTTGTGGTGCTGCCGCCATTTCTATGGTACTTCCACAAATACACAGAGCCCAAGTTCGACGAAAACGGTGAGCTGCAGCCCGAGTGGCGCCTACCGCCTGCCTTTGTTGGAGCTTTCGCAATTCCGATTTGTCTCTTCTGGTTCGGGTGGTCCGCGCGCGAGACGGTTCACTGGATCGTGCCCATCATCGGCACAGCGTGGTTCTCCATAGGCGCCTTCTTACTCTTCAATTCGGTGTTGAACTATCTCGGTGATGCTTATCCGGCCTATGCTGCCAGTGTTCTGGCTGGCAACGACCTCGTCCGATCTTCTTTCGGTGCTGGATTCCCGCTGTTCGCAACAGCCATGTACAACAAACTTGGTGTTGATTGGGCCAGCTCTCTTCTTGGCTTCCTCTCAATTGCTTTCATCCCGATCCCATTCCTCTTATTCAAATACGGCTCAGCGTTGCGCAAACGGAGTAAGAATGCTCGTCAGGACTTTTAGACTCGATCAATACTTGGACCTCTGCAAACGAAAGTAGAATGTTCAACGGGGAGTTCTAGAAGCAAGGCCATGTGGCTGCACTACTGTGGTTAATGGATTTAGGAGTTACATACACTTATATTTAATGTATAGAATTAGAGCCAGACTGGGGTTGCGTACTCGTAACCGTTGACGTTCTGATGTTCTCCTCACTTCATCCCTACCCTCCAGCATTGTGGAGTTCAAATGATCGTGTCCTTCATCGTCTCTTCTCCCATACTGTGCGGTATTCACACTCGCGATAGCAAGTCCATCGCTGCTTTGCCCATGAGCTTCCTACACAACACTCGATCCACCCAAACCTTTCTTCTCCGTTTCTGCTGCCGCATCAACTGGTGCAGCTCCCACCTCCCTGTGGCTTACCACGCTAACTCTCTTCTGAGGATCCACATGTCCGGCCTCCATCTCTCTTACGCTCTGGAACTGTACTTTGGTGTTCCAAGCCTTCTCGCCTGCCAAGAACATGCTTTCGACTTCTTCGAGGGTCTTGCCGCTCGTCTCTGGAAAGCAGAAAAAGGCGTGCACGGTCATGGCGAAATTGAACACCCCAAACAGGATGTATGTCTTCCACTTGATGTTCTCGAAGCTTGGAGGCACGAAGTAAGAAAGTGAAAAGTTGAAGATCCAGTTGCTGGCCGTTGTGACAGCGACAGCTTTGCCCCGTAGTCGCAGTGGAAACAGTTCTGGAGGGTAGATCCAGGATACTGGTCCCCAAGTCGGGGCATAGGAGGCAACAAAGAGGTACGTGCAGGCAATGACGGCGCGAGCTGCGGCTTTGTTCGTACTCAAGTCCCACGATTCTTCGGGCACGTTGTTGACGCCACCTGGTGGTGCTGGTCGGCCGTAGGAGGCCATAAGACCTGCGTTAGCAAACATCCAGGTCATCATCAACGTAGATCCGATAAGCAGGGGCAGCCGGCGGCCCCAACGGTCAATAAAGATGAGGGCGAAAATGGTCATGAAGACGTTGATGACGTATTGAATGGAGGAAGCGATGAGGTTGGCGTTGCCAGACAGGCCTGCCATACCAAAGACGTACGTTATGTACAGCATCATGACGTTCATACCTAATAAAGTCAGCAAGCACTATGCTGTGAACATCATTTAGACGTACCCGTGAGCTGAGACCAGATCTGAGTGAACATGCCGATATGTGTGCGATTGATCATCTTCGGTTTGAACAGCTCAAGGTAAGATGCATTTGAGTTCTGACGCTCGAACTCGCACATGTCTTTGATGTCCTGAAGCTCGGCTTGGACAAAGGGAGCATTTCGATCGCCCTTGGCGTGCACACGAGCCAGGACATCATGTGCTTCCTCCCACCGATCTTGCTTGGCCAGCCAACGAGGGCTCTCCGGAAGGCAGAACAGTGCAAAGAAGAGGCCAATAGCGGGAAGCATCTGCAGTGCCCATGGGACGCGCCAGGCGGCGTTGCCATCCAGATAGCTGCAGCCGTAGGAGATGTAGAACATGATCATAATCTGAGGGTGTCAGCGTTGTCATGAGGATGGGTAGAGAAACATACACCCCAAGTGATGGCCCACTGCTGCGCACCGACCACTCGACCACGTTTGCTGGGTTGAGCGAGTTCGGAGACGTAAACAGGCACTTGAGCGCTGCAGATACCAACTGCGAAGCCATTGATGAATCTGCCGGCGACGAGTTGACCGATGCTATAGGTCGCACAGACTATGATGCTGCCAATGCACCAGATCACAGCGCCAGATTGGATGGCACGTTTCCGGCCAAGCCAATCCGTCAAGATACCGGAAGCGAGGGCACCGACGAATGAGCCACCAGGCATTGCAGCTGAGATGCCACCCTGAGTCGATGAAGAGGGACCAGCACACTTGCCATCCACAACACCACCCTCGTTGAAGAAGCATTTGTACTGCTGAGTACCGAGGCTACAAAGGTGAGTACAATCCATAATGTTCAGCGGCAGAACTTACATTGCACTCATAGAAGCAATATCGAAACCGAAAAGTGCGCCTCCGATCACGGCAATTGCCGTGATGAAGTAGATGTTGCTGATCAAGAGCCCCATCTTGACGCTTCAGGCGTGACTCTGGACATGAGGAAGAGTGACAGAAAATTGAGGGGGGCGCAGAGGTATTTCTGCTTGGAGCGTGGTCAGTCGGCCGTGTTCATTCGGTAGGCTTTCGTCTGCAGACAGGCTCCGGAGATGCATCAGGGGCCGCTGTGGGGTTCCAAGGGGATTTTCGATGTGACAGTAAAAATCATGCCTGGAGAATGTGGAATTCGTATTGGTTAGACGTTTGCACAGAATGTCGCCGCGTCGTTGCATGTAGTTCCAAAACAGGCCACGGACGCGACGATCTCGGATATGACGGCGAGAAGGGGACATCCTACAGTACATTAACAGGCGCGTTCAGCACCACTATATCATGAACCTTGGACTTTCTGGGCGTCGAATGTTGGCATTGGCGAAGCGAGTGCGTGTATTGCCATACAAAATGCTGAAGTTGCTGCGGTGTGGGAGCGCCAGGTCAAGGCACAGAGGCAAGGCTCAACGTGACAGCCTTTTGCTTCTGGAGCCGGAGGCCACGTTGGGCACCTCGTGGGCCCCCGCATGTGGCTCCTCATTTACGTTGCAACCCCATTCTCTCGAGAGCAACAGTGGATCCAGGATTTGCCGGACTGTACTAGCAGGCCTCGATTGGAACTTTCATTGACTCACAACGTTCACATAACGGCGTGAATCGCCGCGTGATCTCGCCATGCCTGCCATTCAGCGGTCCCGTTGCAACTCTCAAAGTTCTTCGTGCTAATCTCGAAGAAAAGATTGACTGTTGATCTTTATATTTTCAAGCATTGCTAAGCTTTTCGGCCCCGAGGCTTGCCATGTTCGACTCAGGCTTCCATGCGTAACAAGTGTCCTTACTTAATGTGACCCAGCAGTGCGACCGCACGGAGCGCGGAGTATGTCTGTATTCTGTCAAGCGTGCTGTAGCTATAAGGTCGTATAGTAGTCAAAATTGCGCTAAAGGCTACTCGAGACTACCCCCAACTGTGGATAAGGTGAGACTTTGGCACTTGGGTTGGCCAAAAGTGTGTTCTTGGGTGTATACGGCGGACGAGAACCAAACGCGTGCGTTTATCGTAGTGACTCGAGCCCAGCAAGTAAACTGTAGCTCTGGTGCCGGTGAGTAGTACTAGTTTCATTCTCTAGGGTCTAGTGCCTCAGGCGTCTATGAATTATTTATCTTAGTGAAGGCTCGTCAACGTAGCATCTGTGAGTTGGCAGTGTTCTGCGTCTTGTGGGTTCTGGAGCACATCCTCTGCCGTCATCTGGGAGCCCCGTAAGCGCTTTCGAAGAAGCGCACGAATGACTTCGCTGCATCGTCCCCGAACAACATTTCTCCATTGCTTGCTGTCTCCTCGGCCTTCTCCTTAGCTCGAGCAACCATGTCGTTCTCAAAGCGTTCCAGCTGTGGCCTTAGGGCGACTTGAAATGAGTCAGAGGTATCAGCGCGTTTGAAAGCATCAATGATGACCCGTGACAATTCCAATGAGTCCCACATTGCAAGATTGACACCTTCGCCCGCCCACGGACACATCAGGTGAGCGGCATCTCCGACGAGCGTGACTCCAGACCGGTTGGTCCACCTATGGTCAACGGGTAGTGAGTACATTGGCTTGATATCGACTGTTCCTCCTGGATTGTCGGTAGCCTCCTCAGCGCAGGCTGTGGAGACGAGACCTTTTATTTTGGGGCCCCATTTTCCTAGCAGGCAATCATCATCCAGAAGTTTTTCTTTAGCGTATCGAACATCCTGTCCCTCGAGCCCGGATGTGGAGAGGAAATCGTGAGGAGTGCTCAAAAAGCAATAGATCCTTGCAGAGTCTTGCGGTCCACGTTGCGACATAACCCCATGGTTCATGCCTAAGGCCGAGAAGCTCCCAGGTCCCACGAGTTTGGCAACCTGCGGATACTTTGTAGTGACATTGCGGATCGTGAGAGTTATATTGTGAACGCCGGCGTACGAAGGTCGAACGTCGGTAACGAGACTGCGAATACGTGACCAAGCCCCGTCGGCGCCGACCACTAAGTCAAAGGAGTGTCTGCCGCCGTCACCAAAGTCAAGCTCTGTACGGCCACCTGAGACGCTCGCACCGCGGACTTTGTAGCCCCATCGAAGGCTCTCGGATGGGAGGTTCGAAATCAAGAGCTTGGTGAGTGCGTGGCGTGAGATCTCAGGGCGCTCGCTGAGCTCTCCCTCGTCCGCATAGATGATATTGCCTTGCATGTCAGACACTCGCTGCGCCTCTGAGCATTCGCCGGTGAGCTCCAGGAACTCATCATAGAGCCCGCACTCTCGTAAGGCAGCTTGACCGGATTCATCATGCAGATCAAGAACTCCACAGGGCTTGTCAAGCTCTTCTTGAGTAGGCCTTTGGCGAAGTTCGAAGATGGTGAATGGAACGCTGCGCTTGTAAAGCAGAAGGCCAAGGGTTAGTCCGGCAGGACCGCCCCCAACAATAGCGATCATGGGCTGTGATGGGAACATATGGTTTTGTTGATTCCCAATATTTCAAGCGTTGTTCTCGAGTGTATTTATGTTCGGCAGGCTGAGGGTTTCGGGGAACAGAACAGTCCGAGACGGGCCCGCCAGACCACGTTGTGGTGCGCGGGTTCGGGCGCCGATTTGACCACTTAAAAAGCCACCAAAGGCTGAAAGTAGGGGCTAGTAGCATAAGCTCATCGCTCCCGGAGCCAAGCACACCGGCTAGGCATTAGGCTCACATTAGGGCTTCGATGGCTTGCTAATCCCTGCGCTGTTGGTTATTCACGCCTGCTGAGTGATGGAGCTTCCAAATGCCTTCACGACGACGCCTTGCTAGCATGCTAGATGACAAGCATCTGATCTGACAACGAGAATGAAAAGAGATCGCTCTTGGAGATGGGTTCAGGCTTGAGGCAGCGGACCATGCGGGTTCTCAGTTCGCATACTCCTCAATCGAGTTCTCCTCTCGAGCTTGGGTCACGACACTTGCCAAGGATCATCGCAGATTGGGTGGTCGCAGTTGAGACCCCCGAGACGATATCATGGAAAACCAGGTCCACCAGAATGACGACGAAGACCATAGCGGCTTGAGCATCCAGAGTCAGTTCAGCACAACATCAGCTAGCCCTGAGTGGACCCCTACCATCATTTCCTAGCTTACGCAGTGTTGTGGGCAACAACCGCAGAGCTCATTCCTTCTGCGGTTCGCCGGTCCCACACGCGCGTCTGCTATGTCCCAGTAGGCCGACCGTCGGGCCGTACCCCGCGCATAGTCAAGCCAGGCGTGACTCCTTGATGGGTCGGCTGTGCTGAGACCGCAATTCGTGCAATGGAGGCCTTAGCCTTTGCCAATCTTCCATTTGACTTGGCCACTCAAGCTGACGCCCAGCATTTGTCGTGGCATAAGCTCGATCAACCAAATGATAATACCATGTCGGAGAAGTCCTGCCGTACTCGCAGCGCCACAACCGACCCGATCCAGCCCAGCCATTGCCATGGCCCGAGGTGTGCTTGTCACGAAGGAGGGCGCGTCGTGACTGGATTTCGTGGCCACCGAGAACACCCTGAGATGCATAATCTCAATGTCATGGCCTTCTACAATCATCTCTGTCCGGAGAGCTTCGCTGAACGATCGAACGAATCCTTTTGTCCCACAGTAGGGCTCAAGATAGGCGCTCGGCCATGAATCAACCACGGACCCAACATTGATGATCAGACCTGGCCGGGAGAGTCCTGGCAGTAGCTGTCGAGTCAAGACCGCCCCAAAGGTCGCATTGATTGTCACCACATCGGCAACCTCTTCAGCAGTTCGATCTAGAAATCGGAGCCACAGTTGATCGCTGGTGCCTGCTCCAATATTGTTGACGAGAACGGCCAACTTCGGAAGTTTCAGCTTCAAAATCTGCTTTGTTGTTGCCAGCCTTGCATCGAGAAGGAGCGTTTGGAAATGGCGTGAGGGATACTGCTGTTCGAGCTGAGCTTTGATCCATTTCAATTTTTCCGAATTACCGCCATGAATCACAACATTGAAACCCCGTTGGGCTAGTTCCTGCACAAAAGCTAAGCCAATACCTAAAGTGGTCAGCGTCGTGCTAGAGCGGCGAAGTGCTTACCATCCGACGCTCCTGTCACCAGCGCCCAAGCCTCTCCGTTTCCAAGGTAGCGCTTCAAGGTCGATGGTCTCGCATATGGTCGTAGAAAGCATACGAAGCGAAGTGTGAGAACAAGCAGCGTTGCTGCACCAAAAGAAGATAAGAGAGACGCTGCCATTGCGAGAGCTTGACAAGTGGAAAGCTCATGCGCACAAGAAGCTCGGAGATCTTTGAGGAGCGTAAGTATCCCGCCAAGTCGACCTCGGTACTGACAAAGTTAGAAGTCTTGCAAGAGCTACAGCGAGAACACCGGCTCCTGGCCCTGAAATGATCTTGCCTGTCTCATGGTCTAGGCAGCAGAGGCCCGCCAATCCCGCTCCGCAATGCCAAGGTATTCACCGCATGGAGGAGATCGCCCCGTCTAACTTGGGGAAAGCCGTCAATGTCGTGGTCAAGCCTTTACCACTAGGCGCTCATGTAACAGTAGAAACGGCATTGCAACATCGTGCTTTGAATTTATGATCTTGATATAGAATTATTAGTCTCTATTACGTGGCATTGAACCTGCATCTCATAGCTTTTCACCTAGAACAACACTATCGATAACCGCTCACTCATCCATGTCAGAACCGCGAGAGAAGTAATTGCACCTCACGGCTTTCATACGGCCCGTAAGTAAGCTCGCAAATTGGAGGCTGGCGGTATTCCGGGGCAGTCGCGGATGCCAACGTCAACTTCAGTCACTTCGAAACGTTCATACAGAAGCTGGAAGATGCTAAAGTCGATATTTTCTCCAAGGGGGTTCACCTGACTGTTTGAACATGCCGGAGGAGGCGCTGCAGCGCAATGATGCTGTCTCCTGATTTGAGCCCTTTGCCTTGCTGTCGGCACCGTCGCAGGTGGCTGAGCGAATCGGACTTGCAGCCACTGCTTCGGCCACTTATGACGAGCCGTACCGCGTGGCTCGTCGCTTTGCTTCAATGTTTCACCTCAGCAATGGCAGAGCGGCATGGAAAATTTTACCCACTGGAAGCTTAGTCATGTGAGGGAATAGGCTCATCTCTGCATAGCCGACGTGGCGACGTGTCTGGGACGGGAAAATCTAGCGCCGAAATCTGTGCGGGTAAGGCGGAGCCGTTGCGGAGCTTGTCCGCTGGCGGTACTCGAAGCCCGCAATTCGCTCACAGTCTTTTCATATCCCGCTTGTCTCTCCCTCACTCCGTAACTCGCGAGAACAATTCACGATCATGGCTGGAGACAACAAATATGCATGCCAGCTATGCCGGTCTTCAAAGAGGCGTTGCGACAGGCAGCGTCCGCGATGCTCCCGCTGTTCCAGGTGCGCCAGGCTAAGTTGACTTGCCGGTGGTCGACAAAATTGACGAGAAAGCTCCCCGAATACACAGCGAAGCACCTGAGGGCCTCTGCCGTGATCTTGGGGGGCTTTGCCGTCCCTTGTGTCGCACCCTTGTGCTTCACTCTTGCTGACACCCAATCAGGAAAAATCTTGAATGCACATACTCCTCAAAGGCGGCGGCAGGAGTTGCTGAACAGACCGCACTTCTACATTCCCTCCCTAAGCAGCAGCAAAGCAGAACATCAGATGTTGTTACGACGTTCTTCCTAGACTTTGATTTCTTCAAAGGTTCTGGGTTGGACATGCAGCTCGTGCCACATCCTCTCAATCTTGACTCCGACAAGCTTCTGGACGATGGTCCTTCAATTCATATGATTGCGAGTACCTTCTTTGACAGGGTACATCAATGGATGCCATTGTTGTCCCGTCGTCGGTTCTATCAACACCTATCCAATCCTTTCGCTGGAAGGTCCACAGATTTCAATCTAGTCTTACTTGCGATGAAACTGGTCGAGTCTGAATACACATCGGCCAACTCAAGGCTCTATGATGCACTAAGGAATTCTCTAACGGATGTCGCTTCTCGCGGCCACCTCACGCTTTATACCCTTCAGGCAAGCATACTAGTTGCTTGGTTCGAGTATGGGCATGCTATTTACCCATCTGCATACTTCTCCGTTGGCTTCTCTGCCCGTCTCGCAACCGTTCTAGGAGTGGAGAAAAGTATTGATGTCGAGAACGGGCCTTGGGCAGATATCGAAGAGGCACGCAGATGTTGGTGGTCGATCTTGTTACTCGATCGGTAGGGCACCACAAAAGAACACTCCAAGGACGTTCCGTTGACCAGGACGATAGCCTGATTGCCCTAGGCTGCAGCGGGGGAGCTACCGTTACATCCACTCCTGCTCTCTCGAGCATTCTACCCTGTGATGATCAAAACTGGGACGAAGAGGTGAGCGGCTGCAATTTTTAGTACACGTATGCTAACGTTCACAGACTTCGTCCCAGCAGCTTAGGCCAACTTTCCGGCTTGGGGCTGCATCCACGCTACAGCTGGGAAGATTTGGGCGACTTGCTCAATGTACACGTCTCCTAGACCAAACAATCAGCATTCTGACGTCTAATACTACGACAACCGATGGCATACAGGAGCAAGCCACGCAGTTGAGGCGCACTATCATAGCACTATGTCATCTATATAAGTTGGAGGCAACTGAAAGGCGTCTTGAGTACTGTGCTCAGTCCGCCGTATGCTTCAGGTATGGTATCTTCTTCGTGTTCGTGAGTCTGGCTAATCTAGCAGTGCCATTCTCATGCTAAGCAAGCAAGAATACTGCGAAACCACACAAAATTCCCGCAACACGACGTCGAATCCTTGTCCTGAGGCTCATGATGCTGTTACCTCTATTCAGGAGATACTCCCAAGGATAACGGGCATACATGTTGAAAGAGTGTCACCCTTATTGGTCCATGCAATCTATAAATGTGCAGTGGAACAAATTGATTACCGAGAGTTGCCTCCAGCGATAAAACATCCGAACCTCTTTGAAGGGTTGAAAGGGGGCCTCCAGAGTCTGGCTCATCGATGGCAATCGGCGGCCGCCTATCTGGAAATCGTACGCGCCAGTGAAAGGAGTATTCCTCCATAAGCATTTGTGCATGCCTTAACGAAGCCTAGACTAGGTAGACTTTTGGAGTATCAGTTGCAGGCAAAGCCCAGCTATAGCCCCAGCTAAATGTCTATTACAATTTGTTCGATGGCTGCTGACCAATAGATACAAGCCATTCCTTGGTTGTCAGAACTTCCTCGAAAAGTGTCGGCCACACGATCTCCCCCGCTTCTTTGAGCTTGTTGCTGAAACTAGCTGTGGTGTCTTTCAAAAACGTAACCCTGTAGCCCTTCTCCGTTGCATCACGAGCTGTGGCTTCCAGACAGGTATTCGCTACCATGCCTGCCATGACTAGATGCGTTATCTCTCGTTGGCGTAGCTGGTAGTCCAGATCCGTGTTGACGAAAGAGCTGGAGTTCCAGTGTCGGCTAACCACCACGTCACCATTGGTGAGCTCTGGTTCAAGTCCGTCGAAAATCTCGCCTCCCCAACCTGCGAACACATGCTTGTCCTTACCACGGACGTGTACGTCCCTCATATGTCGCCAGCCATCATAGTTGCCCTCCCGAAATTGTTGGTGAAGTCCATAGTATATTGGAACTCCCGCTGCACGAGCGCCGGCCACTGCCTCGTTGATATGGTCGATGGCTGCGGTCGCCGTGAGGCTCTCTTTGAGCAGTGGAAACAGCTTTCCGTCGTCGTGGAGAAAATCATTGAGAGGATCAACAAGAACAAGAGCTTTGCGGTCTGCCATAGTCGTTGGGTTTGAATCAGCTAAACACTGCTTCAAGCAACGGGAGAAACTTTAGACGCTGAGAGCGATGGCGGTGTGATCGGGGTCTGGGGATGAAGTGTTAGGAAAGGTGCAAGAACGGGCAAATGGACCAGCTTTATACGGCTGCTGAAGCCTACGTATTTATCACCAAGCTGATATAGATGCTTTCTCCAGCCATCCTCGTTACGGAGCTATCCAGGCACCGTGGTAGCGGCCTTTGCGGAGAGGAAGCTCCGCAGCTGCGGATTTTGCGGAACAACTGCCGCAAACGCGGCCCTATGCTTCGGCTCTCCGCCACTCCCGCTCCCTATCTACGAGAGACCTTCTCGGCCCTGGTCACGGCCGCGAGCCCCATGGCAACTGCAACAAAAACTTTCTAAACTTCAAGCTTCATCATGATAGTCTGGTACGTCTATTGTTAGCTACAATCGGCCCTCCGCGGGTCAAGTCGGTTCCGTAAGCGAGAGTCCCATGCTCGACGGGTCTTTGCGTCATCCCTTTTGCCAGGGACCTCTAATGTAGAAAATTGTTTGGTTAAACAAAGTCATCAACGGAGCCAAGTTAGTAGTTGGCAAGTTCGCAGCTTTCTCATTAGTTTTTGTATCTATAACTTCGATTAGAACAGCAGATTCAAATGTGTACATTCTTACCGTCCGCCCTATAGACTACCTGTACCCCAATATGCCTGTCATACTACTCGGTTAATGACGGGAAACTATCGCCGATTTTCCAGATGACAGGGACAGTCTTCCTCATTCATGCTATACAACTGTGTGTGCGTCTAACCCGGGGCTACATGCCGTGGCCAACTTCTGCCCAGACCTTCCGGCCACACCCCTGCAGCACCTACATGGCCCTGGCAACAACCAGCAACCGAATCCTCAACTTCGTCGTTGGCTTGTGTACGCGGTCGCACTCACTGGGGTTATTATTTACTTTTGATTCATCAATACCTCCTTTGTCTCTCATCCACTAAGCAGAGCTTCCTGCCGACTGCTTGGCCCGTACTTGAAGAAGATGCTCGGCCTTTCGAAGGCAGAATTGGTGCGGAATTTAACGCCGAGATCATCGAGATCACATAGTTGATGGACAGTACGAGGAAGAGCTCATTTGGCCCCATGGTCTAACCGTCAGTAGTGTTTATCATCTATTAACAGTCGCTATTAGCCCCGCGCTCCGGACCATATTATCCGTCCCCACAACGATTACCGAGTCGATCGCGAGGGGGAGTCTTCTATAATATCGCGCATGACTTCGCGTCGACTACTTGTTCGCCCACTACAGCGATCCATGGGTTGGTCGACGGACACCCAAAATAAGCTGAGAGGAGACTCTGATCACACGGAACGAATCGTGTAAAGGCTTATGACAACGTGCAATGCCGATGCTCTTATCATCTCGAGGATCTAGATGGCAAGAATCGAAGTTCGATCCATGACGTCCTTTAGCAAAGGAGCCGACGGTGGAAGCGTTCATGAATGGCACAATGACACCGTCGCGAGGTTGATGTGCGAGGACGCCCAGGTATAGTAGATTATTGGCTTAACCAGTAATAGTGAAGAGTTTTGGCACATGCAGGAGTTACGCAAGTGAGTCGTCCTCGAGCATTGAAGGATCAGCAATCTGATGAACAGCCACAAGGAATACCAAGGTCTTGGCCATCGAAAGGATTTCGCCCAGAATGGATGAACAGACAATCCCATGATGCGAAATGAGAGTGACAAGAGTTTGCCAAGGGATCGGTTACCTCGACAGCTAGTCTCACTGCCGTATGTGGACAGAGTGAAACTCTAAAATACCTTGATGACGATGGGTACCTGGAAGTCAAAGACCCATGCAATTATGCAGCAATCTAAATGGTCGGATATCTGAGGCTGTGTCCGCTGGCCGTAATAAGAGCCGACCAAACTATCCACGTCCCGATATGGTCCCGCTTGCCTATACATATTGTGCTGGTATATCTAGTCGAACGTTGCGGCTCTACTGGGACTCACTTAGCCAACCATCTCTGCCAATATACCTATCCAAGTCTCACCAGCAACATGCAACTTCCACTCCTAGTGGGCGCCCTGATTGCTCCAGCTTTCGCACAAGATGCTGGACCGACTCCTAGTAGCATTGCCAGCGAAACCAGCGCCGAAGTCGCATCCAGCGCAGCATCCGCCACCTCCGAAAGCATTTCCAGCGTCTCTTCCGCTGTAGAGGCTACCGTATCCTCCCTCGAATCAAGCGTTGAGAGCGCAATTTCTTCCGTCACTGAGAGCATCGCATCGAGTGTTATGTCCGAGAGCGAGACTGCTGTCTCTAACAGCGCCGTCAATAGCATCCAAAGTGAAGCAAGCGAGGTAGCCAGCAGTGTCAGCGAATCCGCTAGTAGTGCTACGGAAGCCGCATCCACGACCAGTGAAGGTCTAGGTGTACCGGTTCGGACAACAGCTCCAATTGTACTTGGTGCGGGACTCCTAGGTCTTGCTGCTATACTGTAAATATAGCCGTACTGCCCTGAAAACACGGCGTTTAAACTCTGTTTCCGCTAAATCCGATCATCAATACATATTTACGAGGGCTTCATGGCTGTTCACTTTGAAACCTCCTATTGACTCGTTTGCACAAAACAAGGAGAACTTCCAGGTTGTCACCAATTTTATTCCAATTGATCTGCGATCTCCTTTTATCGTGTCAACATATCTCATAACAGGCAGTGGTAGGGGAATAGGATATGAATTGGTTCGGCAATTAGCAGCCAAGCCGACTTCGGATGTCGGCACTATTTTTGCAACTCAACAGGCAATAACCCAAGCGGCTGTAAGAGAGGATTACTACAAAAATCTTAGGGTTAGGGTTAGGGTTAGGGTTAGGGTTAGGGTTAGGGTTAGGGTTAGGGTTAGGGTTAGGGTTAGGGTTAGGGTTAGGGTTAGGGTTAGGGTT